AAGTGGTGTAGGCCAAGGCGTCAAGGGGGCCGCCGAGATAAGCATCGCGCGAGCTTCCGAGGGTAAGTCCATGACCTTGGGACGACTTTGAACAAAAAGAAGAAAAGAACAAGCATACGCTAGAAGTGGAAGCTCCGCCACTTCTCCGCTCACATCAAATTAGAGACATATAGTGGAAGGATTTTGGGTTCGCCGTTTGACGCCTTGATTCATGTACCGTTGCATGGCAGGATTTGCACGACATATCGTTCACTCGAGCAACGAACAGAGTGTGCACTCTTCCAGCAGCCTGGACTTGCAAAGACCCCGAACCCTGTCACGGATGGGGTGGGGACAGAGTCGTGATACGACGCCCATTGTCTCAATCACAGATAATCAACGAGGATCATGGGGCACGTTCCGCACATCATGTGAAGTCAGAAATTTAGCAAACGATATTTGGAGACAATGGCTATAGCGAGTTAACACACTTCAATGTATTGAAGTGCCCTTCCTTGGTTGTAGTAGCGGACAGGGGCAGGATGTGGAGAGAGAGATTTCAGCCTCCATTATCATCACCCCAGATGAACCGGGTCCGTTTCCCCCTTGCCCCTGTCCCCAGCACACACACACACACACAAACCTCCCTGCCTTCCGACCTCGACCCGCTCTCGATCGACATGCTGTCCTCGGAGCAGGAATCTTTCATCGATAAAAAAGCAAGGACGTGTCAAAATTGAGGGTTAGTATTATCATTACGGGCCATGTCCTGGTCAGTGCCTTTCCCAAGCCTTCCTGATGGGATACCTGTTAACAGATTGACTGGTCGACCGATCGACTGATCGACTGATCTGATCTGATGGGAGATGGGGGCGGGGAAAGCAATAATCCTACAACCTGGAAATGCCAAAGGCTCCATGGAGTTGGCACAATTGATGCTTGATGTATGCACCTAGATGAAATGCAACAGGACGTGGGAAGCAGAGAGCAAGAGCTCTGTGCGGCCTGGAAAAGAGACGATGACATTGCGCATGCTTTTCTCCATTTCCCACATGGGCTCTGACAACGTCTGTTTGATGGCAACAGATTCGGAGGGGCCAGAAACAGGGCCCCTTCCAGGGTGAAGGAGGTTGTGGCTGGGGTTATTCTTCGAACGGGGATCTCAAATTCGCCTGGGTGCCTTTGCTCCATGCGTCAGGATGTGCTGGGGTTGGTGATTTGTGCTGCAGGGACAAAATGGGGCTAACGAGGCTTACGGCCGTAAGGTGGATTGGTGAGGGGGAAAGGGGAGAAGGGGGCAAAACGGGTCCCCCTTCCCACGAGCTATTCTTACCTCACTTCCTCTATCGAAGCTCTCAACATTGTTCCGGAACGTTTGCCACGGGACGAGTCCGAGCGCAAGACTAGCAGCCGAAGACCACCTCGCCAGTTCGAGTCCCACTCTGAGCGCGAAGGGAAAGGGGAGCGACGGAGGGCCATCGGGGTCCGCTTACATAACTCAACTTTGTACTATGCCAAACCCGCCCATCGACCTCGGTTCCCATAGTCGGAGCTTTGCGGCCTCGCTTTCCTCTTTCAAGCTCTAGTGCTGGCGCGCCTCAATAACTATCACTTGCGTGCGCCCGCTCCGGGCTCTCTCGAGATGCCTAACGGAAACCCACTGGTAATAAGCTCTACCACTCGGGACTGCATAGGCAAATAGGCTATCATGGGTCCGTTAGGCTTTATGGCCATGAGTGAATCCTGTCCAGGTCACCATCACAGCGTACCTCGTGAGGACCCGATTGTTATAGTGACTTTATACAGTGCCTTTAACGGTAACACCCTCGTCCCAATGGGGGACGAAGACCACCTGGCTACTGTGCGCCATCTTGGAAACATAATGAATGGCTGGGTAACAACCAAGCGACTGCAGGCTATGTGAGGTACTTGTGGAAGAGGGGTGGGTGGCACTAGGCACGGTGAGTGGAGCGAGGATGTGTGAGATTGATACGTGTGTAGGATGAGTGTGTGTGGGAACGCGAGGCATCAAAGCCAAGCAGGTGGGGGAAGTGGAACGCTGAAAAGGTTGATTTGGAGCGAGCTCCTTGACCCAAGCCAGCAGTGTTGTACCGAGGTATGTCCCTCCAACAAAGACTGGCCTAGCGTTGCCTTTATTAGGCATTGTGGACGCCTGGAGAGGACAGGGTTGCGAGGCCCTCTGGTCTCGAACAGGCACAACACAGTTATTGTATGTACTCTCCCGTGTTTCTGGCCGCACGGCTTAATTTCCATAGCGATGGCGACCTTGGCTGCGGAATCCGACACCCCATCCTTGGGAACTGATGAGAAAGCGGATGGCCGATTGATGCCGACTTAGCCAGCGTTGCACGTACTTCCCTCTCGCTACCTGAGCCGGCGGCGTGTGGCGTCGGTCGGTCGGTCCCATTAAAGACTCCGGCCTCTGCAGACTAATATTGGCTTTCGAGATGATGTAAAGCACACAACTTTAGTGTGTTTATTATTAGTGTACCGCTCTCAGAAGGCCTTTCCTTTGGCGATGGAATTGCTAAATCTAGGAAGAAAGGAAGAGGACCAGCGACAAGAGCGTGTTCGAAGCAGTGTAACGGGGCTCTGGCAGGGAGGGAAAGGGGGCGGGGCACTGAAAGCTCCGCTGGTTCGCGCCCCTGCCGGAATAGGCTCTAGATTCCGCGAGGTCCCCGACCCATACACAATGCAGTGAATGAGTGGGTGAGGGCGAGAGGCGAGAGAAACGAGACAGACACCGCGGGGAGCGAGCAAGTCCTCTCATACGGTTGTAATAAGAGGATGATGGGGTGCGAGTGCGGGATAGGAAGAAGGTAGGTGAGATGGGTTATCGCGTTCTTGAACCATCCATCTCTCAATCGACCTATCTTCAGTTCGGTTCGGGTGGCTCCAGAGGTCACAAATCTAAGTCATCTCCCACGGTCCTCTTCCGTGCTTGCACTTCTCTCTCTCTCTCTCTCTCTCTCTACCCTCATGCTTTTCTCATGCCATGACTCTCCTCAGCTGTTCTGTAACATGTCACTCAGGGCAGGGGCGCTGAGAAGCAGGGTCTTCCAAGCCCGTGTCTCCACCTAGACCGGGACAAGACGCGGGCTGACTGTTGGGAATAGGCCCCGCTTGCGGTCCCAAAGGGGGCCAATAGTTTCTTGAGAGTGCGTTTTCAAAGTTGATAGAGCCGTTGACCCTGGGACCCGAGTCATGGCGAGGGGGATTGAGTACTCTTGCCCTCATTTCGAGGTACCAGTCAAGCCGATATCATGGCCGCTGGGAGGGCGTGTCTCGTGTCAGGCCAACACCGTCCCGCCCCCTCCCTCTCAGACGAACAAGGACAAGGTTTTGAGAAAGAGAGACGTTGACGATTACACGATGATGGTGGCTTGACGCATGGTGGAGTGGCGACTTGCCGCTGCGGCCACGCTCAAGCACAAAACGAATGGTGCGACCCACCCTGAAGCCGTCGAGACCTTGTTCTCGTCGAGCAGAGTTTTTTCCTTCTTTCTTTTCATATCGCTTCGAGTTCCTTATTCCGCTTTTGGATGGAGATGATCTCGGGCCTCGTCGCGCCACTTTTCTTGTCTCTCTTCGTGATGCTTTTCACAAGCTCCGCCATCCCCGAGGAGTTGGCGGGCAGGGAACGGGGTATCACAAGCGGCACGAGCGGCAACGACGTGCTTTTGGAGTGAGTCTAGAGACGGGAAAGGGGAGGCACTTCTAGTCTTTTGTTTCTCTCGTATCAGTCATCTCCTTTTAACGTTCTCATCCACTCTCGTGGGTGAGAGTACGTTAAACTAGGAGTTGTGGGCCGACCTGGGAAGGGACGCAAGACGCCTGGCGAACAAGGTTTCGGGGCTTCCCAAGGGACTGGGTGGGAAATGGGGAAAGCTTGGCCGGCCTCAGTCCTTTTCACAACAAGGTCCCATTTGCTGCGTTCCCCGGATCTGCTGTCCAGAGTTTCGCCAATGGCTCGCCTCGGAAATGAACGACCTGACAGAGCACGCCACCCGCTCCTTCAGAAGAGGGACAATGGCATGAGTGGTTAGCTACCAGACTCCTCTGAACGGAAAGCTGGGGAACAAACAAGATTCCCGAAAACCGCTTGACTGGGTGCTTTAGCCAAGCCTAGACCCCTAGCGAAAGTGAGAGGGATAGAGTTCGGCCCTCGAGAGTATCCCATCCTCCCTTCTTTGCCCTCGCTTCGCCGACCGTTGAGGTTTGGGATGTTGTTGAAAATGCCATCCGGGTCTATTACAGGCATTGCTCCAGATAATAACTGTAAATGAATTCTTCCACGTGGCTATTACGAACCCAAACACTGTTTTTCCCCTTCTAACAATGTAGTAAAGCGTGGGATATAGCACCTAAGCCGGCCCACCCACGAGGTCTTGATGAAGATCTCTCTCGGATTTCCTGCAGAGGAAAGTCGTCGCTAACCCGAGGCCATGCTGAGAATATTCATAGCGATGAGCGCGCCGTCTCACGTTTTTGTAATCTATTCAGGCGAGCCAGACTTTTCTCTATCGAAACTGTTTGCCCAGCAAGCCTACTTGCGGGGTCGAGGATTATAGCCGAGAACCAACATATCCGTAAATCTCAACCCTACACCCTCTAGAAAACACATGGAGGTGATCTCCGGCCGGCTCAGAGGCGAACGAACGACTTCATCGATGCACTCGTACATGGTGGGTTAAAGGAACAAAGAAAAAGGGTTAAGGAAAGAAGAGGAAAAGAGGGCTGGTTCTGCGACGAAACAAAACCGTCCCGTAAACCTGGTTTCAGTCCGACAGTGGCCCATTGGTTCTGGGATTCAGAGCCCACTGCCCACCTGTGCAAGACCCGACGTGGTGGCGCGGCCAGCCAAGCCCACAAGCATCTCCACCAGCGCTCCAGAGGAGCGGCTCCCTTTCGCTAATGTCGATCCTCCTCCCCGAGCTTTCTGCTGACCCGAGCCTGGCCAGGTTCCTTCTTAATCCGCCGCCGCAGACGCTCGCGGTAGGATGTCTGGAAGATTCACTGAGTTACGGCTACTGGCGCGTGAGCGACTTTGCGTACCGTCGGAGCGGAGGCGTCTCGGGGAACCGCTGGTTGAGTCCGCCTACTTTCAGGTGATAGACGGGGTCATTGGCGAATCGGCCATCGAGTGCGAGGCGTCGAAGGATTGGACAGCGACTGACCCGGAGTCTTCCGCGTTTTGCGAAAGCTCGAATCCTGCCACGACTTTCAAGTTTTATCTCGGAGACGAGGGTTACGGAACTCTAAACATCAATCAGATCTGGAGCTGTCCCAGTGACGAGGAGGGAACTCAGTAGGTGCCATCCACACCCCTTACAACTTGCTTCTTTCCCTTACATTGACCCTGAACTCGTTGTTGACGCGGGAGTCTTTCGCTTCCTCCCTTTTCGCAGGATCATCTTCAAAGCATATGCAAACCTCAACGTCACCACCGACCCATTGCCGACTTCATCACAAGACCCGCTCGTCATCGAAGAGGCCGGGCCGATAACTATCCCCTTTACGCTCATTGCCCCCGTGGAAATCACTCCAAGCGAAGAAGTTCCTCCTCCTCCCCGGGAAGCCAGGCCCCTTCGTGCAAAACCGCGTCGCAGGCAGTAAAGTTCACCGTTGCCGAACTCACATGGCTTTGGTTCAACGAGTCCCGCGAATCTCCGCCGATCCCCATCGGGGCCGTCCTCGCCAACATCACAAATGAGGTGACGGGCGAAACGAGCTCGTGCATGCACACGGGCGGGCTTGACCTTATTCCACCAGAGGAAGGCGGAGACTGCGAGACCTCGGAAGGCTCGGGCTTTACCTTGTGTTCCGGGACTGTAGCAGCGGACGAATACGGCCCGAGCTATCTCAACCAGGTAGCCATTCGATTCGATCCATGTTCAAAGACAATCCAGATTGTCGAGAGCTGGTATTGTGATGCGGATGATGGAGACGACAACGGGTAAGTTCTTAGCCATCCAAAATCCTTGTTTTGTTTCAACCACAGTATAGCACGGGCCCTTGCTATCTCCAACCTGTTGCCCATCAACGAGACGGATATAACTAATACCTACCGTCTTGTGAAGTTTCAAGTACGCTGCTTTCGGAGACCTAACACCCATCTCGTGGGATTGCCAACTCCTCGGCGACGTCGAGTCGCTTCCCGATGCATCTCCCGGCCTTCCCGCCATCGGCACCGTCGTCCGCAACGCGACGGTTTGCAATGCCGTCTTGAGTCCGGACAATAACGTGGCAGAGGGTGCCGTCGTTGTCGAGCATAGCCTCTTTGCAGATGCATTCCTTTACCAAGCCCCAAGAGCGAGAGGCTGCCTCGTGGATTCCATGAAACCGGAGACCTGGTACTGGAACCTCTTTCCAAACGCTTTCTTGGCTGACGTCGAGCCAGACGGCACCGTCGCTTCCATGAGGTCGAGGCTGGAGCTTGGTATCGCGGCGCCGTATGGCTCGCCTGCCTTTATTGCTTTACGCCTGCCCATTCTCTGTTTGGCGACTGCAGTTTTCCCCATCTACCAGGAGGGAGATTCCTCACCTCCAAAGGAGTGTTCGACCCAGACACGAACGTGTTCTCCCTCGAGCAGTCTTGGGAATGCTACGATAGAAGCCCAAACCATCCGTACGCTATTGACAAAATCAAAATCACCTTCTTTACATGTTCAATTGAAAACCAAGCGAGATGCTAACTCCTTCTTTGTCAAAATAGAGTCGTCTTTACAGCCAAGGGCGCCATCGCAGTCCCCGAGCCTAACCAAGATCCCGTTCGAATAATGATGGATATTACCTGGCAAACCAGCCAGGGGCCCGACGATACTCGATAAACAAAACTTGGGGCGGCTATAGATCAAGGTCGCGAACAAAGCACACGCGATCGTGCGCTCGGGCCTATAGCTTTGCCATTCTCGACAACTGAACAAACAAAAAGACTTGCCGTGTTTGGCTCTACCATTTTTATCAACCGTGCTCTAAATACATCTAAACTGCACGAAACCTTGTTCCCTCCTTGCCACGCTTTACCGCTTCCTCACCTGGCCTCGCTTAGCGGCAGACTTGCAGGTAGGCTTAGGAGCCTCGCACTCTCCCACGACCACGTCGCCCTCAAGGGCCGCCCAGGTCGAATAATCCTCCCTCGTCACGTTTTGCACGGGCACTTGCCACTGCGCATACCCCAGCGTGTGATACTGCAGCCCAATCTTGTCGGGGCACGCCGGGTTCGTCGGGGGTCCGCCGCCTGCGCGTAGCCGAACCCCATCGCCCCGGTGCTCGAACCCGAGCCGCCGGCCGGAGCCCCGCCCGGCGCGCTCCAGGCGAAGCAGTTTTCGCAGCGGTAGACGATCTCGTAGCGCGATTCGTTGACCGAGGAGCGGAGCTGGGTGATGGCGGGCGGCGGGCCGTCGCCGGCGTAGAGGTCGGGCATGAAGTAGTCGGTGGCCCAGCGGAAAGAGGTGAGGACCTTGCCGTCGTGAGGGTAGGCGACGAGGAGGAGGGAGGAGATCATGTGTCCGTCGTGGGCAAGGCCGCACCACCCAGACCGATCGGAGGCTATGCTAGCGCAGCTCTGTGAAACGATGAGCGTGATGCCAAGGTGAGCGTCGCGTTTCCCGTACCCCTTCGGAGTCGGGAGGGGAGAAAAGACGTACCAGGTAGCCAATGTATTCTGAAGCATCGCTTGTGGCGGCGTCCTCTGGAAGGACAATGCCAAATGTGATGCCCCGTCGCCGTTGTCGGCTGGTGGCGCCGTCCAAGTCTGGAAGTCGATTCCAGTCTCAGCGTCCGTGTAGGAGCCGGGGATCATGTCCGGGTATTGAGCTACGGCGCCTGTCGCAACTGCCACGCCACATGATATGCCCGTTAGTAGATGAAGGGTGCCAAATGCTAGACCCAGGAGGGGTGAAACCCCGAGCTAGGGGAGATGCGTACGTGACAAGAGTAACGCCAGGCTCATCGCGGCCAGGCCACGAACACCAGCGTAGTTCATCATGACAGTATCTGACAGTCTAGGGCCGTTGGCCTTATTTCTTCCGCCAAGAGATCGATCTCGGTCCTCGTGCGCATGTGAGGCGTCGCTTCTTCGAGATGGTCACCGAGTCGTCTGCGCCTCTTGTTGGTAGGTTGGAGCGACCGTTGGGTGTGTTGCGCGCTGGGGTGGTGTGCGTTGACTCTCCCACCCACCCTCGCCGACCGACGGGAGCGGGAAGTGCGTTTCGCATCTCCCTTTAACGAATGGGGTAAACTCCGTATGTAATCGATGCAGAATTGATTTTGACGTGGTGCGCGACGTAGAACATTCCGGTCGCACAATAGCCGGCGGAGGCAATCTACAAGCCTCGTTGGAGCACTATGGGTAAATTAGCTGCCCACCTCCGCAATCCCCGCCCCTTGATGACCTCTTTGATGAACTCGAAGCAGCTTTAAGTGAATCGGCTATGTTCGTTTTAGAGCGAGAGATGCTTAGTGCCGTGATTTCCGGTCCATATCCGGCCATCCTCGCCGTGATGCTTGCACCTTTGATGAGTGATTGCCTGGTCCAATACCCCAATTGAGTCACAGGCGTTCTGTCCAGACCACTGGAAAAATAAATTTGGGGAGATTATTTTTCTTATTGAATTTTTGTTCTGGAAAGTGCACTCATTATTGATAAGCAAAAGTTGAACAACAAGATGATGATTGAAATTCGACGTCGGAAAGCTTCAATGTTCCGTTAGCCGTGTCGCAAAACACTGTTCCTGCAGGGCTGGTTGATGCCAGTATAATCTACGAGTCCAATTGATCCATCCCATCAAGATGGATTGATGTATGACCTACTGGCTCAGGAATTTCAGTTGGGAGCGGGCACAGGCGAGGCGTATCGGAGTATTGAGCAGTCGCGGCGTATCAAATCGACGTTGTCAAGACTCTTGTGTGGGGAAATAAATGGATGAGAAGGAATAAAAGATGAAAGAAAAGCAAAAGAATAGAGAACTCCGTGCCACCCAATCAAACTACCTTTTTTTTTTCTCTCTCGCTACATCTTTCTTTTTATTTCCTTCCCGCTATCACTTTTCTTTTTCTATTTTTCTTCTCGTAGGCTTGGCGATGGGGGACGGAACAGTCCAGCCCTTCTGTTGCACGGCAAGGGATCGCGCCTCTCCGGGATCCGCGTCTCATGCATGCGCTTCGCCCTCGCCTTGGTGTCCACGCCACAGAGGCTGTCATGTGGCGCCCAGCTACATTGCACCAGAAAACTCCCGTGTTGGTTATGCCCACGGGCTCGGCGTCTTCCCGGTGCTGTTGGTTTCGCGGGGAGCCTGGTGAGGCAGGCACCTGCGATTTTTATGCTTTGAGGGTGCTCGATTAAAAGTCTAGTGCTGCCCAAAACCAGCTTGACTGGCAGCGGTTTCCTTTCCCCTCATAATCCATACATAGCTTCTTATTAGACTCGGCAGACTATCTTCGTGATATCGCAAGCGCCATGAGACCTTTACGACGAAAACGCGCCCTCAACTGAACGTCGGAGTTTGGCTTCCTCTTCTTTCTATCCTAATACCTCTACGATGCACCAAATCGAGAAGAAAGATGAAACGCGATATCGGGTTCGTCTTTGTACATTGGCCACTCCGCATGGCAGCTGCGCAGGCGGACGACGGGGAGGTGAGGGCCATCGAGCTGGGTAGGAGTAAGACCCCGACTACTGTTACCCTTAATGTTGATCACCTCTGTTGGTCGTCTTGTCAAAGCAACTCTCTGGTTCAGGAGGTCAGATGTGGTATCGACGCCATTTCACAACAGTACGCGGAAATTTATTTAGAACAGCTCCCAGCCACTTTCCGCATGAGAGGAGACACCTCGCGTCTAGAAGCTAGCTCCGAGCTTGACGAGGGTATATCGTCGAAGACCAATGACACAACTATTTGGGAACTAGGATGCGGCACCCACGAGGCTCTGAGAGTTTGCCCTACACTCGACCAAGCACGGTTGATAACACCAGTTCACGTACGCTCCAGTCCTGTGATCAAGCTGTGTAGTGCCTTACAGGATCAGCAATGTTGCTTGAGCCTTGATCTCTCCCTCTCAAAGCCTACCGGTGCCGAAACGATCACGATACGGACGAGAACCGAGGAACAATACATATGGATGTGCCGCGAGGATCACGCTGCGTATACCCCCACGTCTAGCGGGAGAACAGCTTCGACGGAACTATGTGCCGTGGTGGTACATAGTAGGAGCTGCCTTATCACTGGCCTCGTCGAGTTGGAGCCGCTGACTCCTGGGCAACCACGAGAGCTAGAGGTGTCCGGAACTCCTATAGAAGGGCCGTGGCTCATCTTCGACCCGCGCGCATCTAGTGACGCCATGGAGACCAAGGGGCATGGAATTAATAATCTTGCCTTCCAGTGCTTGAGCCGAAAGCAAGAAGGTGCCACTGACGAGCGCCCGGGAAAGAATGTTGCTGGCTCGGGGAGACGACTTTTCACAAGAGCGGGTGTTGCGCCGGCAAGTTGTCAAACTTGGGACTAATTCTCGGCATCGCCTATGCACTGCTTACCCTGTGAAGGAGAGCTTATCACAACTCCCTTTCTGTTATTACACCCGTTGATGAAATGCTTTGGCAAGCTTGGGATGGTCAGATGACATCAGGTTCTCAAGCAAGCAACGGGCAATCTCCGAGCTAGCAGGGCTAGTCAGATCTGTCGAGAGCGCCAGAGGCAGGAAGGGCGTTATAATTGGTATAGAAGGCATGGCATTAGATTCAAGAGCACGGGAAAGACGGTCTCTTAGAGCACACATTGGATTACAGCGTGAGAACATGATATATTATAGTTCGTAATGTTTATAATTTCGTCCGTGGAGGAAAGAAAAAAGTGTAATATTCACAGGCCCCTTTTTCGGCAACCGCGCCCCATTCCCCCGTGTACCATGCACCCACGGTGAGCCGTTGACGAAAAAGAGAAGAAAGGTTATTCATACAAAGCAAACAGTCCCGGCGCCGGAGATTCGATAGCCGCCATATATACAGATATGGTATGGGCCCCCTGCAGGAACGAGTTTAAGCGCCGTTGAGGGAGTTGATGCGGGCAGCGTTCTCGTAAACGAGGGTCTGGGCCTCGTCGTCATCGAGGTAGATGGTGAAGCCGTCGTTGTGGTTGCGGCCAAAGGAGTACTCGGAGTATCCGTACTGCCAGTACATGTCGGAGAGCTTCTCCTCAAAGGAGATTTGCTGCCAGCCGCCAATGGCCTCGAGCCTGGTCTCGTTGCGGGTCTGGCCGAGGGTGTCGAGGCGGGCCTGGTCGGTCATCCAGCCGTACTCCTCGTGGACGACGGGCTTGCCGGCCTTCCTGCCGGAGGCGGCGTGGTCGCGGATCCACTGGTTGGTCCACTCGACGGTCTTGCTCCACCAGTCGGGGTAGGAGTGGAAGACGCCAAAGTCGATGTTGGGCAGGCTGAGCTCGTGGTCGAAGTCGCCGCCGTCGGCGCCGTTGTAGGCCCAGTCGTCGGACTCGATGTTGAAGCCGCCCTCGCCGCCCCAGGTGACGAGGTGGTTGGTGTCGAGGGTCTTGATGAAGCTGCTCATCTCGTCGATCCACTCGGTCATGAGCTCGACGGTGCAGTCGTCGCTGCGGGGAGGTTGCGGGTGCCGTCGGCGCCGCAGCGGGGCTCGTTGGCGAGCTCCCAGGCCATGATGGCGGGGAGTCCTTGTAGCGGGTGACGAACTCCTTGACGTAGGCCTTGAAGTGCTCCTTGATGATGGGAGACGGTAGAACTGGACAAGTAGGAGATTTTGTTAGCTTTTGGGGGTTTCTTGCCTCAAGTCAGAGGAGGGGAGAAGGATTCAACGTACGTCGTCGTGGTACTTGCCGCCAAGGTTGACGGTGTACATGTCCATGCCGCCGTAGTCGGCCCAGTTGTTAGTGAGGGCGACGATGAGCTTGATGCCGGTCTTCTCGGCGGCGTCGACGACCTTGTCGAAGCCCTCGATGGAGATGGTGGGCTTGCCGTTGTCCCACCTCTGGAAGACGACCTCGGTGGCGGCGCCCTCGCCGCCGTACTGGGGAGACCGGTGGGGTCGTAGGTGGCGTTCTTGTCGTTGAAGCCCCAGGTGCGGAAAACGTTTAGTCCAGCATCCTTGGCGGCGGTGAGGCCCTTTTCAACGTCGGCCTGAGACTATATTCGGGCTCCGTGGTTAGCATTTATGTCGCTGATTGTTCTCCCTTTCCTCTTTACCCCGCAGGCGCGCGAGGGGATAGGAGGGTAAGTGAGCACTTACGCCGGTGAAGGGGAAGTAGTAGGCATTGCTTCCGGCAAAGTAAAAGTCCTTGCCCTTGAGCTGGAACTTGCCATCCTTGACGGTGACGAAGGGGCTCTTGGGAGTGCAAGCGCGGCGCTGAGGGGCGGCAACGGCGCCGGACGCAGCGAGACCGAGGGTCAAGAGGGTGGAGGCCTTGAGATGCATGTTGGGTGTCTCTGGGCCGTGGGTGGGAAAACAAGCAAAGTTTTCTTAGTTGAACGAAAGTATCCGGTGAGCGGCTCTTCTTTGACTTGTGCAATGTAATGAGCGTGAGGGGAGGAGGGGGCTTGACGGCGGCTGGTGAAGAAAGGAGAGAAGACGAGAGGAAGCACGCAAGAGGAAGAGTGGTCACCGATATATATCTTGCAAAATACCCGTGTTAGAGAGCAAACCTGTTCCCGGGGACCGTAGAACCGCAGGGTATGGAGCTTTCCCCACCGAGGGGGCGCCGACGCCAACGCGGTACGACGATGCTCCATGGTTCCCCAAGAGGCTTAAAGCGAGCAAGGAAAATGCAAGGGAAAGTGCAAGGAAAGTGCCAAAAGCCATTAGAGCGGTTGCCAATTGGGGAAATTCTACATCGTGCACACGCTCTATGTGGCCCGCCTTTGCGAGTACCTTCGCGCCGGCCAAATTTTGATTGACGCGGAGCATCGAGGGCCGGGTTTCCAGGATGGGACAGGTTCGGCTTGGCCCAAGCTCTTGGGGCGGGAGATTGGGAGTTGGAGAAGGCGGAGGATCCCCTGCATTGGGGGTCTTGGCTTTTTTATTCTTGTTTCTTTTTCTTTCTTTTATTCTTTTGTTCCTGTTCCTCTCGGTGTCCTTTGTTGCTTTTACGCTGGGTTGCTTGGATAGTTGGATCTAGGTGAGGATAGGAACGAGGACCGGCGCGAAAAACAGTGTTTTTTCTTCTTTTTCTTGCTTTCACGCTTCCTCTGGGGACGGAATCAAGGACAACTGTGGCCACGAAATCCCCTGCAGTTCTTGGGGAGCAAATGGCGTAGGGCGGATGGCGGACGGGGAAAGCGGGCGGTTCAATTCGAGGAAACGCTTGTCCCACTTTGCCTAGACGGAGCAACGCCGTGCGAGGTTGCGTTTGTGGAAGATGCAGACCCGCCGGATGATGGATGCTCTGCAGCCGACAGTGACGTGCCCAATGAGGATTCCCTTTTCTCTTCCTCTTATTTTTTATTCCTTTTTTCCACTACATGCACTTGTCTGGAAGAGGGGAAAAGAAATTGGAATGAGATCATTTCTCATCGACGGAGAGAAGCAAACAACCATTGCCGGGGTATCAGTGTTTCTTGGCGATGGGAGGGCAACACCGGACAGTCACATGGATTCCAGTTCGATCGATCTCGCTTTCCATCAACCAAGTCTAGGTGTCTCGCGTCCTGGTTCCCTGCTCCCGCCTCCCCCGCGAAGTTTCCAGAACGGCTGATGCGGATGATCGTGCCCCAAAAGAAGTAGCCGCAGTAGCATCACTACCGGGATTCGTTTTCGCGAGGTGCGGGCCTGGCGTGGCCGAACCGAGGACGGGCGCCAATGCCGGGGACGTCTAGTAAGCCTAGAAGCCAACGAAGCGCAATCCGACGGAATCAGCAACAAAGGGCAAAAGCAAAGGAGAAGCAAACGCTAATAGATGAACGGGGTCCGTGAAGACGGTGCGAAGGACTCCGAAATTCCTGTTCTTGGGGTGTTGTAATCCAATCAGGCCAGTGCCGCTGCTGGTACCTGCAGTAGCCAACATTGAATGCCCTGGAGCAATGGAGTGCCGCCTAAAATTGGAGTGTCACGTGATAATAACTCGTCCACAGTTCCGTTGACATCCACTGGAAGACCCCGGCAGCAATCCCATTTCTCTAGGCCTGACCCCTGCCTCTCCGGCATGAGCGCAGAAGGCATCGAGATCCACATCGGATAAATTGCTCTTCCACCCTTCCACCAATGTAAGCTCGTCCACTGTCACCGATGTGCTTCGTGTTGGTGAGCTGCCGGTGAGTGATGGGGCCCATCTTCGCGACACTTGATCATGGTCCGAGATTTCCAAACATAATAAGGAAAGTTGTCCCTGTGGTTGTAAAGACGAACCAGTTGAAGAAAACGGCGGAACGCGGGGAAAAGAAAAAAAAAAATCTAAATATCAATTTTGGTTAGCCCGTCATAAATCTCGGGTCAGAATCGGATCTTTGTTCGATCCAATTCCTTGTGGGCTTGCTTCTGGCTTTGTTCGATTCGGCCGTGCCACGAACGGGGGTTAGTTCAATCCCCGTTTGGATCCCGCGTCCACGGACTATGATTGGATCTCGACGGACTATAACTTTTGACGGAGAGGCGATGAGCTGCGTCGGTATCAAACATCTTTTCGTTTGTCGTGCTTAAGTCCTCAAGTTCTTTCCAGTCGCAACTGGGGCAACCTTGATCTCCTCATGGCGCGTATATGAGGACCAAGTCTAACCTAGATGGGAAGCCGAAAACACCAAGATTTTCAAGATGAAGTGGTCTACGAGGGCCGGCCGCGAGATATCAAAGGTGAGTATGACCTTGTTATATATCAGTTAGAGGCTCACTGGGGTTCTAGACGATAAGGGGATTGGGCGAGACTCGGGAGTTGATAGTCGGGAGCGTCTTCAACATTATTGGCTAGCCACTGCTTCCGCTCTCGGCTCCCTGCTCGCGGGTTCCACGATGGAGCATTAACGACACCGGACTTTATCGAATGCCAGAAGGAGAAAAGCTAGCTCTTTACCGACAGGTGTTGAAATCCCTCTCTTGTTCTTTTCCGAGCTCTATGATGCTCTTCGCGCACCCCAGGCTCTCGCGGTTCCGCGGCTTGCGACAACCCCTCTCCCCCTCTTGCCTCGCTTCCTTCTTTGAACCCTGCCGCTTTCCTATATCACCGTCTCCTTTTCATAATCGTTTTGGTCTTCTCTTTTGGCAGTTGCTTGCAGAGCCCAGGTGGTAAGGATGGATCCGAAGATACAACGAAGCCACGAACCAGCGCCCTCGAACTCGGCCGAGATTCTTGGCGACGAGCCCTTCTAAGCCGAGACTCCGATCTCCCACGCCTGCTCCGTGGCAAGATGGCGAGCCAAGGGCATTGTCCCCGTGGCCCGTCAATATGCAGTTAATTAACGAGCGTATTTTCCGGGCTGGAATCCAAGTGGGCCGGGACAAAGTGGTCACCAGTCATTGACAATCCTCCGTCTCGGAGTGGCTGCGGTGGGGCCCACCCCCACCACTGACAATTCTCGGAACCGAAAACGTGCTCAAACACTCTCACTTGGAGGCATTCGCACATATAAAACTGCGCAGAGGATCCGGCTCCATGTTTGTCTCTCCCCCGCCCACACACACGCCCCTCCCTTCCGAAGCACGTTGCACCGGGGGTAAGGCAGGTCCCCGCGAGAGAGAGATGGCGTATTCTTGCTCACGGAGGAGAAGAAAAAAATAGATAAGGGACAGAAAACAGGGCTAGTTTCCTGTTTCGTTTCGACGACGTGGGGCGCCCAGACTTTGGTGATTTGGGTGGATATTTGGGATTTTTGAATACATATAGAGACTAGTTTCCCTCCTCTTTTCCTAGTTGAAGAGTTTCCAGAATGGCATCTCGGTTGCAGGACATCGAGTCAGTGATCTACAGAATCAACAAGAACAGTAAGGGTACACTGGCCAACCTGACAGTTGCCCAGAAATACACTCTCTGCTCGCAAGAACGAGCAGACCCAAAGAACCAAGACCCTTGAAAATACAGTGCCATAGAGACCTTTAACCTCCACCCTACCCTCTCGGCAAAGGGCCTTGCCATTTCCTCCCGAAAAAGAAACCACTAGGCCCGTCCCACCGCCCATCATGGACCGCCAACTCCGCGCCGACATCAGTCGCCGCCACATCCAAGACTTCTCCACCGCCAAAGAAACGGAACCCCACTGGGGCTACGCCGACCGCATCGTGCCCTGCGCCAACGACCCGGGCTCGTGCGCCTACCTCGACGAGGTCTACGGCGCGCACGACCTGGGCATGATCTACGTCGGCGTCTTCTGGCTCACCCTCGCCGCCGTCCTCGCCGTCTGGGGCACCTTCCACTGGCGCTCGCGGCGATCCGACGCCAAGACCCAACGTCCAAGCGCGGCCGTCGACGGCGCGTCTCTCGCCGAGGGGCCGCGCAGGGCGTCCTCCCAGCTACATCTAGCACCGCTCGGTTCAAGCGCGCGGCGCTGGCGTTTACGCGCCGCTACCTGCTTCCCGAGGCGTGTTTCCCGTTTGGCCGCGCGTCCCGGCTGCAAGTCACGATCCTCGCCCTCCTCACGGGATACCTGACCATCTGGACGTTTGTGGGCATCGGCTACCAGAAATGGGTCACGCCCGTCGCCAGCTCGCCGGGCTCCTACAACACCAGGACCAGCCTGGGCCCTTGGTCCGACCGCATCGGCGTCCTCGCCTACGCCCTGACCCCGCTGTCCATCCTCCTCTCCACGCGCGAGTCGTTTCTCTCCGCGGTGACAGGCGTGCCGTACCAAAACTTCAACTTTCTCCACCGCTGGCTCGGCTACGTCATCGTCGTGCAGTCCTCGCTACACACCATTGGCTGGTGCATCATCGAGATACGGCTGTACCAGCCGCAGCCCATGGTCGCCGAGATGTGGATCAAGCAGCTGTACATGATTTGGGGCGTCGTCGCCATGATCCTCCTGCTGCTCCTCTACGTGCTCAGCCTGCCGCCCGTCATCCGCCTGACGGGCTACGAGTTCTTCCGCAAGTCCCACTACGCGCTAGCTATTATCTACATTGGCGCTTGCATCGGTCACTGGGAAAAGCTCCACTGCTTCCTCACCCCATCCATCCTCATCTGGGCCCTCGACCGCCTCGCCCGCGCGATCCGGACCTTCCTCCTGCACCGAAACCGCGCCGGCGGCCTATTCAGCATCACGCCTGCCAAGGGCGAGACCATCCTCTTCCCCAACGCCGCCGACGGCGACGTCGTCCGCATCGACTTCGACATGGTCGCCCCGCCCTGGAAGATTGGCGAGCACTTCTACCTCTGCTTCCCGAGAGCAGCATCTGGCAGTCCCACCCCATGACGCCGCTCAGCCACCCCGGCCATCCCGCCCAAGACGGCCGCGTGAGGCACTCGTACGTCATCCGCGCCAAGTCGGGCGAGACGAAGCGCATCGCCGAGATGTTGTCCAAAAGGTCGCCGGCGCCGGTAGCGCGAGCGACGGGTCCTCGGGCACCGGCAGCAGCAGCAGCGGAGGAACCGGCGCCGACATCTCCGTGCTCCTGACGGGTCCGTACGGCGAGGACCTCGCGCGCCAACTCACGCCCGCCAGCAACGTCCTGTGCGTCGCCGGCGGTACCGGCATCACGTACGTCCTCCCTGTTCTCCTGGAGCTCGCGAGGCGCGACTTGTCCGGCCGGAGCGTGGATCTCGTGTGGGTCGTGCGCCGGAGCAAGGACGTCAAGTGGATCGAGCCGGAGCTCGCGATCCTGCGCGCGAATCCGGGCATCGCCGTCCGGGTGCTCGTGACGCGCGAGGACGAGGCGCACAACACGGCGGCGAGCCCGTCGATCGAGAAGATGATTGACGAAAAGGAGCAGGCGGCGGGCGTTGATGATGTGGGCAAGTCCGCGGCGGGTGCGACGAAATTGGCTCTGGTGGGCGGTGAGAACGAGCCGCCGGAGAAGCGCCACCGGACCTGGCGCGGTGCGTTGAGGAGTTCGTGGAGAATACAGCGAGCGGGAGGACGGTGGTGTTTGGCAGCGGGCCGGTGGGGATGATTACGGATCTGCGGAGGGTGGTTGCGGGGTTGAATTCGGCGAGGCGGGTGTGGAAGGGGAGGAGCGTTACGATGTTACGTTATGTTATGATGAACGGTTAGAGCGGTGATGTCTTAACAATGAATAAACAAATGCAAGGGGAAAATGGTCTTGCTCGATTCTAATTCAAATCTAGAGTTCCGTGTCTAAGTTGCCCATCGGTCCCTGCGTATCTTGCCCACTCTATTTCCACACTAGATTCTAACCACCATGCCCTCCCATCTCCTCCCTCTTCCTCTTCTCATCATCAGGCATTACCATTAGCAGCATTATTTAAAAATCATTAGAACCTAGCCGCCTAGCACAAGACCAAGGGGAGACAACACATCCCAAAGTCTAAAATCCACCGGCGAGGAGCTCATCAGTCAGCGGCGGGACCCTCCACTCCGGGTCCGCGCGGTTGAAGGCATCCTTGGGGTCGGCGGTAGGCGGGTAGATGAGCACGCGGTTGATGTACGTCTTGATCGTCTTGCCCTGCGCGCCGGACATCATGACCTTGCGGTCCCAGCCCTCGCACACCACTGAGCCCGCGGGGCCCAGGTCCAGACACGTGGCGTAGCCTCCTGGGCGTAAGGCGTAGGAGCCACGCCGAGGAGGTCGGCCGCGGCGTTGTTGCCGGAAAAGCGGCCGAGATACATGGCGTGCTGGCAGGACATGAGCGTGGCGTGGCCCTCGTCGTCGGTGATGGCGCGGGCCACGTCGCCCGTGGCAAAGACGTCGGGGACGGAGGGCACGCGAAGATTGGTATCCACGACGAGGCGGCCGAGGCCGTCCTTCTCCGCGGAGATTTGCGCGGTGAGGGGGTTCGCCACCATACCCGCGGTCCAGATGGCCGTGAGGGTCTCGATCCTCTCCCCGTCGGCGGTGAGAACGGCGCCCGCCTCCACGCCCGACACGGCGGTGCCGAGCCTGGCCTCGACGCCGAGCTCCTTGAGCGCGTCGAGGATGATGGGCCGGGGGCCGGGGCCGAGGTCCGGGCCGATGTCCTGGGCCCGCTCGACGACGACGACGCGCACCTTTCCTGGTCGCCGAGGGTGGCGCGGAGCCGGCCGGTGAGCTCGGTGGCGAGCTCGATGCCCGTGAAGCCGCCGCCGCACACGACGACGGTGTTGCGGGCGGGGCTGGCGGGGAGCGCGGCCAGGCTGGCGAGGTGCTTCTCCAGACGGGTCGCCTCGTCGATCTGGTCCACGTTGAAGGCGTGCTCGGCGAGGCCTGGGATGTTGGGCCGCACGACGCGGCTGCCCGCGGCGAGGACGAGGCGCGTGTAGGAGACGGAGGAGCGCTCGCCCGCGGCGTCGACGACGGTGACGGCGTGGGTGGCGGTGTCGATGGCGTCGACGGTGCCCTGGATGAAGCGTACGCCGGTGGCGGTGAAGAGGGGGCCGAGGGAGACGCTCAGCTTATCGACGCCGGGCTCGTACAGACGCGGGCGGATGACGAGGTTGTCGTTGGGGGCGACGACGGCGACTTCGATGGAGGAAGAGGACGGGTTGGCGGATTCGAGGCTGAGGAGGCGCCGGGCGCTGAGGGCGCTCCACATGCCGGCGAAACCGGAGCCGACGACAAGGATGCGCTGCTGCTGTGGCTGGGTCATGGTTCTTTTTTTTGGTCTTCTTTTGTTATATATTTAGGACCAAGGGTGTCTGTGCGGATGGTGGGCTCGTGTAAGATGTCGTGTAGAGATTGGGGGCCAGGGGGAGAGTGAGAGGGAGCAAGGGTGCTTGTGTAGGTGGGAGATGGGATGTTATGCGGGTGGAGGTGCGAGATGTTATGCGAGTCGAGGAGCGGAAGAAGATCTAAGTGGTTTATATGATGTGCTTGTGATGTGAATGACTCTTCGAAGCCAAGATGTTTTCGTCTTTCTCCACGGAAGCAAGTCGATTTATACCTCTTGCCGTCTCCGCAAAGCTCCACTTGAAGAGATCTACAAAATGGCTATAGGTCTTTGATGAGGCCATCGCCCGTGGACTCGTTGACCCGTTTCGACCCGTTTGGACCCATTGACTCACTGACGCAACGACTTGCCGGCTTGAGGAAAAATGCCGAAAAAGTCGGACGCAGGCTTGCCCCGGGTGCCGCGCGAATCGGGATCGGATCATCCTGATTACAAACTCGAGGGTGTATTCCTTTGATCCTTTGCTGTGAGCCCGCGCAGGAAAGAGCAAAACCAAGAAAACTTCAGAAATCACGAGCCCCGGATGCGTTTGAGGCCGCGAGCACGCGAGACGGCGATACGAAGCCCAGAGTTCCGGGCCGGCTGACCCAGCGGGTACGACGGGTTGCCGAAGCCATCACCGATTGGCGGTACCCGCTACATTTGAACCATAGCGAAATACTACGTTGTACTCGGTACCGGTACATCCGACACCCGTGGCCAGGTCTTCACAACTCTTGGTTCAAACTGTATTATGAACGTGTGCAACGCCCTGCGAACCCGACTTCGCAAAGCAACGACGCATTATTAGTACTGTACCTTGACCGTCGGCAATCCACTCTTTTCGCGGGAACAAGTTGCACCCCTAATTCACCATTGATCCTTAACTCCCCCACACACATACGAACTCCCCGTTCAGCCCTGTGCGGGCCCCTAACCCCTTTCCAGATTTCCCATTCCCGTGCCACTACGGGGTCCCTTACTCTGGACCTCTAACCCCAACATTGAAACCTTACGACCAACCTTCTTTTGCTTAATCTTTTTCACTTTTTTTTTTCTTGCCCCAGGCCCCCTAGGTTGTGTTTTTACCGCCGGAAAGAAGGTTGCCCACCCCTCCCCCGCCTTCTAAAAACCACACAGATGCAGCAGACTGGAGAATCACCCAGTGCCCTCCCGGGAAAAGTCACTGGCGGAGGGGGACCGCGAGTATCGCTAGCCTGCATCCCTTGCCGCACAAGACACATCAAATGTGATGCCACCCGCCCCTACTGCCACCGATGTGCTTCGTCGGAGAGGGAGTGCCACTACGAGCGGTCGCGACGCGGGGGCCTCGACAGAGAGACCCTGGCCGCCCGTCGACGGGTTCGTGACGCCCACGAAGCAGCCACCGCGGCATCGTCGTCGCCCTGTGCGTCGTCGCCCTTCCCCTCGTCGTCTTCCGCTTCCACCGACTCGTCCTCCTCGCCCGCCGAGAAATCGGTCGCGGTGTCGGGGGTAGATGTACCTGCTCACCAGCTCGCCCGGCCCCTCTGGTGTCCCATCTCGGTTGACGACGTCGACGCGGGGCAGCAGCAGCAGCAGCAGCAGCAGCACCAACCCCAGCTCCTGCATGGCAACATCTCCTTCGGGCTCCAACAGTTCTCCCACTTCTACAGCGAGCCCGCCCCGAGCGTCTGCCTCGACCCGGACCTCGTCGACGACCGCCTGATCCTCGCCTACTACGAGCACTTCCACCGCCTGCACCCCTGCGCCCTACCGCGCAGACGCCTCACAGACCTCTACCGGGACCCCGCCGACCGCGCCGCCCTGGAACCCGTCGTCACCGTCCTGCGCTTCCTCGGGTCGACCTACGCTAGCCCGGACCAGGCCGGCCCCCTCAAGGAGCAGGCCAAGCGGCGCGTGTCCACCGTCTCGAGCGACAGCCCCGCCGCGAGGGCTTTCATGGCCCAGGCCCGCCTGCTCCTCTCCATCGGCCTCTTCTGGTACGGCGAAAAGGCCGACGCCAGGATGGCCATGGAGGCTGCGAAGCAGCTCGCCTTCGACCTCGGCCTGTTTCGGCGCGAGTTTGCGCCCCAGCACGGTCGCGGCGATCCCGTGCTGGAGGAGTGCTGGCGGCGGACGTGGTGGCAGATTTTTATTGTTGACGCCTACTACGCTGCCATGAGCCGCACCATCAAGTTTTCTTCGCAGAATTTCGACGCGACTGCTGACCTTCCTTGTGAAGAGAGCGAGTATGAAGAAGGGGTAAGTTCTTACCAATGCACGCCATTTTGCGGTTCTTCCAGTCAACACTTTTTTTCCCCCTTTGTTCCTCTTACTTTGTTCTCGATATACATGTACCATCTTTTCATCATGTTTCCCCTATCTAGGGTCTCGTACTGCGGTTCTTCCCTTTTCTTTTAGCTAACTCATCGACCAGACAATTCCCGTACCAAAAACTCTGGAAGAGTTCGACTGTCGCGAGTTCGAGCTCGATGACCACGTCTACTCTTCCTTTGCCTACCACGTCGGGGCCATCCGCTGCATATCATCCGTGACGGCCGTGGCACCCTTGGAGCCCTCTGGCGAGCTCCCAGCCCAGCTCGTGGCCGACGTAGATGCCATCATAGACGGTTGGCTCCTCCTGCTTCCCGCCTGCAAGAGGGAGATAATCACCGGAAAGGACGGGTTGGTTGATGAGCTCATGTTCCAGGCTCACATGGCTCTTCACGCGTACGTCTTTCCTCCCCTTCGTCCAATCTCAAATTCCAACTCAACTTCATTTCTCACCTTTTGAACATCCTATTTGTCATACTGACCTTCTCCCACAGGCTCGTCGTCGGATTTCACAGACCCTACTCCGACCTCCTCTTCAACCCCCTCGAAATCCTCTCCAGCTGCAAAATGGCCACCCCGGACACCTGCACCATCGGCAGCCTCATCAACGTCCACACCGTGCGCTGCCTCAAGGCCATCGAGGGCCAGATCCGCCTCATGGCCCTGCCCGCGCGGCCCTTCCACCACACCCCCTTCACCATCTGCATGATCATCGCGGGAACCATCCCCTTCCTCTCCGCCTGCAAGTTCCTCTTCCCCAGCGAGCGCCTGGCCATCGCGCGCCACCAGATCCGCTTGAGCATCGGGTGCCTCAAGGCCCTCGCTGCCGCGTGGCCCCAGGGCGTCATCAACATCCGCGAGGTGCAGACGATTGCTCAGGAGGTGCTGGCGCGGACCCCGGCGGCCAACGCGGGGCGGGCGTTGCGGCTCGCGGGGTCTGGTGGCGGTGGTGGTGGTGGGAATGGTGGTGTCCCGGCTGACGCGGGGGTTTTCGCTGCAGATTGACGAGTCGTACGAGACGTCGACGGAAGATGTTGTGTCTTTTACGACGATGGAGGACGCGCTGCAGTCTTGCTGGGATGTTTCGGGGATATCGACGGATGCTAGCCTGTACGCGGGTACGTCTATCGGTTAGACGGGATGAACCCTCGGCTTGGCGATGATGACGACGCTGGGAAAAAAAAAAAGAAACGACTTGATGATTTGGAGCACTTGACGAATCTTGGCCCCGTCTCGAATATGACATGGTTACATTAATTAGACACGAAAGAGAAGAAAGTCACTAACACCTAGGCGGTGACTGGATTGGCACACAACCCTCTCTTGAGGACGAGTGTGAGTTGGCGGCTTGCGAGGAAACCAACGCGACGGCGTAGAACAAAGGAAGACGAGGTGTTTTTGATCAATGGCAGCTGCACGGAAGCACGGCGTTGAAATGACACTGGCGTCCCGGGATTTAACCTCTAACACGGATGATCCTAAAACGTTTTTAGACAGAAACATACACGAGCGGGACGACATATCCGTTCCCGCTCATGCACATCTCCCTCCATATGTAGAACAAAACATCAATACTACGGCTCCGATACATTATAGAAACCACCCCCAACACACAACAAGGCTACGTAGGTCACGCAAAAGGACATCACGTACAATCACGACCAAATTATTGTATGTGAACAAAAAAGAACCAAGTTTATGTAAATCAGGCAGGGCTGGTTAAATCACAACCTCCTGTTATAGATAAAAAAATTATGTAACTGAAAAGGTATTTAGAGAGCCATGCCGGTCTTGGTCATGGTGACATCGTCAATCAGGAGAGTGCGCGAGGTCGAGGTAGCAGCGTCAAACTCGATAGCGATGATGGCGTCAGTAAGACCATTGGTGTTGGTCCAGGTAGCCTCGAAAGTAGAAAAGCTGGACTGGACGCTGGTGAGGGTCGCGGTGACGACGGCGGCGCCGTTGACGCGGAGGTAGATCTTGTCCTGGGAGCTGCCGCTGCCCGAGGACCTGCGGGCCTTGAAGGAGAACTTGTAGATGGCCTTGGGGCAGATGGAGACGCTCTGGATGAGGAACTGCTGCTGGGCGGCGTTGAGGGAGGTGGTCTTGAGCTGGAAGGCGCCGCTGTTGAGGTTGTCCTCGGCGGTGCCGATAAAGGTCCAGTCGTTGGCGGAGCTGATGGCGCCGCTGAAGCCGCCGTTGTTGAGGGGCGCGACGGGGCAGGCGGTCTCGGTGGCGGTGGTGGTGGCGGTGTTGACCTGGGTGAGGGTGGCGGTCTCGGAGATGGTGGCGGTCTCGATGAGGGTAGCGGTAGCGGTCTCGACGAGGGTCTCGACGACGGTGGCGGTCTCGGAGATGGTGGCGGTCTCGACGAGAGTCTCGGTGGCAGTGGCGGTCTCGACGAGAGTCTCGGTGGCAGTGGCGGTCTCAACGAGAGTCTCGGTAGCAGTGGCGGTCTCAACGAGAGTCTCGGTAGCAGTGGCGGTCTCAACGAGAGTCTCGGTAGCAGTCTCGACGAGGGTCTCGGTGGCGGTCTCGGAGATGGTGGCAGTCTCGACGAGAGTCTCGGTGGCGGTGGCGGTCTCCACGAGAGTTTCCGTGGCCGTCTCGATAAGAGTCTCGGAGACGGTCTCGACGTGAGTCTCCGTGGCAGTCTCGGAGATGGTAGCCGTCTCGATGTGAGTCTCCGAGACGGTGGCAACCTCGACGACGGTCTCCGTGGCGTGCAGGGTGGCGGTCTCGACAAGGGTCTCCGTGGCGTGCAGGGTGGCCACCTCGACGACGGTCTCGGTCGCGTGGATGGTGGCCGTCTCGTAGAGGGTGGCCGTGGCGTGCTCGATGGCGGTCACGCCGTCAGCGGTGATGGTGACGGTCTCCGTGGCGTGCTCGACGTTGGTGACGCCGTCGGCGGTGACGGTGATGGTCTCCGTAGCGTGTTGGACGTCGGTTACGCCGTCGGCGGTGATGGTGATGGTCTCCGTAGCCTGCTGGACGTCGGTCACGCCGTCGGCAGTGATAGTGATGGTCTCCGTGGCCTGCTGGACGTTGGTCACGCCGTCAGCGGTGACGGTGACGGTCACGGTGCGCTTGGGCCTCTGTTTACGTGATTGTTAGCTGTTGCCATTCTCCCCAAGTGTTCGTTTGATAGAATGTGGGGGTAGATCAAGAGATTTGACACGAACCTTGGTGCACTTGGTGCGGGTGGTGACGGGGAGATCGGTGCCCTGGCCGGGGATGCGGCCGAAGATGGCACGGATGCCATTCGCCTGGGGCTGGGGAGCGGCAGCGGCGAGGGCGAGAGGAACGCCGGCGGCGAGAGTGGCGAGAGAGAACTTCATTGTCGCGGGGAAAAAGAAGGGATTATGTATTAACGAGAGTGTGTGTATAAAAAAACGACTGTGGGTTGGGATCAACGACTGAGTCGAGTCCGCAAGTGAATTAACGAAAGTGGTGCCCGGTGGGACGGAAGTTGGCTGAGACCTGACGGGATCGTGGGGGATGAGGCAGGAACAAAGAGGGAGCACTCCCACGAGGTGTGTTCGAGGTGCGGTCATCTTCGCTTTATACGACCGTCCATCATCTCGCCTTCCAATCTTCGGAGCGCCCCTTTTTTCCCTCTTTCTTGTCTTGGCTTGGGTCCAAGAACAGTGGGCATGCAGCCTTCCTGCGCCTCTCTCCACCCCGGGAGATTTCCTGTCAGCTCAGGAACGCGTGCCGAGTTGGGAAATACTACATGGGCAAGTACACGATGTAGTGTAGTGTATGCGCCCAGGCACACCCTTTGTGCCTGGACATCGTGGAACCCACCCTGACACTTGTAGCTTGTTGTGGGTGTTTGTTTTCTCTTCCCAGCGAACTGGGTGTTAGTTCGGATGTCGCGCGGTAGTCTTGACGAAAATGGGTAATAAGCTTCGAGGGCGGACAGGGGTGTGCGAGATTACCTCTTCGCCTGGTTTAGGAATGCTTGCTCGCCTATATTCCATGTGTACCTGTGATTAGAGTGGAAAAGCAAGTCTTGGGTGAGTATCTCGGTGGTGGCGATGAGGGCAGAGGTGTGTGTGTGTGCGGGCAGAGAAGAAGACAAGACGCTGGGTGGGCCAGCCCTTCTCACAAACGGCGCTTTTTTGGTAGTGGAAAGGGGACCTGCGTGCGGCGAGCTTGAATATGCGCTGTTCCGCACACACACCCCGGCCGGGGTTGGAACGAGGAAAATCGATAGTTTGTTGCGCCACGCTCGATGCCCATTGGACGGGAGTGGCTTCGGGGCCCGTGGTTCTGGCAGTGCTGCTTCGATGGGCTGGATGCCGCTCATGCACATGGCAATACCCCTGGGCCATCAATGGACGGGCAGGACAAGGGGGAGGGAAGAGGGCAAGAGAAGAGTCTCTTCTGCACTTGAGCGAATATCAATCCAGTGTTTTGGGCGGTTGGGGTTGGCTGGCTCTGGTATCTCGCTTGAAGAGAAAAGTCTTAAACAACGAATAAGCGAAGAAAAAGAAAGACAATCACCGTCACGGTTACTGATTGATAGCAAGAGCAAATTCCCCGATCAATCAATGTCTTGCCAGGTCCCCTCGTTTCGAGAAGTGTGCCGAAGCATAAAGAGCGACGCACTGGCTTTTGTCCCTGCGCTAAGCCGACGCAGAAGAGCCAATCGCCGTTCAGTCCTGCCCCTGCACGCTACGAGTTGGGACAGTTGAGCTATTGATTCCCCATCATGCAAGGGGCAAGTGTCTACTTGGAGATTCGTCCATTTTTTGGAGAGTCTATGTACATACAGCACATGAGCTGACGGCCCCCTTCTTGCTTAACAGTCGGGGCTCCACTCAATGCTTGATATGCTTGGCGTGGGTCCAAGGTCTCGCCTTGTGAGTTTGTGTGACCCAGGCCCAGGATAGAGGATGGTGATGATGGCTACTAGGTCTCGGGTCTTGTTGGTTGTTGGTTTTTGACTTACCGCTCGAAATTTGATGGCTCTGGTCTTGGAAGACTTGGTATTGGAAAGAGAGAACGACATAACTCTGAACCCAGCGAGCCCCCTTCGATGCATGTCCACGAGGACCGTATACATCCAGGCAGTGTGGTGCATGAGTTCTGGTTCCCCACTATCGCCAACCGAGTTTTGCGGGTGTGGATAGCGCCCCCATCTGGTCCCTCCGCCCCTCCGCCCCTCCTTCAGCGCTGCTTGTGTCGACTTGGCACGAAAAAGAAGCCTAAATGGGAAACCAAGAAGGGAGCGCGTTTTAAGATCACCGGGATGGCAAGAGCCGTGAATGCCGTTTTCATTCCGCGGTGCTCCACTGTTCCACTCGTTTTCAACGCTCAGAGTGCTCCCTTCATTCGCGAGAACGATGGCCATGACGCTCACTCTGCCCGTCGCGACAACTGTATCTCACGGGACTCGGATACCGAGAGAAAAATAAAAATAAAAAATAACACAGCCATCGCCAGAGCCGACGCCCCCTCTCTTCTTTCGGGCTGCGTTTGTTGTTCATCCGGGAACGTAGAACGCGCTGGCCAGAGAGATGAAGTGGCGCTCGATCGTGGAATACATGTAGACCTAGACTGCAAACGGTCTCGGTCAACTCTGTGCGCATGCGAGTGTGTTTTCCTCTGGAATGACAAGCCACGCCCGACCCACGGAGTGTCCATCAACGTCATCGTCACGATGAAGGATTCTTTGGTCCAGCCTTAAAAGGGGAAGGAAGGGCTTGAAGAACCTAGCTACATTTGTCTCTCTTTTTCCTTTTGTTCCCTTTCCTGTTTTTCCACTTGGCGCGGCGTCGGCTTTGCTTTTCCAAGACTGTGCTCTCTTCCCCAATTAGTTGGAGCTAAGCGAGAGATCGTTAGAAAGCGGTCCTTCTTTAACACTGAAGTGTTACGAGTGGGGTGAGAAGCAAGTATGGCTGCTTGCATTTATGCGTGTCTCGACAGACGTGTTGGCGAAGGACACTAATTCATTGCTTGCCCCAAGTGAGCTCTAATAAGATCCAACTTATTACTCTGCAAAGCTTCAGAGCCCGTCTCCTAACATCTACAATCTGTGCGTCGAAGTGATGTGGGCGGGTGGGTGGCAACGGTTCTTGAGCCTTGTTAACACAGACCTCGCCAGTCATGACTGGACCCTCGGATGAGATGGTGTGGCACGACAGGCCAGCCGGTCGAGACTTGTTGGACAAAACAGAAGGTGCTTCTGCATGTATACTGCACTCTTGCAGTCTCGCCGCCTAGGTTTCTTCGTGTTGAGTCTTGTGCGAGCGAACGCGCCAAGGTGAGGTCATTCCAGCCCCTGCCAAGTCGTGAAGTACATACACTATTACAAAGTACAAGCTTGCAATGATCTTGTTACTCCCCCTCCTTCACACCACACTATCGGCTTGGTTCATTTTCTTCCTCGTGTGTTATCGTGGGCGCGATCATACTAATCAGTGCACCAGGTTTGAGTATTATTAATTCGGTATCGCTACAAAGCCAGGGCCAGACAGGCAAGGGGTTGTTGCGGAGGATTGCGGCTGACTGAACGCACCCTGGCTGGCTCATCTCATGAATGCTTTTCCTTCTTGGCGCGATATTTCCCTCAGCCTGTGTTGTTGCCGCTGGCCCCTTTTACCGCTGGAATGCATCCATTGCCACCTGCTTTGATGCGCCGATGCATTGAAGTCATTGTTTACCGAGGTATTGAGGACATGGATAATACACCGTAAAGTCCTATAGAGGGAGGTGATCGCTTGTCCCAAGAGATATAAAATTACAGGCGACTAAAATCGGGCAAGAGAAGTGGGTTCCGCTCTATTTGGTATGTTTTTAGCTAGAGAGTGAGGGAGGCTCATCCCAATAGTTTGTTCTCGGAGGAGAAAAAGAAAAGGGAGAAAGGATCAATTGATATTATCCATCACATTGAATGGACGATTATGGGCGATGAGTGGACGCTGATACTTTGTCGCTTCGACTCGACGCACCAACCCAACTCTGCATCTCGTGCTGTCTCTCCTTTCTTCACATTGTTCCCCATTGATGTCTTCTTCAGCTGCATCCCCATCGAGGCTTATTTTCGTTCCTTTTTCCATTCTGTTGCCTTCCAACGTCTCCTCAGTCCAATCGCTAGCGTGGGACCAGCCCACTCATCTGGACAGTCCCATGAATCAATAGTGATGTCGGGTCCATCCACTCCATTCAATGTGACTGGCCTAAGCCCGATACTGTTGCATTGATCTATCCATCCATTGATGGACCCATCATTCAATGCCTCCAGCTGGACTGGACGCGGTATTGAGAGGTGCAGAACAAATAGAACATTCAACGCACCTCGCGCTGTCTGCACGACGGCCCCGTACTCTCCACACACACTAATTTCGAAGCTTCGTACAGTCAATTATCAAGAAACATCTCCCCACACATCCATAGATAACCTGTTCACATGCTGACGAGTTGCACAGAGAAAAAGAGTCTCGTCATTGATACGATTTTTATAGGTTGATCGATTCCAGTGTGGCCCAGAGTCTTTCCCACGCTCCTCAACAGGCCTTGTTGCGCTCGACTCTGCTCCATTTTGCACGACCGTTCGCGTCAGTTTTCTTCGCCAAGCGAACACCGGAATATTTTCAGAATGTCGTTGTGTCGTCCTACACTACCGTGATATGCCGCCTTGGCGATGGTGGAGAGGGATGATCATTGCCTAGAGTGGTCGTGCCCAGAGTCAAAGAATGGGCCTCCGCGGACAAGGGCAATGCCATTTGATCCTTTGGAATCCTTAGGGCTAGAGAACCCCAGATCAGCGTGGCGGGGATTTGCACCATTGAGCACTTCAAGTTTTGGGAACCGGCTGCTAATCTTTGATCGCTTCAAAGATGGCTGCAAGTATCACATGGTGAAGATCCCGACATGGACGTCCCGACTACGCCATGACGGTCCCTGTTAAACCAAAGGATCAATTCTGTTCACGAGCGAGGTCTGGTCACCGATTGACAGCACAAAAATCTGCTACGAGTTCTCGTCTGATACCATTGGGTATGAGATTGAGCGATAGGACGGACGCGCAGCTGTGGAATGTGATCCGCACTCAGGGCGCCTGGCACTAATCGCGACAGCACTCATGGCCTCATATCCTTGACTGCTGCTCGCCCCAAGCCGTGAGGGAATGGGAAGAACTGCATCAATTGATGCACACGATTGAAGCAAGCGCCTCAACGACGAGATTGTCTCACCAGTCATGCCTGCTGGCTGCCTAGAAACCCGAGACACATGGTGCTCCAAACGAGGTGATTCGCGAGAATTAATCTATCGGGAATTCCGAGAGGAGGAGAAGCTGCGGCGCGCCCTGTAAGGCTGGCCGATTCTCAACCAAGGCAATTGTTCGACTTTGTTCGACATGGCGGGGTGGCTTAGGCAGCAGCTACCCCTCGGAGCTGACTGCAGCCATTCACCGTCTCGAGATGACAACCCACCGCCTCACTTCGTGCATGCACCGCCCCCAAATCCAATGGGGATTGACATTTTGGGAGGGAGGGAGATGTAGGTAAATAGGAGGCGCCGTGTCTTTGAACATCAAACACATATTTCTTCTTTTCTTGCCTTTCTTCATTATTGAGGCTTAAGAATCGTTGATCGGCTTAAACGAACGAGAAAGAAGAAGCAAAGAAAGAACGAGGAATCTGGGAAACACATTGAAGCGAACGAAAGAAAGAAAAAAAAAAGACCAATTCTTCTGCCCGCTGTGTTTAAACCCTTTCCCGTTTTATCCATCTCTTCCCCTTTTTTGCCCTCCTCTCTCTGCCCGTGATGTCGCCCTCCAACGTGAATATCGAAGAGGCCGTCGAGAGCTCCTTCACCCTCGTCGACCGCCTCCACGACCCCCTGCGCTTCCCCGGCAACGACGACGTCGACGAGCCCGCACCCTCGGCGCTCGTCATCGAGGACTCGGCCGTGATCGAGAACCTCTACGAAGGGCCCCGCAAGTGCCGCTGCTGCGTCAACTGGGTCGACAAGATCCCCGAAGAGGCCGAGCCCGACTCGGACAGCGACGACGACGACGGCCGGGGCACCCCCATCGTGATCCGCTACTTCGTCACCCGCGGCGAGACCGCGTCGCGCGTGTCCATCCACTCCATCGAGATCAAGGACGCCGCCGCCCGCAAGGTCCTCTTCTCCGTCTTCGAGGGCTACGACAACATCCACCCGGACATCAACTGCCTCGTGCTTCGCGCCCCTTTCAAACCCTTCTACTACCGCTGGGCCCGGTTCCAGACCGCCGTGGACGCGTGCGAGGATCCCCGCACCGCCGAGATCCTCCAGCAGCTCCGCTGCGTCGTCAAGTCGGAGCTGAGCAAGGCCTTCACCGTGGAGAAGGAGCTGGTCGCCAACGGGCTCATTAGTTTCCCTTACCTGTGGACGATTTTCCGCCCCGGCGGCCTCGTGTGCGAGGACTCGTACCGCGGCGTCCGGTTCTACTACGTGGAGCGCACCGAGGACTTCGCCGCCGATCCCGAGTTCCGCATCCACGCCCTCGGCCTCGAGTACGACGGGTACCGGTGGGGCTTCTTCCGCACCAGCTTCACCATTGACCACTTTGACGGCGTCAAGAAGATCACCGACCTCTTCGTCTTCCCCGAGCGCTTCCTCGAGGATGCCGAGAAGAGCAAGGCTGCCGCCATCGAGCGCGGCCGCAAGTACCAGTCCCTGACGGATACCCGCTACATGGAGTACCCTGACGACAACGGCCTGCCCCTGTGGCTGCCCCACGCCATGGACAAGAGCGGCGGGGAGGAGGAGGAGGAGAAGAAGAAGACGAAGGGGAAGACCAAGGACGACAAGGACGAGGGCAAGCAGCAGGAACGCACGTACAACCGTGTCATGATTGACTTTGGCAGCACCCACCTGCGCAAGCCCCGCCTCGCCATCTTCCGCGAGGAAAAGGACATGACGTGCGAGACGGGCGCCATCGCCCAGGTCCCCGTCGACACCCCCGTCGGCGGGCACAAGCCCCTCGTCCGGAACCGCCGCGCGGACTCGAGGTCGCCCGAGCGCAACGACTACTCCGACTACGATGCCAACAACGCCGCCTACGAGCGTAGGCGCGTGCGCCGTCCCAGGCGGCAGTCGCGCTCCGTCTCGCCCGACGCGCGCTCGCCCCGGCGCGATCGGTATTTCGAAGAGGAGCACATTACCGATTTCCACCTCTTGATTTGCGATACGAGGCTACCTGGGTTTTGTCTCAAGAGGAGACGCTGGCGTATGTTTCTTTTTCTTTTGTTTTCTTGTAGTTTTTTTTGTTTTCTTCCGCTAACGTTCGCTGCAGAATACTTCCAGGTCGATCTCGTCCGCGATATCCAGTGGAGCGCCGACCCCTTCAACACTCTTGTGCTGCCCGACGGGTACAAGGACCTTATCCTGTCCTTTGTCGAGAGCCACATTGGGGGCGAAAAGTCTTTTGACGATGTTATTGGCGGAAAAGGTGCGTGCATTCCTCCTTGCTCTCTCGACACCCTGCTTTCCATACTCCTTTGTGATTAGCTTGCACAATACTGACTTTATACGTCCTTGATATCAGGCAGTGGTCTCGTTGCCCTACTCACCGGGCCCCGGGTGTGGGTAAAACGCTCACCGCCGAATCCGGTACGTCTTTCCTTCCCACCCTCTTTCCTTGTTTCCAGACAAAGCTAACCTCTATGGCTCTCCCTAGTCGCCGAAACACTTCGAGTGCCTCTGTACTTCTTGGATCTCGGCCAGGTCATCGTCGAGCTAGACGAGGAGCGGTACCCAGGTCAGCGCGTGGACCTAGAAAGGTCAAGCTCCAAGACGCCTTCAGGCTCGCCGAGCGGTGGAACGCCATCCTGCTCGTCGACGAATGCGACTTGTACCTCGAGCCCCGCAGCGAGACCAGCCCCGTCCGCAACCGAGTCGTGACGAGTATGTCCATCTTCCCTTTTCTTTTTTTTTTTTTTTTTTGTTCTTCTGCATCTCTCTCTCCCTAGTGTCTAACCTTGTCTCGCGCCACCCAGAATTCCTCCAAGAAATCGAATACTCCTCCTCCCTCCTCTTCCTCACCACCAACCGCCCCAACGCCCTCGACCCGGCTCTCGCCTCGCGCATCCACCTGACCGTGACCTACCCGGCCCTCGACGAAGTCAGCCGCCGCACCATCTGGGAGACCTTCCTCTCGCACAACGGGTGCCCGCGGCTGCAGCCCGCGGCCCTCGACGTGCTCTCGCGCGTGCCCCTCAACGGCCGCCGCATCCGCAACGTCGTGCGCGCCGCCTCCATCATGGCGGGTCGGAATAAGCGCAGCGTGGAGTTTACGGACATCAAGACTGTCTTGCAGATTATCGAGGGCCAGGTTGTGGAGGACCCGAGGGCGGGCGGAGCGGCTTGAGGGGGACGAAGACTCGTTACGGTTCAAAGTTTGTGTATGAGGAAATGATGCGACGGCTTTGGGTTCACTTTGTCTTCACTCTTTCTTTTTGTTTTTTTTTTTTCTTTGTCACGTTTTTATGACATTGCTCGGGTAGCAAACGAACCAGATTGACTAGCTAAGAAATCATGAACCATCATTAAAAGCTTGACATGAGAACCCGTGGGATAGAACAAAGAGTAGCCGTGAAAGCTGGATATAAATCTCATAACAAACGAAACGAAAAGAAAAGAAAAACCACCCCTAACGCCTTTGCCCATCATTACCAAGAGTCCTTCCTCCCCCACCTCCTCCATCTCATCCCCAGCGTCGCAGCCCCTCCTGACGAGCCAGCTCCTCACGGAACACATTCCTCCCCGGCGCCGGCGGGCCGCTCGGGAAATCGCTCTCGTGCCTCGGAAACCCAGGCGACACCTCGAGCGGGATATCCGTCGACTCCTGCGCTTTGCTCCGCCTAGCGCCGTAGCTGCTCCGCGGGAGCCGCCGCCCCCACCGCGGCGGCCGCCGGCACGCCTCCGCTTGATGAGGAACCAGGCCACGAGCCCAATCATGGCGGCACCTACGATGCCCGCGACGACGCCCGCGGCGATGTTGATCCTGTTGGCCTTCTTATCCGCCGCCTCTTTCTCCTTCTCGGTGCCGCCCCCGCCAGCGAGCCGTCGTCTTCGTCGTCGTCGCCGATGGCGAGGAAGACTTTGGGTCCAAAGTCGGTCTCGCCGTCAGGGCCCGTCTCGGTGGGGTACACGAGGCTGAGCTGGACCTGGCTGTTCTCGAGGTCGGGCGCGGACTGCGCGTCGGGGACCCAGATGTGGTAGCCGCGGGCGGCGGGGTAGGTGTCCTCGGATAGCCAGGACTGGTTGAACACGCCGGTGGCGTCGCCATCGGATTGGAGGTAGGTGCCCATGACGCGGATTTCTGTGCCCGCATCTGGGAGAGCATTCGCGTCCCACGTTACTAAAAGAAGAGACGAAAAATTGGTTAGCCGTTTTGCAATATTCTAGAAGAAATTGCAGACAAAAAGAAAAGAAACGTACCAAAGTACCTCTGGCCAACGATGACCTGCGCACCATTCGCAGGAGCGCAAATCGGCTGATCCTTGCCCCCGAGCCCGTCTGCTCATCGCACACGAGGAACGCACCGGAGCCGTCGGGGCTAGCGGTCGGGGTCTTGGCGTCCCCGGCAAAGGTCGACGTGTACTTGCCGTCCTGCACGGTCGGGGTGACGGTGGCGGCGACGCCCTGGGCGTTGACCGTGACCCAGGGCCGGAGGTTTTCGTCGTCGCTGCCGTCGCCGCTGCCGCTTCCGTCGCTGGTCGGGGGCGTGCTGGCGGTGTGGTTGGTCTGGCGGGGCGCGAGGGCGCTGGCGCGGGTGGAGGCCGAGAGGAGGAGGACGAGGGCGGTGATGGCGAGGCCCCGCACCGAAGATGGGGCGGCCATTTTGTTTTTTTTTTTTTTTTGGTGGTTTGGCGGGACGGGCGGCGGTTGTGGGGAATTAAATTGTTCCTTGAGAGAAAAAAAAAATGAATAACTAGCCCTGTCTGGCTGCGTCGCTTTCTTCTCTCCTCCGTTAAAGGCCGTTGATCGGTGAGCCTGAGAGAAAACCCAAAAAGAATTCAATCGTGAGGAGGCAACCGGGACACGCAAGAAGAATCCCGAGATGGGGAGGTCAACTCAAGGGACGCAGAGTGGTTTATATGAACTCGCATGCAACAAAAACGGCTGGGCCCTCGAATCGCATCATCCTCTCGGGCTCATGGCGGCATCGTCCACACCAGCAGGTTGGTTGGAAAGCAGGTCGGACACCACCACGACCCAACGCCAAGAGTGATTGTACACGCCGTGCATCTAGAGATACAAGGGATCCAAGGATTTCAGCAAGGGTACAACCTCTCTTATCGCACCCGTTTATTGGAACAAAAAGAAGAGCTCACACTAAAGAGCTTCATACACTAAAAGACAAGCAAGTCAACGCTACTTTCCCGTGCCGGGCGGCAGCTGCACAAATCCGCTACCTCGCGCTGCCTGTTCTGTTCTCGCCTCTTGGCTCACCTCTTGGCGAAAGCACTCAAAGGCGGGGCGCGGGGCCCAAAATCCGTCGAGTAGATGGACAAAGACCCCCCCAAGGAAAGAAAAGAGACAAAGAGAGAAGAGTAAATGGGAATGGCGCAGTTTTTGGCGCCCTTCCTGCACCGTCACCTTGCATACTGAAATTCATGCGGATGGGGTGTGACAAGCCTGGTCGGCAGGTGAGCTGCTTCCCCGCTCCTTGGGATCCTTTTGGGTGCTAAGCTGTCGTCGAGGTGTGCGAGGAAAGCTGCTTGCTTTCTTGCACAATTGATGGGGTCAAATCGACGGACGGGCTTGATTGATCAATTGACCCATCCATGCCCGGTCGCCTCCTTCGACCAGGCCCGCCTTCTTTGGCCTAGTGTTGGCCCTTATTCCCGGCTCTTTAACACGCAAAAACGACAAACTAATATGAGTCTTGGTTCGCAATCAGCCCGCCATGGCTATGGATGGATCGATTAATACTACCTCAAAGTGCCAAACCACAGGGAAGACGAATATATCCCTCTTTCTTGCTCAAGGGTGACGGCCCATCCACCCCGCTTTCCAAAGCGGGAAATCCTTGCCGTTCACAGTTCTCATTGTCCTCTGCGGAGCGAGCGTAAGTTATCGATCGAAAGGAGTGGGAGGTATAATAACTCTGCCGCTATTACTCGCCAGCGAAATTGGACAAGCGTATTTGGCGATTCACTGACGAACCGATGGGTCTACCGTCCATCGACAAGCGCTGGAGATGATAAAATCGCCCATTAATCGAGGGCTGACCACGGGCAGCCCCACTCACCCACCAGCCACCACCCACCCGCGACGGACATGATCAGCAGAAGCCAAGATGGGTTCTACTAAGCCGTTGTCCTCGCCTTTCAAGTCTTTTACATCCGTATGAATAAAAGAAAAAGATGAGATAGGCCCTTTAGAATCTACCACCATATTTCTCAACCCTTGTAGTTCCATAAAAGCCGAGATGAGATAGATTGGCAATTAGACCCGGTGCCGTGAAGACCATGAAATAATGCATTGTAGCACCAGAACCCAGTAGCACTGTTCAAGAAAGGCGTTCTCAAGCTGTCAATGGCGCACGGACGATCCACCACGGGCTTCACCAAGGAAAAACCTCAGCGCCCTTGACTCCCGGTCCACTGGATCCCACGATAGGAAGAGTCGAATCCTTGACAGCCGCTTCTAGAGAGCAGGTATAGTTTTCCGCCGTCATGATTCCAGCGGCCAAGTAGTTGGCGTGTTCAAGTCTTGAGATGGTCCTAGACCAGCGTCACCTGTCTCTCCTCGGAAGCCTGCCTAAACCAAAGTATGAAATTCGGTTTCCCCTCCTTCGTTGCCGGCACCGAGTTGCGGTGATTCGCCCACGCGATCCCAATCCTCCTGTACTCCCCATCACTGCCCGGATTTTCCTGTAAGAGGAGAAACGCAGCCCTCGTCAAAGTCCGCCCCTGCGCTTCGAGTCCCTTGGTCCACTCTAGGGCCTTGAAGACCAGAATCGGTTCCCCGGGCACCATGTTGGAATCCGGTAGTTGAGAGTCAAACAGAGGAGCGAGGCGGTCTGGTATACCGAGACCTTCATCTACCTGCTCGTCTCCCAAGACGACGTCAACCACGCGTAGAGACCCCTTGACAACCTGCTCTCGAAGCGTCGCCGGCACCGCCGCACCTCTCAACGTGATTTTGCCCACATCCAAAAGCCCGATAATCGGCGGCGGATCCGGCGCGTACTCCACTCCAACGACCCGCGCCGTCGACAGCGCAGGCTCCAGACCTTTCTCGTGGCACTCTTGCACGTACTGCACGCAACCCTGGGGACCCGAGTACGTCACCTCGCCCCGCACCGACGCCCACGACCACGACGGCACGTGCCTCTGCGCCGCCGGCCGCGCCGACTCCTCGGCAAACGCCCAGCACAGGTCCATGGCCAGCGTCTCCCGCCACAAGCCCGCCAGGTACACGGGCGCCTCGTCCCCCGCCGACACGAGGCCGGCCAGCCCCGCGAGCGAGGGCAGGTAGTCGGCCGCGAGGGTGAAGTCGAGCTTGGTCAGGTTCTGCACGTGCTCGTACCACAGGGTCTGCCGCTTGTTGTCGCGCAGGTTCGCGGCGTGGGCGACGGCGAGCGCGGCGTTGGACTCGACGCTGGTTTCGGGCACGTGGGCTACCCCGCCGCATTGGCAAGTTGTGGTGCCGTGGCACTCCCAGAGTAGTTCGCGCGGGGCGAAGTGGAGGAAGCGCCGCGAGAGGATGTGTTCCTGGTATACCCATCCCCGGGTGAGGAGGGGGAAATCGCGAATGAGGCTCTGGACCGTGCCGAATTGGTGGTTGAGCGGCTTGCGCGCCGTGATGCGGACCGGCTGCGACGTTTTCTCGTCGTGGGCGGTGATCTCGACGGTGGTCTGCTGGTGGGCGTCGGGGCGGAGGAGACCCGCCGTGCCGTCGGCGCCCGAGGAAGCCCCGAGGGTGAAGTAGGCGTTGCGGTAGTAGGCGGCCATTTTACCCGCCTCGCGGCGCCAGTCGTCGCCGTCGTCCTGCACGATGCAGAGGGAGTCGATCCAGACGAGGCGGATGCCCAGCTCGAACACGAAGCTCAGCGAGTCGCGAAACGTTTGGGAGAGCTCGTCCCACGGGATTTCTGTCTTGTGGCGGTCCACATTGTCGCGCCGCGTGGTGATGATGGGGTGCAGGCCCCAGCAGTGGCTGAGGCAGACGTACCGATCCACGTCCTCCGCGTGCGGCTCGAGCAGGCGGACTTGGAGGCCGGTGTTTGACCCCCTGCCTGGTCTGCCTTCGATCTGTACGAGTCGTCGGGGGAGGGAGGGGCGAGAGGTGATACGCACGTGGCGTGGCTGCCTTCGCACTTGGCGATCCAGTGTCTTACTTGGGAGATGAGCTCGTCGCTGAGGAGGGTTTCGGGCCGTGGTACGTCGTGCAGTTGCGGTATTAGAGACCACGGACACTTGTCGTCTGTGCAATGTTAGAACAATAAAGGTACATATCGCAGTATATATATATATATATATATATTCGTGGTACCTAGGTCTTTAGAGAGCCTCCACGTCTTACCAGGTTTACATACCGTCCTGAGTAAATAGCTGGATTTGAACAAAGTTGCCCTCTTCGTCCCCAAAGTCGTCGTCGCGCCCACCATCGTCACCCCCTCGTCCTCGCCGGATAGGTCTAACGAGCCGTAGATGACGAACATAAGAACGCCGGCACTTTCGTGGAGGTTGAACTTGTAGTTTTTCGGGGTTTCAACATGATCAGGAGCGTGATAGCTCGCAGCCTCGGCGAGCGCTTGACACTTCTGACATCCCCTTTTCGCCGACTCGAGCACATCAAGTAAAGGAAGATCGTGGTTTCGGCATTGTTCCAGTTTGGAATAGAATTGATACTTGTCAAGATCTAGACAGGTCTCGCATTTGGGTGGCCGCCTCATGGTGATCTAATAAAGTTGGATCGGTCCGGTTCTCGTGTCCGTCGGGTGGTGGTGAGATTTAAATATGCGTCACTGTCATCGATTGGGCTGCTGTGGGGGTTGCGGAGAGAAGAGAGAATGGCCCGGCAGCTCGTGAGCGTCGAAGCAAGCTTAGTCATTTCAGTGCAACTGACGATGTCTGACAGCGCAAGCAACTATCTCGAGACATTGAGACTGGAGAAGTGGGATTTATTCTCGAAGACATGGAATCTTTCAAAACACGCCTCTGATTGATCGTGTTCGGGGTCTACCAATACTCAAAATATCGCTTGTAGGAAATGGTCTTTTGCGCTCCTCGTGTCGAAGTAAAGATATAGATAAACGCTAGACATACATGTATAACGTCTCCTGTGTCATGTCCTATCCCCTACTTTCGCCAAGACTTGGTGCACACATTCCCATCGAAGCTCCCATATACTATCGTGGTCCGCCCCTTCGATCGTCCTACTCTTGAACTCAATCACATCGTCGTACCCCTTACTCCAGCATCCGTCAAACCACAGCGGGCCCTTGGAGCCCCCATCCCCAATCATCCAATCCTTCTCGGCATAAAACACATCCACCACCAGCCGCCTCCCCGCCGCGCGCAAACCCTCGACCAAGCGCGGCACGAGCGTGTCGTAATCCTTCCAATCACTCCACCCACTTCCCTTTTGCATGAGCAGCACCGACTCGGGCGAGAGGCCCTGAATGCTCTCCGAATGGATGCGCTTGATGACGGAGGGCCACACCTCCTCCTCGAACGCGGCGCCCTCTCTCTTGGGGGTGGCCCCGTCGCCGCCGGCCTCGGCGGGCTTGGGCTCCGGGGTGACTTTGGATGCGAGGGCCATGCTGAGGTTGATGCTGCCCCCGATGACGGGGGCGAGGTGGTTGACGAAGAGCTTGGCGAGCTTGTCCGTCGTGCCAATCAGCCCGGCGGGGAAGGTCTGCACGAGGCTCATGGTCGTCGAGTTGGTGTGCGAGGGGTGGATCCACGGCGCGCCGGCGGCTAGGTAGGGCATGTCCGGGTCCAGGAGCTCGTGGTGGTGGAGGAGCAGGTCCAGGGCGTAGATGGTGCCTCCGCTGTGACAACCTAGGGAGATTTTGGAGATGCCCAGGTGTTTTAGCAGCGCCGGTATCACTTCTGTGCAGGCTTTGTTAGTTTTGTTTCCGCGTACGCAAAGTCAAGGCCACATAAAGATGGAGAATTGAGCCAGGAAAAAAAAAGAAAAGAAAACCTCTCATTTCTTCTGATTCTTACCCCGCCAGACTTCAAGCCTCTTGTCCGCCTCAACAGCGTCCGTCATTCCCATGCCCGGCCTGTCCGGGTTGATGATGCGGACTTTGTGCTTCCTCGCGAGCTCATCCTTGGCCACGTGGACGAGCCGCGAGCTGAGGAGGGGGCAAAGTAGAGGAATACGCGTTCCTGCTCGGGGTGCTCCTCGTCGCGGAAGCCAAAGTCGGCGTACCCGACCTTGAATGGCGCGGTGCGCCCGTTTGCTAGGTGGTCGGGGAGCTGGAACTCAAAGGTCCTGCTGAACCGCGGGTCGTCGAGGAAGCCGTCCGGTATCGTCATCGTGCCGCTGGGAAACCTCACAAGCTGATTGATTAGACTGAGGGGTCAGGGAAAGTGAAGAGGGGATTCAGCCTGGAGATTGCGAAGGAAGAGGTTAGATAAGAGCCTAGGAGCGGTTGACTACTTGAGCATGTGTGTGTATGCGTGTGTGTACGTATGCTCCTGTCAGATCAAAGGGGTGCGATAGCTGAGGTTCATGGGTTCAGACTGACTCGCAAGCGGGGTGGGGCCATCTGAATCCTTCTCGCTATTTTCGGCGTAAGCCAACCGTTGTTGAGCTGATGGAGCTACTAGTGGGGAAATACGAAGTCTAACGTTGCAACACATGGTAATAGTCCTTGAACTCGGGGGAAAATGTTTAAATATTGGCCTAGAGTCTTCTTAGATGTCAACGTATCATTATTAGGCATGCGTCTAGAAGGAGAAATCACCAGACGCAAGAGACATCCATAAATCTCGAGAGAGAGTTGGCTCAGAGGTCGGTTGGCTTTCATATAGGGCTGAGATGGAAAGGTATTTGGCCCAAACGTAGAAATCTCCGTCGAATTTTCATGAACCCCTGGTGCACTCTTAGACACGCTGTCGACGACCAATTTAAAGCTCGATGTGAGACGATGGGTTCGCTCGAAACGAGCTAAGATAATCGAGGCGGAATTGATCGCGGGATTGATCGCGGGAGGTGCCGATGAAATAGCTATAGTGGGTCTATAACACTTCTAAAACTTTGGTTTTTGCGTAACGCAAAAGACATAAGGCAAAAAAGGGAGCTGAGCAATAAGATGATGCGCGCTACGATCTGGGAAAAGTGTTTAGAGTAAAAGGTGCAATTCTCAGGCAGCATGGCTCGCGATTGTCCAACAACCTTCTAGCACCAATCTATGTAACCCAAGCTCATCGCTCTGGGAATGATGGCTTTGATCATGTTTAAACTCAGAGGTATCACGAGATTCAGGGTGCACCTAATATACTCCACGGAATCGAGAACTTATAGCGTAGGGGCCTGGCAAACTCCCATTTCTTTACGCCCCATCTTGCTTCACACGCAAGCACTCGGGTGCGTGGAGCAGATGTCCCCTTCTCTGCCGCACGAAGCAAGCGTACAGTCCACCGGCAAGGTATACGGCGCCCACACTAATGGCCACCGGCCAGTGAAACTGATCTGGCCGCGAGAAGATGATGGTCATCGAGTACGAAGCTAGCTCGAAGAGATTTTGGAAAGCGGCTTCCACGGTGGAAAATGCGCCCCGGTAGCCGTGTTCGACCTCCTATCAAGTTGTGTTAATGAGTGTCTTCACCTGATCAAGGGAATCGGTCACACGCAACAAGCCTTTCTTGAAGCCAAGGGGATAGGAATGATGTGGGGAGTGATTAAAAACATACATCTTGGACAATACTTTGCGCGCACAGATCGAACCCCCACAAGCCCACGCGACTGACAGCGACGCCAATAGTAAGCACCCTCGCAGCGGCCATGAGGTCGGCGTCCGGACGGCGCAACTCGACGGCAAAGTAGCCCACGCCAGCGGCAAGCCAGACCATGAGCCACGAAGCGCTCCAGATACCGCCTCTGACGGCGCCGATGCGGTCCATGAGCCGGGGCGCGATCCAGGTCGCGCTCAGCTCAAAGACGGTGCTGACGGTGCGAGCGAGGCCCACGTGGCCGGGGCTATAGCCAACCGATAAAAGAAAGGTGACCATCTGCCCGGAGAAGGAGAGGACGGTGAGGTAGAGCAGCGCGAGGGAGAAGGAGGGGAGGAATGCGCTGTGGCGGAAGTAGAAGGGTAGCGAGGAGATGGGTAGGATGGTGTGCGCGAGGGACGGCAGCCGCTGCAGCCATGGGTGGGCTTCTGGGCGAGAGCTTGCTGTTGAGAGGAGACCGGCGGTTTCGTCTTGTCCGTCTTCGGGGTCGGGAGAGGGGTGCTGGGGCCGACGCAGGGAGGGTGCCATCTTGTATACCTAGATGAGAGAAATCACTTAGTGGCAGTTCAAGGGCAAGGACCCGCTTCTGCCAAAGGTCTAAAATTTGAGAATAGGGGATACTTACTCGTTCGATGCATACATACTCGAGGCCCACGGCGGCAAGGTTCATCGCCAAGGTTGCCCATATCGCGACCAAGGTGGAGGCGATTGCGATTGTGGAGATGACGAGCGGGCCGACGAGTTTACACAGGAGATCGATGCGGCGGATCTGCGCGTTAAGGGCTGCGAGAAGAAGAGGCGGGTTGGTTACCATGTGCAAAGAACGAAGAAGGAGAAGGAAATAAAAAGTAAAAAATAAAAGAACGAAACGGATGCTTACTTCTTCTCGCCTCTTCATTCCCTTCAGTAATGACTACAACCTACAGCACGGCAGTTAATTGGGCTATTCCTGACCCAAAGTTTTCTTCTCAACCGTGAAGACATTAAACGTAAGTAGGAACTATAACCTACCCAATCCCGTTCAACGGAAACCAGATTCATGACAGAGCACAGCTTCTCCACACACGCCAGCAACACCAGCGCGGCAAACAGCCAACCACCCACAGCGCCGCCAGACGCCCCGCGCCTCAGCTCGAGAGCCCAAAAGAGGCCGCAGCTGGCGACGACGGCGACGCGCTGGCCGACGATGGAAGCGCGGACGACGGCGAGGCGGTCACCGTGGTCGATGTAGGACCCGACGGTCTGGGCGAAGAGGATGGCGGCGGCACTCCGGACGAGGGCGTAGACGGACATGGGGAGGAGGGTGTCTGGGTAGATGGAGGCGAGGAAGAGGACGGCGCCGAACTCGAAGAGGCGCGAGTTCCAGGTGGAGAGGAAGTGGGATATGTAGAGGCTCCGCGCTAGGCGTGTTGGAACGGCGGGTGGCCGGGGGAGGGCGGGAGAGCGGTGTGCGCGGAGGGGCGGGGCTTCCTGAGCCCCGGATTCCGTTGTCTTCTGCCGGATCCATCGCTGGAAGAGGAGGAAAAAAGAACGGCCTGGGTGTTAGGATTTACGGAGGGTGGTGCCGTTTACGGTGCCTCGAGACGAGGTTGACTCGGTGTCTGGGGAGGGGACCTTGATGGATTGTCTCCGGCATCGACATTTCTCGGCTCCGTGGCGTCGGCCCACTTTGAAAACCACGTGGGCCGATGTCGGCAATCCTTCTTGACAGCGGAATGCGGACATCATTCAGGGGTGTAGTCTAGATTGTAGTTTGATGGTGAGAGAGGCACATTAGGGTAGATGGATATGAAATAAGATGCGTTTTATTTTTGATTTCTAAAAGCAGTCGCTCAAGCAAAGGGCTCGTATTATTCTAAACACAAACACCGATCGCAGTCTTTGGATTGTGCGCTGACGGTAGACCAAAAACACTTATATGGCCCCTATGACACGACAAAAATCTGATGAGAAGACTGATATCATGATATCCTAATCGCAGCCTTGTCTCCGGTCTTTGCTTTTTCAACCGAGGTGCAAGAAGGGCTTCGAGATGCATGCATCAGTCTCGCCGACGTGTTCCTTGAGAGGCGAATGAGCGGAAGAAGAGAGAGAGCGGTGCTCAAAAAAATAGAACAAGAAAAAAATGAAAATGAAAAAGACATCAGAAAAAGGAAGGCGGGCAAAGGGTCACTAATGGCAAGGCATCCTTTCTTTTCTTTTTGTATCTGCAGGTGCGGAAACCTGCGTCGACGATGCATGGAGAGAGCCTGACCCATGAACGAGATGCTCATCGCGGCCTCAGCATCTCCCAGTCTCGGGGACGAAGACCGACCTAAAAATGCCCTCAGAAGCGGAAGTAAAGCCCTAAAAGCCCCCATTGACAGCCAATCCGGGCTGCAAAGAAGCTTCTTTTTTAGGCCCCGACATGCGGGTTTTGTGGCTGAGGGGCAGAGACCGCCAAAAGCCGCCGCAGATGCAGGCAGGCAGATATCAGGCACATTTCTCGCTCGCACAGCAGTCCGTTTTTGGTTTAGCCCCTCCAAAACAAAACGTTATTAACTTATTAATAATGCATTTCGTGATGGGCGAGCGACAAGTGCCTACATGTAGTGTACACTGCACTCTTTGTCGATGGGTCACAGCTGGTCAACCTAGGAACAGCCCCCCTTCCCCTCACCCCTTTTTGCCTGCCCAGAGTCCTCCATTGACCCATCGATCGAGCCATGGGCTGTGCGGGGCTAGCAGAGGTCCATTTTGGTGCAAAAATTGGATCCTCGTGCCCAATGGGGGCACAGGCAAGTGGTGGGCACTGGGCCCCCCTTGTTGAGAGATTAGAGATTAGCTGGCAGGCACCCTTCACGTCGGACGAACCAAGACAAGGGAATGTCCTCTGGGGTTGCACTAGAACCTCGTTGGCTGCGTGTGATTGGGCCACGGAGATGCTAAGCTTTTGGGTGGGAGTACTCAATCTCCCATCAATTCCGCAGACGAGAATGAAGAGGACCCCGTTTATCTGCAGGCTGGGTTTTGCATGTTCACGCATATTCACGCACTTGACGTGCGGAAGCTAAACGCCCCTCCTTTTCGAACAAAAAAAAAAGGTGTTATTCTCAAACTCGTATCGCGCGAGGGAATTGAAGTCCTAAAATTGGATGGCGAAGAAGGCCCCGTCCCATTCTCCTCTACGCCACAGTCCTACCCCTTACCCCAGACGACGGAGAACCGACCATGTTTTACGGAAGAGCACCCCCTTGTCCTCGTTTCGTTTGTTTTATTCCCGCCGCCCAGGGACCCAGAGAAGAAGGAAGGTATCATCTTGACCGCTCACCACAAACGGTCTCAGCTCCTCGCCCTACTTTGGAGGTACGAAGGTGGCTCCTCGAGAAGGGGGAGAACCCACCTCAGCCGCACCTCTTTATTGCCCGGCGCCGTTTCGAAAAACAGAAGGAAAAAAATCAAATGAGAGGTAGGATGGGGGCGGCGGGCAACTGAGTCCGGTTCCAGCACTCTGGAGATGCGTGCACAGCCACCTGCCGGCCCATGAAGCATTGAGGCGTGCCTAGTGACTGAACCGCTGGCCCCCTTGTTGTATGCTTGTCTGGGAAAAGCGCGGGAGTGATGGAATTGGCGCTCCGCTGGCTCCTCAAATCTGGCTGTTTCACGATACCGGTGACCGTGACCAGGCTACAAATACCGGCTTTTGCGCCGGCGGCCGTACACCACCCTGGGTCCTTCCCTTTCCTCTCTTTCTTCTCCATGATGCTTTTCAGCTCTCACTTCTCGCTCTACATGTAACCAACGTCGGCACTTTGGCAGGCCCTAACCGTCTTTCTCTCCTTCTCCACCGTAATTTAGAATCGCCGACCCTTAGCTCGAATACCCAGCTTTTCGTCTTCCGATCTTTGCTTAATTTCTGTCTCCCCTCCATTCCACTCCCCTCTCTCTAGTACGCCATGGAGTTCCTTCAACCCGCCTACCAGCCCATCGGCCTCTATGACTCTTTCACGGCTCGCCAGACCGAGGTCCTCGTGATCGATGAGAAGCTCATGTCCCTCTCGGGAGATAGCTTCGACATCCGCCTGGCCAGCGGCATGCCCCTGCTCAAGGTCAAGGGTAACCTCCTGTCTCTCAGCGGCCGCAAGGATGTCACCGACGTGCTCGGCAACCACATGTTCACCATCTCCAAGCGAGTCCTGAGCCTCCACGCCACCTTTGCCGTCACCAACTCTCAGGGACAGCTGATTATGGAGGTGAAGAACAGTTTGGTCCAGCGTAAGTGAAGAGAAGCCCTCCATATTCCTGATATTTTTCCCCAGAGGCTAACCGTAGCGGGGTGCTCCCCTCTGTAGTGATCGGATCCAAGGCCACGATTACCTTTACCTCCCTGCGAACGGGCAAGTACGAGACTTTTGTCATGCGCGGCAACTGGCGATCCTCCAAAGCCGACATCGTCGACGAGGCCACGGGCTTCGTCATGGCCCGCATCAAGCGAGATCGCACGGCGAAGCACTATCTCATGGGCGCCCAGACCTACACCGTCACGGTCGCTCAAGGCGTCGACATGGCCCTCGTGTCGGCCATGTGCATCTGCCTCGACGAGAAGAACGAGTGATCAGCGGCGAGATGAGTGGGCTATGGCGCACAAGGTGCTACCCAAGAACATAAGAAGGATAAGGACAAGGGGAATAATCCAAATGGAAAGAAATTAAAAAGAAACGGAACACTCTACTATCTTCAAATTTTCGGGGGTTTCTCTAGATATCGAGATGCCCATGGGACTTTTAGCGGGCTTTTTTTCTTGGTTTGGTTTGGTTTGGTTAGGTTAATTTTGGCGTACGATTTCACGACCCTCATGGATATCCCCAATCATTCGAGACACATACATTAGATGTATTTCGCTCTTGAAATTTGAAAAGAAAGGTTAAAAAAAAAAAAAAACAATATCGAAACAGCTCAGAACACGATTCTCCAAATCCCTTGTAAACAGCTCCATCCTTGCCCCCACGGCACGCATGACCCCTCAAGTCACGAGCCCCGTCCAGTGCTCCAAGCAAGGCAGAGAGGGCAAAGCTCAAGGGCCCGATCGCCTAATAAAGAGGGTGCCAATGCATGCAAGGCCAGGGTAGCTAGATAGGGATCCATTTAATGGGTGGATGGATGGTTACCTTTGTTTTGTCGTGCTTTCAATGAATTCCAGTTCCAGGCAGCTCGGTATTAATACAGGCAGGTTCCAGTTTGGGTGCAACATGAGCGCGTCTCCACCACCAGGCTCTAGATATTGAAACATTGCCGACGGCGGCGCAAGCCCGCCCTTGATCTTTGACGGGGCGCGGGTTTTCGGTGCTTGACCGACAAGTATCCCCTCCCCTTTGACCAATCCAGCCCGTCTCAAAAACGCCCCCAAAGGTCCCCCCAATCTGTCAAGTCCTCCATGCGACGGGCTCCGACCCTGGACGGCCTGCCTGTCCCTGCACGTTCAGGCTCAGGGGAGAACTCTCTATTTTTATCCAACCAGGGAGATTTGTGGCGTCTCTCTTCGCCTTCGCGAAGCAGAATGGAGCGTGTAATTTTCTGGGGGAATGAATTTCCGAGCCACGGAAAACCCCTCGACTTGGCTTAGAGCCCCTGCTTTGGGGAAAGCGCGACTCTCGTCGGGGGTGCACTCGAGGTGGCTTGTTGCCCAGCCGCACGCAGCCCTAAAACCAGCCCCTGGCCAGGTCCTCGAGAGTCGCCTGTGGCTTGGGCCGAGAACAATTGCTGGTTTCCAGACGGCTGCTCGTAAAGATCAATGTGCTCGTGCTTTACCTCGGTATCTTTCGAAGAAATAGGATGAGCATGATTCAGACCATTGAATACTCCAAAAGTGGCCTTCATTTGCCTGTCCTGTCAAGGAAGGCATAGAAACCGTTGCGGCGACATACACTGCACATGTGGATGTTAGGGGGTAAATGGGATATAACAAAGCGTCCCAAGACGCCAAAATTTACACGGAGCGTTCCCCGCCGTTCAAATCCATAGAAGTGCTGAGCTATAAATTGATCGCTTCTCGCCTTTCAGTTCGAAACAAGACCCTCCTGTTCGAAACCCAACGCGAACAATTACACATAAGTGCTTGAAGTAGCCAAAAACGGTCAACGTTATCGCGCCCACCGGATGACCAGGGCCATTGAAGCTCTCGATGGTCATCCAGGGATTTGATCGATGACGTTGAGACTCGCCCTGGAAGGGGTAGAGCACCGGGCTAAATCTAGGACAGTGTAAAGGTTGAAAACCTGGGCCCAGGTGTGTTGGGGCAGGAGAAAAAAGTTTAGTTTGAAGACATTCCCAAAATGGTACATGTAGGGTTTGCTCCCCTATTCCTTTTTGGTTCTAAAGTCGGCATCATCCATCATCAATTGCTGGACTGGAGGGATCCATATCTCATCCCCTTCGCCTTGGCCGGGGTGGGGCCGTGGATAGATCCATGGATGGATCTGATTATAGAATATGCTGACGCTAAAGAGTTTAAAGTGGATATAAAGAAACGCTAATTCAATTTATATAGCCATGATGATGGTGAAATATGCATACAGGAGTCTAAAATAATACCCTCCGGGTCCTTCCCGGATCCTAATATTCCCCAGCCAAGATCCAGGGAAACGAAAAGAAAGAACAAGGTATTTAAATAGGTAAGAAAAGGGTGATTGCTAGGGTCGGAGAAACTCGCTTAGCAAGTGAAGACGGCGGGGCCGGGGTTCTGGTACGTGGTGGGGACGGGGTAGTTGATGTTGATCTGGATGCCGGGGTCCGAGGCCTTGTACGCGCCGGGGAAGGCCACCTTGGCCGAGGGCTCGGTGCTGCCTCCGCCGGTCACGGTGAGCTGGGCGCACGAGATGTAGAACTGGGCTCCGCCGGGGACGAGGCGCCGTGCAGGCCGATGTGCTCCGCGCGGAGGAGATAGTCGCCGGCGGGGATGCACGAGGGGATGTTTACGCTGAAGCTGGACTTGCCTAATACCCACCCACATTAGCATCGGAAATTCGAGGACAGAAAAAAAGAAAAAAAATACTTGTGGGAGAGAGGACATACCGTTGCTGGGCCACGTCAGCTGCGCGCCAAAGTTGGGCTGCTCGTGGTAAATCTTGAACCACACGTCACCCGCCCCGTCAAAGGTGTCGACGGTCTGGCCGGCGGGGACCTTGGCGAGGTAAAAGGCCATGGGGCCGGGGTGGTAGACGTTGGGAGCGGCGTTGTAGGTGACGGCGGAGCCGGCGGCGACGGAGTAGGTGGCCTTGCTGGCGGAGCCGGCGGTCTGGAAGCAGCGCATCTGCGGGGTGCTCACGTCGCCGACGAAGCCATTGCTCTGGTAGTTGTCGGCCTGGCGGACGTACTCCCACGCGCCGGAGCTCTGGATGGAGGGGAAGGTGTCTAGACCCGGTTTGTTAGTTTGGACTCTGCGTTCTCGGCTATGCCTGTGGCCTGGGTTCAATGCTGGTCTTGCTACTTCCGCGCGGGGAATGGGGAGATGGGAAAAGGGCCGGTGTTAAGAAAGGTGTGAGGGGATCGACGGATTTGCGACGGTTGTGCATATTTTCAGGGTTAGGACAGGGGAAGGGTTTCGTGAAACATACAGTGGGCGCTGGCTCCCAAAGCCAGGGTAACGGCGGCGAGGACCTTGGCAAGCATCTTGTTGTAGAGATCGTCTCGATATCGCGAGTGTTTTCTTTCTGGGATGCTGGAAGATGAACGAGGTGCTGGAGCAAAGAGGGAAAAACACGACGTTGACGAAAACGAATGAATTTCTTAGTCTTCGCTTTTCTCTCTTTTCCCCATTCTTCACAAGGAACTTTGGGCGACTCCCCGTCTTATATTGAGCTATTATCCTGCCCTGGTCGCTGTGGACAAGAACCCCGGAATCACGGCTAGCTCACGCTCTGTTCCCAATTAACAACATGCCGGATGTTGTAGATTGAGACCCGCTCGCCATATAATACCTGACGCGTGAACTCCCCGCCAAGCGCACGCCACCCTCTCTATTCCTTCCCCGTATCACCTTCCTTACACCTTCTTCATTTACGCTAGGTACTGGTTAGAGCCCTAATAATTTGGCTTGGGAAGGGGGAAATGTCTTCCTTGACTTTACTTTGGGCTGTGATTGCCCGTGTCCATCCACTCCCTTCCTACGCAAACCCATGCCGCCAACATACCGGGCCCGGCTAAAGTCGCGCGGGGAGCCAGTCGCAGGCCGGCGCCGATATTGCAACTTGATTGCGGGTTCCACTTACTGCCGCTCACGTGTGAGAACGGCTTTGACTAACGGCCGTGAAAAAAAGGTAGGACTGGGGAATCTATCTGGGGAGGGCGTCAATCTAGGTTTGGGTGCGGGGGATGTAATGCCGGGGCCTGGTTTTCCACGCACGTCTTTGTGGGGTGGGTGGGCAGGCTTGCCACCCATCTTTTTCGCTCCCACACACCCCCATTTCATTCCTTTGGCTTCTGTAGGCCAAATGTCCGCTGTTTGTTCTTGACCATGGCCCTCCTTCCGGGGTGCATAAAGGTGGGATGGGGAGTGCTGGGGTAAGCTGGCATGGCATGGCTCGGATGACGGCATGAGCAAATTTTTGTGAAGAGCAGGGCGGCTGGATGACGATCGGATCTCCCAACGCCGATCACCTATTTCCTACAATTTCAGGGCAATGGGCAAGCATTTTCTCCATCTATCGCTGGAATCTTGCGCTTCAAGGATCGGAATTCGGCCCCCGGACTGTTCCTAACGCTTCATATTCATATCTCCGTCTCGTATCAGGCGTAAAGCAGGGTCATCCTATCCTCGCTTGGTCCAGCAGAGGTAAAAGTAATGTAATCATACAAATCTCTTTCATGACAACATACACCAAGGAAGAGGAGGAGGAGGAGACGTAGGCCTCGTGGACATTTGAGGCCTTTTGTCGTCGTACTTGCAGCCAAGATTCAAAAGCGAGTCGGCCTGATCTCGCCTGGCGCGAAATACCAGGCAGGAGTCACGAACGCAACCCACCCTAATTCATTTAGATGACTCGGTGCCAAGCATTGCTAGAAGGACGTCCATCTCCTTTCGAACAATGACCCAACAAACCATGGCTCCTTTGTGAAATTGGGTGCTGGAGTGAAACCTGGGCGGTACCTGACTATAACGACCGGGAACTCGAGGCCGGGACCGGGGCCGGGACCTGGACCGGGCCATATTAGAAGAAGATGACGGATAAGAGATGATTTAGAAATGAGGTTGATTATCTCGTGAAAGAAGTTAACTCTAAAATTTATATCCAAATGATGATAATGCATTCCAGAAGTCCAGCGATGCGCACAAGTGCAAGGGTCCCAAACCAAAGAAAAGCAAAAGAAAACTCCCATAGTGAAAGATGCCGCTCCTCTCTCTCCACACCCCCACCTCACCCCTATCTCGCTTACACACTACTCTCCCTCCCAAGCACTCTCCTCCACCGACTCGCCGCCTTCCTCTTCTTCTGCTTCTTCCTCCACTTAAACTTGGCCAAAAACGACCTAAACCGCCGCCTCTCCCCGCCACCATCCGTCTTCTTCTTCTTCTTCCTCAGCCTGCTCTCCCCGGACGAGTGAAACAGCGGCAGGAGCGGAGTCGTCTCGTCCGGCTTCTTATCCTTGCGCGACTTGGCCTTTTGCTGCTGCTTCTTCTGCAGCTTATTCCGCTTCTTGCGCTTCTTTTCCTCGGCCGTGCGCCGCCGCGGACCCATGCACATGGCGAAGACGGACAGCACGAGCAGGTAGGCCTGCACCGCGCTCCAGAGTAGGCAGTTGAACACGGCCCACCCGCCCGTGTTGTACCACGCGATGAAGCGGCAGTGCGGGTCCTCGGACGCGTCCTCGGTCGGGGCGAGCCGCTTGGACCACGACGCCGCTAGCGCGGCGCACACGATAGCTTGGGTGGCGAGGCTTTCGATGCTCAGCGCGCCGCGGGATCGGAGCCACAGCGTGGTGTGCGACTGCGCGAAGAAGGAGAGCGCGATGGCGGCGGTGGCGCAGGGGTTTAGTACCATGAAGTGCCAGTCGAGGAAGGCGGCTGTGAGCTGGGACTGCCGGACGGGGTCCTGGTAGTAGTCTTGGCAGAAGATTTGGAAGATGAAGGCGCCGAAGGAGATGGAGAACCAGGCGAGGTAGGCCATGACTGCTGATGCTTTCGTCATGGCGGAGGAACCAGGAAATCGTATTGATAAAAGCAACCTAGTGTTGTTTCTCAGTGTTAGTGACTGTTTCTTTCATGTTGGATCTGCGTGCGGGACCAGAAGGTTGGACAATAACGCCACATCCACCCTCTGCTTCTGAAAAAGGGAGAGAAAGGTAAGATTTGAAGACAACTTACAAGCCCGAGGATAACAGCCATACGGCACCCATTTGCATCAAGTCGAGCCACCCTTGCACGGTCGATAGCGAATTAGCGCCCTGCCCGGGAAATCATAGTCGTCGGGGACGTTCATGACGGAAAGCACGAGGAGCAGCGCAAACTGCTCCGTCGTCGCGATGGTGGTGAAAACGAGATACCATGTCGAAATCCCGGTGGCGTCTCTTCGCTTGCGTATCCGTCGGTATTGCGGGATATAGGTTGCGATGGTCGCTACGAGGAGGAATCTATAACCAAGGAAAGCGGTTAGGATCTGCCGTCTGTGTCAACCCGGCGATGACAAAAACAAGGGTAGGCGGAAGGGGAGTTTGCTTTTGGGGATTTACAGGAGAAAACGAACGTGCTCATCTGAGCGACATGTCGCTCTGTGGTGATGGACTCGTCCATAACTGCAGGCGATTCTCGAGCTTCATGTGGGATGGGGCCGGCCACTCGGGAAAGAGAAAGAGAATACGAAAACCTCAGCCCGAGGACGAGGATATACTTGCTTAAAAGAATTACCAGTGTTTCAAAAGAAGAAGAAGAAGAAGTCTTAAGAACCGTCTCATACATCCCCTCCCGGATTTCAAAGCGATTTTTATTCCTCCGTCCATCGTGGACTTTTGTGCAGTCTCGCGTTTTCCTCCTAAAACACCAGGTCAGGCGGGCTCATCGCCCACCCAGCTCCCGTGATGCGGCATCACCGAGCCTGTCCTTCGAAAACGACCCAGCTCGTGATGGAGCAGAGGGCATGACAGTAGCGTACGGACGATTTTAGCAACCTAGCTTATGTGCCATTTGTTTTTTCTGCGCGAGAGGCCTTGGACCTTTTCGATATTCTCCTGCCCCTTTGTATGTTTTCTATCCTATTTTTGGTTTTTGGAACGAACAGTAACAATACCATCTTGTTGAGGAGTCGTCTTGTGCGAGTCGCTAGCTTAGAACGAACAAATGATTGGTGAAGCAGCGTGAGATAGTCGATGAGTAAGCACCAATACCCACCATCTTCGTGTGACTATCCCGCGACAGCTCGAGACACTCCACAGCGCATGGTTGGTACCTTGCGTATCATCATGTGAGCATGGCCGTTTAGCTCACCAGCACGTTTCGCCCTCATTTGCACAAATACCCATGTTCTCTCATGGCTCCGGCGACAGTTCAAGTGCCTCGAGGCTTGATTTCGAACTAGCGCCTTTTCGTCCAACCGTTTGTGGACTTCGATCATGAAAAGTCGTAAATGAGCCCTAGCCATGACATTTTTGCTCTTTTTTGTTTGAGTAATTATTCGTTTTGTATTTTACTTTTTATTGAGCCAAAGCCTTCATATAACATTACGTACAACCCAAGGGCCTACCTTTTTTGCAGCCCCAACCGCCTTTTTCTAGGTTCTAGACGACATCTTGCCACCTCTCCCAAAAGAATTCTAAAATGCAACGAGCCCGCGAGGTCGCTTAGGACTCGGTGAGAGGCTTGCCATCCTTGATCTTCTGAAGGCCGTACTTCTTGAGGCGGATGGCCTGGATTTCGATGAAGCCGGTGGTGTCCATGGGGAGAAGCCCTCGAGAGAGTCCATGGAGGCGTCCTCCTCGGAGTAGAGGTTGGAGGCATCGCTCTTGCGGCCGAGAACGTACGCGTTGCCCTTGTAGGCAAGCATGCGGACCTCACCGGTGACGTTCTGCTGGGCGAAAACAATGGAGTTCTACAGAGGAAGGGTTAGCATATCAGGCCGTAACCCAGAAATGGGGCGGGGATGGGGAGTGAAGTATTTGAATGACTCTGACGCCCCGCAGGCTGAGATTGAAATGGAGAAGCTTACCTCGACGAATTCCCTCTCGGGAGAGAAGTACTAATATGCACGTTAGAGAGATTGATCACAGGCTTGATCTCGGAAGACCGTGACTTACCATGCCGTTGTAGAGCATGCGAGACCACGAGATGGTGGCGAACTGGTCACGGAGCTCGCGGACCTTGGAGTCCATGACAAGACCTTCAAGATCGAGATGGGCAAGACGAGCGATGGTCAAGCCAGGGGTATCGTACTGCCAGGAGGGAGACACGTTAGGCAAAAAGTCGCACGAGAAACAAGGTGTGCTAGAAGAGGCCCGAAACTTACGCAACCACGGGACTTCAAGCCGATGAAACGGTTCTCGACAATGTCGACACGGCCGACACCGTGGTCGTGGCCAATCTTGTTGAGGATGTTCATGATCTCAACGGAGCCAGTGATAGGACCCTGGCCCTCAACGTCAACCTTGACGGGAAGACCCTTCTCAAAGTGGACGGTGAACTTCTGGGGAGTGGTGGGAGCATCCAAGGGGTCGACGGCTAGGAAACAAAGAGTTAGTATGCGATGCAAGGAGTGAGTCGGGGCGGATGGGGTCGCATTGTTTGACGGGGCGTACTTCGGGTCCAGAGCTCCTATAATCGCAGAATTAGTAACAGATTCGAGTTTCGTTGGTGGTTGGGGGTGACGAACCTTGGGGGAGTGTGATCAGGGTCCTCAAGGATACCGGCCTCGTACGAGCAGTGAACAAGGTCTAGCATATGAGTTAGTCTGGCACAAACGTAATATGCTGCAGGTCACGTACTGTCATCCATGCTCCAGGGAGCCTTGGGGGTAGAGCTGACAGGAATGCCCTTCTCGGCAGCGTATTTGAGGAGCTAGAGATGAAATAATTAGCGCGATCTGAGGATGAAATGGTGGTTGAGTTACCCACATCTTGACGGCCCTGGAACTTCTGGATGAATTCGGGGAGACTGGGTCCGAGTTAGTGTTGTTCATTCGACTAAACAAGTGCTCGGCTCGCATACCGCCAAGGAGCACTTTAGGAGAATATATAGGTTAGCTTTTGGCTCGAGAGGGTACGTCTGGCTTGGATTAGAGAATATGGGACTTACATGACGCTCTTGGTAGGAGCAAGGGCCTTGAAGGCAAGCTCGAAACGGACCTGATCGTTGCCCTTACCCGTGCAGCCGTGGCTCCTGCAAGTCACAGTTAGAAAGCTTGCAAGGAAAAGAATGAGAGGGGCCCGAGGCAGCGTACAAGTACTCGCAGTTGTACTCATCGGCAACGCGGACCTGCGCCCTGGCGATGATGGGACGAGCAAGAGAGGTTCCGAGAAGGTATCGGTCCTAGCTAAATCAGCAGCTGTCTCAGGGTCAAGGAGAATGCGTGCGCAGCCGCGAGTAAACCCACCTCATAGATGGCGTTGCACTGGACAGCGCGGAAAACAATCTGCTCAACAAACTCCTGGCGCAAGTCAAGGATGACCACTTCAAACACTAGTTAGCATACTATACTAGGTCAGATGCCGCAAGCCTGGGGTAGCTCAGGCTTGCGATTTATACAAATGACTTACTCTCCTCAGCACCAAGCTTCAGGGCCTTGGCCGGACTTCATCGAAGTCCTCTTCTTGGCCGACCTTCAATACGTGAGCGTTCGAATTCGTGAAAGAATGTATACAAGGGGAAAAAGTTGAAGGCATCTTACATTGGCCAAGAAGGCAACTACTTGGTAGCCCTACGTGAAGTGGTTAGCAGAGAGACCAGGCGGAAGACCGGACTACAAACTCACCTCATCAAGGAGCCACTTGAGGATACTGCCAGGTTTTAAAATTAGCTATACAATCACGAGAATTTCTGGGGCAATGAGCAGCTTCAAGGACATCGACATATTCCCCTGCGGCATAGAGAGGCAATACTCCAAGGGAGATCTCAACTCTAGGCGGCCGAAGGAAGCGACCCTTGCTGCCCAAAGCACTAGTCGAACATGGTGATTTAACAAACATACGTCTAGCAAAAAGAATTAGCAGCAGATTCTAGACCTTGACATCACAATGGTTGGCAGAAATATAGGTTTGGATCTCAACCACCAAAACGCCACTGTGCGGGAATGATCAAAAGAGCCCATTGACGTATTGACGTAAAGGCGGTGAACGGCTTAGCTCCACCATAGCTGGGGTTAAAAGGAAAGGGGCCCAATTCCTACTACGTTCACTTGAGGGCATCCGCGCTTGCTTCTGCCACCGAGGGGTCGAAGCCGCACAAGTAAGGGACAACGGTGCAAGTGGTCTCTTGGGGAGGATGGGCGTTGTTCGCCGGGGCGAAATTCTGAGATCACTCAGGCTGGAATGCATGTCACTTACGGAGGTGTCCAGACCACCGGAGTAGGCCCTGGTCGCGGGGTTGGGTTAGCGATCAATTGATATTCCGGGAACAGGCCAGGACCAGGGGTGAGCCAGCTACTTACAAGCAGACGCGTCCCTTCGACATGATTGATGGCGAGGATGGATTCAAAGTGGTGCAAGTTGAGGAAAAAATGAGAGCAAGTGTAAGCTGACGGGGATCTATCAAGCGATGTCGGGGAGTATAGAGAGGGAAAAAGGAAGAGGAAAGAAAAAAAAAAAAACTGGTATCTCTAGTCAATCGGGTCAATCAGGTTGAGATAGCGAGTACCTTAGTACCTCCGGAACCCTCCATTGGTATGACTCCACAAACCAAAGATGACTCTAACTCGGCCCAACGAAACTTTGCGGGCTTCAATGTTCCTGCCGGAATGAGCAGCTTGATTAGATAAGGGAAATGGCGGGTTGGACGGGTCTTGCCCGCACCAAGCCCTTTGTAGAAGTCGCTGCCCCTCCCCACTTCCGAAAACAAAAAATCAAAATTTCCAAAGGGCAAAAAACGGCATCACCGCCAGACCGCCCTTCACCGCCTAAATTTTTCGCCTCTTGGACCCTTCACGAGAATCTGGATCCTTCAACAACACCGAGTACCTTTGTTTCTACCGTCGGAATCCCGAAAACGACCCCTGACGAAAATTAGAGGAGATCGGAAACGAAAAGAAAACAAACACCTCGTCTAGCCGGTTCTACATCACGAAAGAGCAACCCCTACCATGGCCAAGGCACAGCGCGCGAAGCGCAACGGGTCGGCGCCCAGCTCGCCATACCAGAAGCCGGCCGCCGCGAAAAAGGCTCCAATCTTCAAGTTCAACACCAAGATCGGCCAGCATATTCTCAAAAACCCCGCCATCGCCGATGCCATCGTGGCCAAGGCCCACATCCAACCCGTCGAGACCGTGCTCGAGATCGGCCCCGGTACCGGTGTTTTAACGACGAGGATATTAGACCATGCCAAGAACGTGATTGCCGTCGAGCTCGACCCGAGGATGGCGGCGGAGCTTTCGTGTGTGGTGCAGGGGACGCCAAAGCAGCAGAAGCTGCAGATCGTGCTGGGAGATTTCATCAAGCTCGAGTCGTCGGAGCTCAAGCCGTTCGATGTCTGCATCAGCAACACGCCCTACCAGGTATGTAGTTTCTTCGCATGAGGAACATCGAGGCTGAAGAGCAATTGCTACGAGGAAGAGGACGGGACGAACCGTTTCCCGCTTGCTAACGTTTGAACTACGCGCACGTCTAGATTTCTTCGCCCCTCGTCTTCAAGCTCCTCTCTATGCCCAAACCCCTAGGGTCAGCATTCTCATGGTGCAGCGCGAATTCGCCCTCCGACTGATCGCGCGGCCGGGCGACTCCCTGTACTCGCGATTATCCGTCAACACGCAATTCTTCTCCAAGGTCTCGCACGTAATGAAGGTGAGCAAGAAGAACTTCACGCCGCCCCCGCAGGTGGAGTCGAGCGTGGTCAGGATAGAGCCGCGCACGGACAGGCCCAACATCAGCTGGGACGAGTGGGACGGCATGCTGCGCGTGTGCTTCATGCGGAAGAATAAGACGCTCAAGGCGACGTGGACGGGGAACAAGGTGCGGGCCATGGTGGAGCAGAATTGGATCACCTGGGCCACCATCAACACGGAGGCCGTGTCCGAGAAGGACTGGAAGGTACTTCGCGGGGAGGAATCGGTTGACGACCAGGCTGCGGGCGAAGAGGCGGACGCCATGGATGAGGATGGTGATGAGGACATGGGTGGCGGCAACGTGAGTGGTGGTGACGAGCCAGACGCGGAGGAGGACAACACCACCCTCCGGAGGCTGGCGGGCATCAAGCTGAACAAGGGGGTTCATCACGCTGGGGCTGACGCAGGTGCCCCGAGCCGTTGTCGCGCAGCTTATCGCCGCCAAGATCCGACGCGTGCTCGACTCGACGGGGCTGGGGAGCCAGCGTGCGGCCAAGTGCGACGAGACGGACTTTTGCACCTCTTGAGCGCGTTCAACGATGAGGGACTGCATTTTGCCTAAGGAGAGAGACTACGCGAGAGAGAGAGAGATGAACGACTACAGGCGCGTGTGAAGAGGGGATGGGAGACGAAACGCGCGGGATGGGTTTACTTTTTACAATTCTACGGAGGGGCGTTTTTATGGGCACTTTTTTGCTTCTAGCGGGGCGGCGAGCAAAAGAAAGCGGGATTGAAAAAGAGAATGAGAGAACGTTTACATAGCGTGGGAGGTGCATGGTGTTGGCGTAGGATACAAGGCTTCTTCAGACCTCGAATGCTACAGGTAGCGTTCCCCTGTTCATCTTTTTGGTCGAAGAGTTATAACCCCAGATTCCGTTTCAAGTTACAGTACGAAAAGAACGAGCATCCTGGTTGAAAGTCATGGCTCGTTTCCATAGAACCGGCAGACCGGGGTGCTGCGACACGAGTGGGCGATGCCGCTATGAATGTCAGGATGAACGGGACAGTTCAGGTGGGCTTGCAAGGACCTGCTGGCAAGCAACTCGAAGGGATCGACAGGGTCTACTACGGCACTGGATTCTACACTAACATCATACCTGGTCAGCAATGCCTTGCTGATGGTGTGTGTGTGTGTCGACGAATATACCTATACCCTTCGTCGAACGGATACGAAGGTACCAACGACAGCGACAGCCATCGATCCACGATATCCACATACAAACGTACCGATCACTGCGTTGCAGGGACCCAACGGTGCCTGATATGGATCCGAATCAGTAGATCCGTCTCTAATGGGTCCCAAAATGTCATCTATAAGAACCATAGAATATCCCCATAGAAACGGGCCCTAAGAAGGATCTAAGCAGCGAATACGAACATTATCGAATCCATTCAATAATCATGAGCCCAGAATCGCTCTCAGCCTAAGCATCATCTACTTGTCCTCTTAGACTGCTGGAAAAAGTACCTTTCGGTAGCATCCTCATACATTTAGTTACAGTGGTGTCATCACAATTGGATACCTCTGATATCCACATCTCACGACATCCACTTACACCACATCGAAGAAGTCATCTGAAATCGTCGCTGGCCGTCCGTAACGCCCGGATACCCTCCACGACGAACTTTTGGATCAGAAGAACCAACTGTAACAGGATCGCCGCTGACATTCCGCAACGATCGGATACCTTCCACGACGACCTTCCACGCATCATCTTCCTCCAAACATCATCTTCCAAACACCATCTTCTTCCAAACATCATCTTCTTCCAAACATCATCTTCTTCCAAACATCATCTTCTTCCAAACATCATCTTCTTCCACACATCACTTTCTTCCACATATTCCTCCAATATCCCTCACTTTCAAGAACCATCCTGTCCATCGGCACCATTCCAACAATGTCACCCAACGACTACAAGCTGACCAAGCTTACCAAAGCCCATGGCTTTCCAAGGTGGTATAAGCAACTACGTAGGTACTGTGAGATCCATGACATCCTACAGTACTACAAGATGCCACCTATTAGAGAGTCAGGACCAGAACCTGCAGCTCGTCTAGTAGCTCCGAGCTGCCCGGAACTAGCTGAATCACCAGATGCAGCAGAAAGGGACTTTTTAAGATCAAATGGTCTATGTACCAGGATAAGAAACAGGAATATCAGAAGGTGATCACTAAAGAAAGGCATCTAGAAGAAATCATCAGCCAATCGATCCCAGACGAAGCAGCAGAGAAGATTCCAGAGAAGGCTACCATAGAGGTCCAGATATCTTCAGTGAAGGAATTCTTCCATATCGATGACCCACAGGTACTACAAGATATGGAAGATAAGTGGATAGACATCCTACATCAGGACCTTCGGAAATCCAACATCAAGGAATGGCAGGATACCCTTATCAAACAACATAATCTCCTATCTTCATGGAATTCGATCCTAACCAAAAACGACCATGACATCTGAGGCTTTTTTAATGCTATAAGAAGCCTTAGCCGTCACGATGGCGTCAACGCCAGAACGATATTTAAGGAAGTTAAAAGGATAAGAAAGAAGCCACTTCCAGCCATATAGTGGAAACTATCCTGCTATAGCTGGACATCCTGAAACCATCGCAACGTAAGGGTTCCAATATCGCCCTTGCCACGTTCAACGGATCGGCATCAAATCCGTCATCGAATCCGTCATCGAATTCGACGAAGGCGGACATTCCAGCTGACGATGCCTGCAACGGTATGTGTAACTACAAAGGTCGTCACCACTGGGCGGCATGTCGTGGACTACGACAGTATGTCAAGTATAGTGACAGCGCTAGGAACCTTACTACTAGCCAGAAGGCAGCATGTAAGACATGGCTGCAAGATCCATCCAAGAAAGAGAAGGCTTTAAAACAGTGGAAGTCAGAATCAGAAGGTTCCAATGTGGTGGAAATGTCCAAAGACTCCAGCGATTCCAACGTACGGATCGCAAACACATTGGTTGGATACAAGATCCAGGATCCGATCCGACTTCCATCGATACAGCCGCAGCTGTATAGCGCCACTATCGACGTATCGCTCCGCGAAAGCGTCCTATATGACACCTGCGCGACGGTCCACGTATTCAACCAGAAGTCATGGTTCGTTTCCATGGAACCAGTGGACCGGAACGTCACGATCCTAGTAGGCGACACTACTATGGATACCGAGATGAAAGGCACAGTTGAAATAGACCTACAAGGATCTGCTAGAAGACAGCTAGTACGGATCCACAACGTCTACTACAGTCCTGGATTCCATACCAACATCGTTTCCGGCCAACAATGGTTTGCAGGAGGCATCCACATCGATGAATCTTCTGATACCCTTCGATGGACCAATAAGAAGATATTCCTACGCTTCGATCGACATGAAGGAATGATAGCCTTACATAAGGGTCATTCTAAGAAGGATTCCAAAGACATCCAAGATGTCCAAGATATCCAGGATATCCAAACTAGCTATGGATATGGAATATCCACGAAAAGTACTAGTTACACCACTACTGACATCCAACGATGGCACGAACGTCTTGGACATCCAGGGACTGAAGTCCTGGAACATGCCATGGAACGGAACCTTGGTGTCAGGATCAAAGGTGTCAAAACCATCGACTGCCAGACATGCAGTCTATCCAAGGCGCAGCGGATCAAATCCCGCCAGCCGCAGCAGATCCGAGCCACAGGACCAATGTCACATATATCCTTCGACATATTCACCTACAATGAAGGATATGATGGCGACAGATATCTGTTCCTGATGACATGTAGGAACTACGGCACCCTTATTGGGCGGACGACACCCACACGACATACGAGCCAAATCGTGGATTTCGTCATGGACACAATGCAATGGCTACGCCGGCAATGGAATGCCCACGTGAAGGTCATCCAATCCGACAATGAAGGCGGACTTACTGGACGGCAGATGACCCAACTGCTGAAAGATGAAGGAATAGAGCTGATCAATTCCAACCCTGATTATTATTATTACCCTATTTCACTATCTTTATTATTATTATTATTAGTACACTATTTCACTATCTTTACTATAGTATATAGTCACTCTTCCCTTTCTTAGTAATGAGGTAAAGTCCCTCTCAGGTGTCAAAACCCTTACCCCCGCTTTATGCTCGCTGTCGCGGCGCCCTCACTACGTCCTCGTCTTGTCGTGAGTCCGCTCTCATCAGCGATATATGGCTGTAGGCTCGCTGCACTCCCCTAGCTAGGCAGCGTTCTACCTAGGGTCCTACCTCCGCTCTACTCTTTCCAGCCCTAATACTCCTGCCCACAATGGCAAGGCCGAAAAGCAGGAGGCATCATCATGACCAAGGCGCAATCGATCCACATCGCAGCCGGACTTCCAGAAGACCTATGGCCACTGTCAGTACAGGCAGCCATCCACATTAGCAACCGGACTTCCAAGAAGTCGCTACAATAGCTGTCGCCATTGAAATCCACCATGGAATACCTACGGAAGTCCAATCCTTCCATGTTTGCCCACATTCCAGAAGACACCCAGCAGGACCTTTCTTACCTACAGGTCTATGGATGTGTGGCATATCCAGTAGTGAAGGAACGTCTACAAGGTATCGACCGACGACGTTTGAAAATAGCCGCGCGCGCCCACATTGGCAACCTTGTTGGCTACAAATCTTCCACACAGTACCTCATATGGGTGCCACAGCTGGGAAAGGTCATAGACACATCGAATGTGACATTCGATGAGAAGAACACTTACGAAACTATGAAGCCAACCGCTGAAAAGGAAGAAATCGACGAAACGGTGGAACAGTTACAGGTCCATCGAATCCGCGGTGACGACGACGATGGCGATATCTTGGCTGATATCTTCAGCATAAAGACTACAGATCTGACAGTACTGATGTCAGATCTGGGGGGGGAAAGACTGAGAACCTGAAAACCCCAGTGTCATGTATTCCCAATTAGATTCACGATTATTTGTTAACACCACTTTATTGTCTCCCAAACTTGTATGCGTATGATTCGTGACATGCTCATTCTACTTCGATGAAACTCCGGCCACACATAATCTATATGTCACAATGAGGGTTAAAGAACGATAAAATGGTCATCAAGCATTATTTTCTAATGTCTTCTCTCTCTAACTGACAAGTCATTATGGCCATAAAAGGCCATCTGTTTCACTATATATATATACACGAAAAATCCGTAGTTTGCGTCAAGCTAGTCTTTGGCCGCCGCCAGAGCATCCACGGGGCGCCATGGGTCGTGCAAAAAAACCGTCAGCCGTTCCCCGGCCTACTACGACTGGGCCCTGATGAAGCCAAAGAACTCGGGAGGCCAAGCCGCCTTGTGCTCGGTGTCCGGGTCGACGGGGAGCCCCTGCAGCATGGCCTCGTAGTAGGGCATCTTGCCGCACTCGGTAGGCTGGACGTAGGCGAAGCCCCAGGTCGTCTGGTTCAGGGCGCCGATGAACTTGCCGGGCTGCTCGACGCCGTCCACGGTGTGGGAGTAGACCTCGACGTCGTAGCCCGGGGCGAACTGCAGGACGGCGTGGCTCACGGCCTTGGAGATGCGGATGGGGGATTATTGGTGCCGTAGCTGTGCATGACGCCGTTGGTGCAGGCGTACCGGGGCCTGGCGAACATGCGCGACTTGCGGAGGTCGGCGTGAATCATCTTGATGGTCTCGTTGCCCCACTTGATGTCGTCGGACCGGGTGGGGAGGCCGTCGACGCCGTCGTCGCCGGTCTGGTCGACGACCAACTCGAAGGCGCCGGTGAGGTCGCTGCCGCGCACGTTTTGCCAGGTGGGGAAGCCGGTGCAGGAGCCGGGGAAGAGCGGCTTGGCGACGACGTCGGGGACGGCGAGGGCGGTGTGGGTGGAGATGGCGGCGGCGGCGAGGATCTGGGTGAACTTCATGATGGGCGGTTTATTTTTTTCTGCGAGGAGAGAGGTGGGTAGTGTGTGTGTGGCCTTGAATGTTCGCGTGCCGAGATTGGCTTTTGAACTAGAAATTAAGAGGGATGGATGGGTGAAGTTGGCCGGAGGTGTAAGACCGTGTTGATGGAAACAATCGATAGAAAACTGGCTACGAAAAAAAAAAACAATGGGAAAGTTGCACACGCCGATCAATATATATTACATTCTTGTGGAGGAGAATATGTTCCTGGATGCAATGGATCAATCTATCCATGAGCTGCTGCTAGGCAACATTGAGGCCCTTCCTTTTTCTTCTTCTCCCTGGAAATTGAATCCTGAGCTCCGCCGAACAATGCCCAAAAGTTCCGCATGTCTCACGATGAAAGCCAAGCATGAGGCCCTCTTCGATGGATCCATTGATGACTGGGTGAGCCAATTTCGCTTCTTGTTAGTGGGCCCAGAGCGTGCCAACCTCCTCGAAGGGTTTTTGGGGGCTGTGAAGGATCAATTGATTGCGCGGTGACACACAAACGACGAACATGGTGAATTGACGTTGGGTTGACTAGGTCTTGGCGAGAGAAACACGGTCCGTAGGATCACCAACCAACTCCATGAGGCGCAGTCAACGGGTGGGAGAGGACGGGCAGTATTACTCATAGCGCTTGTGCGGGAAAAAATGGGCTTCTGGGGTCCCGTGTTCTACTTCTGTGCTTGTTCTTCGTGGTTCTCTGTTTGGTGGCCTTCGCGCCTTGGAAGGCGATCGCCAAGCCAATCGTGGGGCCGGGTGCCTGGTCAGGATCAGTTGAATGCAACGGGAGGAAGGGGAAAAGGGGATCGGGGATCGGATGAAGAAACGGATCCGGGTAGGTGCGCCGACGGTCGTGGGTTAAAATTGGAGTCATTCCCCACGACAATGCGGTGCTGGTTAGGCATAACGCCGCAGGAAGAGGGATCAAGGCCTCAAAAGCGGAAGAAGGGAGAAAAAGACCGAGAACGATTCTTCAAGCTGCACGCTGAGAGTCTGGATCAGAAGGATTGAGGATATGCATGACCATTGGGATCTCGTATCTTATTTCATTCGTCTTAGTCGAGTGTAACCTGAAAGGGAAGTTGTTGAAGAAAGGAAGCGCTTTCGGGAACTCGACTGAGGTCTGATCAATGATCTGGCGTCCTTGAGCTCTAGATCAATGTCCGGGGTTTGTCGCTTTCAAGCACGATTGAACCTTGATCCTTTCTGTAGATCAACTAATCATTTAGACGTCGTCCGCCATCAATTGATGGATCCATGAACCTTGCATGGCCCACTCGCGTCTTGAGGAGTAACGGCACAGGTGACATTGATTCCATCAACTTAACCCGTTCTCCATCGTCTAAGACTACGTTGAATCGCCCTGCCGGGATCGTCTCATCTCCATGTCCCCCTTTCTGGCCCGTTCTCTGAGCAAGACCACGTAGGGCTGTGCTCGGCGAACCGCCGCCCCCGCACCGAGAATTGGTAGCAGGGGTCTCAGCCACCTCGCACCAACAACCAAGTCTTCATCCAAACTCCTCAGAAGTGCTGTTTTATTCGTCCCTGGGGAAATAGCTGGCTGTTCTCCTCGAAGCTGCGATTACGTGATCTATACGTCTTGACCAGGTCTCGACGCTGTGGGCGAAGGGCCAGGCTCTGGCCGGCTGGAGCCTGCATTTTGGGCGCATGGAGCTGAGCGTAGCATTGGGGGAGTGATTCGCTGGTCCCTCCAACTCCGTTCAATGTGTGTTCTTTGCCATTACCCCGCCTCAAGTGCAATGCCTCTCCCCGTAGATGTCCTTTGCTGGCCGGTTCAGTCATCGCCCTTGAAGACCTGTTAACGCTCTCGCCGTCGCCTCGACCAAGGCGAATGTTGAGGCATATCAATTCAAGCCCCAGGAAAAAAAGGGCCCCTTGATTGGCCTCATCTGGCCTCCACCTTGTATACACCGCCATGCGGAAAATCCTCCCGTCTCACTTCCGAAGACGGAAGGGCGCCGAGGAGCTTACTTCGGATGCGTCATCCGCTGCCACCCCATCTGCGTCAAATAAGTCGTTTCCTTCGGGTATCAAGCCACTATATACCCCTAATGATGCTGTCGTGGAGTGCGTATCTATCCGTCGCATCTGAACCAGTGTATACGTCATTTTTGTTGGGCGTCATTAACAGACGGTTCTCCTTAGTATTGTCTTCATCCACGGTTTAACTGGGGACCGCGAAAGGACCTGGACTGCGCACGATGCCGATGAACCCTGGCCCAAGACCCTTCTTCCATCCCAACTCCCGAAGGCGCGTACGCTTACCTACGGATACGATGCGTATGTGACGAACTGGACCGGCGTAGTGGCTCAAAGCCGAGTACACAACCATGCTTGGGGCCTTCTCACGTCGTTGGCAACCTATCGGGAACAGGACGATAGTGTACGTAGTCGCCAGCCGCTATGTAAAATCACCTAGGCTTCCCGATATCAACACTAACCCATTTAGAATGAGCGGCCCATCATATTCGTCTGTCACAGCCTCGGAGGACTAGTCTGCAAAGATGCAAGTCCCCTGTTCTCCCTTCACCTGAATACCAGCGTTAACAAAGTCTAGGCCCTGACCCTATCGAGTCAAAAGTCAGAGGATCGTTTTCGGAAGATCCTCCACTTAACCCTCGGAATCGCCTTCTTAGGCACACCCCACCAAGGAGCTGGACTCGCGATATGGGCCGAGATGATTTCGAGAGCGTTAGGCATCATCAAGAAGACGAACACGAAGATCGTGGCCGTGTTGAAACAGGACTCCGAGGTCCTCGCGCGCATTCAGGACGGGTTCCACACCATCGTTCATGAGCGTAGCAAGCAAGGGAAGCCCATCGAGATTACTTGCTTCTTCGAGGAGCTCCCCTACCGGGCATCGGGCCGGTGAGTCTACTGGAACAGTAGGCCCTGAGAGGGAAAGAATACCAAAGGGTTCGTTGAATCTAACTCCGTGATCCAGGTTGTACCACAAGCTTCCGCCGTCTTGCCAGGATACCCTCAGATTGGTATTCATAGTAACCACATGGATATCGCGAGGTTTAGCAGCTCCGATGACACGGGATTCCAGGCCATCTGTGGAGAACTACGCGCATGGACCAAGGGAATCGCAACTTCCACGGTTGTCCAACGGGGCAACGATCCAGCAGTCGAACCCAACCAGATCCCAACGGATGTTCCATGCAAGTCAACCCCTTTTTTCCTTTGTGGGGCGATGCTAATTCAAAGGCACAGTCCTCGTGCCGTATAGTCGTAACCCCGATTTTGTCGGACGGACGGAAATCCTGGAACAGCTCCGACAGCAGCTTGGCCATGAACGGGATCAAACACGCGGGAAATGGCATCTAAGGGCCGCAATCCACGGGCTCGGAGGCATAGGGTAAGAGACACCCCATCGTGTGGTCCCTGAACATACATGTATCCATAGATCCTGGATGTATTGACTAAGCCTCTGCAGCAAAACCCAGATCGCCCTCGAATACGTCTACCGTCTACAGGAAGCTCTCCCAGCGATATCGATATTTTGGGTTCATGCTAGCAACGTTGAGCGGTTTCAGCAATCATACGCGGAGATTGCAAAGAGGTGCCAGATCCCAGGCTACGATGATCCGAAGGCGAATCTCCTCCAACTGGTGAAAGAGTGGTTGAGCAGGAAGGAGTGCGGTCACTGGTTCATGGTGGTCGATAACGCAGACGACACGCACCTCTTCTTTGCCAACAGAAGCGCAGAGCGCGAGGGCGAAGGCGAGGGCGAGAACGAGGGCGAAAAGTCCAACCACGGCGGGAATCTTGGGCGGTATCTGCCTGAATGTTGCCATGGATCCATTTTGATCACCACGAGAAACAAGGAAGCGGGTTCGAGGTTACGAAAAGGCAAATATCCAACCGAGATCGGCGGGATGGAGATAGAACACGCAACCCGACTCCTCCAAACAAAATTTGAAGGCGCCGACTTTGACCTGGACAGCCTTCCAAGCCTTATTCTCAGGTTAGAGGGTCTGCCCCTCGCCCTTGTTCAGGCCGCGGCCTATATCCTGGAGAAGTCCATAACCGTCGACGAATACTTGGCACTCTTGGGAGAATGTGACCAGACCATGATTGATTGTTTAAGCGAAGAGTTTGAAACCGACGCGAGGGACGAGGAGACGCCGCGCGCGGTGGCGGAGACGTGGATTCTCTCCTTCGAGCAAATCCGGCATCGTAATATCCTCGCGGCAGATCTCCTCTCGCTGATGAGTTTCTTTGATAGGCAGGCGATTCCCAAGGAGTTCCTAGCCTCATATTCTCAGCAACTAAGGGAAGAGGCAGTAACAGAAAAACAGTTGACCGATGCGCTCGGACTACTCCGAGCATTCTCCTTCATCACGCAGGACACAGGGCATGGTTTCGATATGCATCGATTGATTCAGTTGGCGACAAGAAGATGGCTATTACAAAGGAAAGCAGCAGACGTATTTGCGGAAAAGGCACTCTTATCAGTGGCACTTCATTATCCGGAGGGTTCAATGGAGAATCGCGAGATATGCACATCATATCTTCCCCATGCGCTCAAGGCATTACATTCAGAAGGGGATAAATCCGAGAATGTATTACTGCAAAAGCCAATCTCCTCAACTGCATCAGCGCCTTCTACTATTATGAGGGGAAATGGACGGAATCTTTACATTGTACCAAGGAGGCCGCAAGGCTTCGACAGGAAATCCTCGGGCTAGAACATGAAAGCACACTTCAGATGATGACCAACTTGGCAATCCTACACCAGCATCTAGGTAAATGGGGGACGCGGAAAAGATAGATCTTCAACTAGTGGCGATTCGCAAAGCGAAGCTCGGAGAAAACCATCCTCATACACTTCTCAGCATAGCTGGATTAGCGAGGACATATTCTAATCAGGGTCGCTGGGCGATGGCCGAAGAGCTAGAGGTGCAGGTGATGGAAAATCACAAAGCCAGATTGGGGGAATATCACCACGACACACTGAATAGCATGGCTTGCCTTGCGCAAACATACCGCAGCCAGGGAGATGGAAAGAGGCCGAGAAGTTGGAGGTTCGGGTATTAGAGGTGAGCAGAGCCACATGTGGTGCGGATCACCTTGATACAGTTACTAGTATGGCCAATTTGGCAGAAACGTACTGGAAGCAAGGTCGATGGGGGAGTCCGAGAAGCTAGAGGTGCAGGTGCTCGAAATTCGCAAGTCTAGATTTGGGGAACACCATCCTCACACACTGAGTAGCATTGCTAAGTTGGCAATAACATACCGGGATCAAGGAAGATGGGATGAGGCTGAAGTCATGGCGCAACAGGTGATGGATATTTACAAGGCGAAGTTTGGCCAAGATCATCCGTATACGCTCTACAGTATGTCCGAGCTGGTGGCAATATACCACAGCCAGAGTAGATGGGATGAAGCCGAACAGCTGGGGCTTCAAATGGTCAAAGGAGGCAAGGCTGAGTTTGGAGAAGATCACTGGTTTACGCTAAACGGTATGGGCGGCGTAGCAGCCATATATCAAGAGCAAGGAAGATGGAAAGAGGCCCAAGAGTTGGCGGAATACGTACTAGGGATCCTCGAAGCTAAGCTTGGCGAAGACCATCCTTTCACACTCAATAGCATGGGGAGCTTAGGTGCGATATATTGGGGTCAGGGTCGATTTGCTGAGGCGGAGGCGCTAGAGCTCCGGACTTTGGAAATTCGCAAAGTCAAGTTTGGGGAAGACCACCCGGATACACTTTCCAACATGCTTAACCTGGCATATACGTGGAAGTCTCAGGGGCGACTACCTGAAGCTCTCGAGCTCATGAAGGCTTGCGCTATCTCGCGCCAGCGCGTGCTAGGCCCAGACCATCCCGACACCCGCGCTGTCGTGGCTGCCTTGGCGGGTTGGCCTTCCCAGAACGCCGGGTCTGGATGACTTGTACGCTAGCTTGGATACGGTCTCGGGATACGATGTGTGAGAACATGGGCACATGTGGATCTCCAAGATGGCATCACAGTGTTAGACGGGCACTTTGTGCGTGGCTGTTTACGTTAGCTCAAGCTGCGTTGTATACCAGGACTCCTGATTTTCGGTGGCTTCTTTCTCGAGGCTTCCTCAGACCGCACTGCACGATAGACTCGAACAATCCGGTCGCCGCCAGGCTTCAGAGCTAATGGTCCCAGCGGGTATTCATACAGAACATTGAAGTAACAAACTAATATTACAATAAACTGATTTGGGTTTTCTCCAACAAACACTACCGGGTGTGAAAGCGATCCATCCGTCCACTATTGATACTCCTCGCCCTCCTTCTAACCCTTCAAAAGAAAAAGAAAACCAATGTAACACCAAGGTTCACAGTGCGGCTGTTTCCTGCCCAGATAAAGATACAATTGTGAATTGCGTCAACCCAAGTTCCTAATCTGAATAGTGCTGCAAAACACTTCCCTTCGCCTCGTCGTTCCGTTACCGAGACTTCGCCGTGTCAATTTCTCGCTGCTCCCTCAATAATTTGGCGCAATAGGCCGAACCCGCTCCGAAGAATAAGTTGCCTACGAGGTCCATGTACAGCCAGTTGGTGAAGACTCCTCCCCGGGCCTGCCAAGTACCACGCGTTGAAAAAGAGGTAGGGGATCATGGCTAGGCCGAAACAGGTGAAGCCGCGCTCGTCGAGCGAGGACGTCCCGAGAAGGAGGCCTGCCGTCATGGCTTGGGCGCCGAAGCAGCGCATGAGAAGGGCGGTGGTGGCGCTTTGGACCGCGTAGGCAGGTGATAGGCTGAGGGCTATGACGGAGGTCGGATGGATAAGGCACCTGGAAGATGATTAGTAGGGAAGACAGAGGACGAGGGAAGAGTAGTCCGATGACTGAGATGCGAAAAGGGAATGAAGTGAAAGAAAGAGACGGATTGCGATACAGCCAACGAGTGTGCCGGGGTCAGTCACTTACCATGCGCCCATGCTAGAATAGCCAGTCGCCATGACAGTCTGAAGACGGCGAACAAACTCAAGCCTCTGCGGAGTCGCCATCATGATTTCGTAGCGGACTCTTTTTCTTCCTAATATTTCCAAATTCCTCGAACAGTATTTCCAATATCGTTTTCGTCGTTGCAAGTTTTAGACAAGTCGTGCTGATGTTGGGTTAAAGTTGGTGTCGGGCGGGATGTTTCGGGTGCTGGTCTCAGCTGGACTTTCCCGTTGGTGAAGACGTCCCGACTTCGCCCGTCCGTCGAGGACAGCACGTGCCCGCGCGGCACTCCGGGGGTCTTTGGCGAACGTAGTCATTGATGGATCCAATCGTATTAGTCCACCTCCAATCTGTTCCGATAGACTTCATATCAAGCCATTCTACCGCTCTCCCTCCCCCTTTCCCCCTAGACAGCAGAACATGCGCCCTACTCGTCATCCACCATAATAATATCCTGGTAAAACTTTTCTTCGTAAAGAAACAAGTCGAAGGCGCGGGCCAGTGCGCCCCAGTTCTTCATGGTGCCGCACGTCGGGTCCGGGCACCAGGTAACGTGCTTGGCCTCCTCGTCCTCGGTCAGGCCGTACGACCGCGGATCCAGCGACTGCACCCATTTTTCGAGTAGGGCGCCACGAAGCCCGCCGAGATCTTCATCCCCGTAACGGAGACGAGTCCGGTTTCCTGATTCCGTGACCAGCAGTAATGCGTAAAGCAGCAGTACTGCCCGCAGCCGGAGACGTGGGCGGTTTTCTGGTTGGCCAAAAGGCCGGGGCGGGCGGCCCGCCGGGTGCGGGGAGCTTCTGCTCGCAGACGCAGCACATTTTGTGCTGGCAGATAAAGGCCCCTTGCTTCTCCGGATCGTGGAGGTGGGTGGCGTCGGGTACGAGGGGCCATCGGAAGCAGCTGCATCGCCGCGGGTCGAAGGCGTGCATCATCCTGGTTCCTTCCACGCTTCCCATGTGAGGGCAGGCGAGCGCGCTAAAGGTCTCGCGGTTGACCGAGGCGCGGCAGAACCGTTGGAAATGGGGAAGCGTCAGTTCGCCGGCGGTGGCGCGGAGGTCAAAGAGGGGGAACGCTTGCTGGATCTCGACGTCCATCTTGCCCTGCCACTCCTGTATGACGGCGGAGGCCCGGTGGAGGGTCCCGGGCTGGAGGGTGCGTCGTCGGTGCACTGGTCGCATTCCTTGCGGTAGTGGTGGGTTAGGTGCACGGGCATCCGGCCCTCGGGCGGGTCGTGGCGGCCGGAGCGGGCCTCTTCGACGTCCTCCCACGAGACGTGTTCGTGGGGGCACACGTTGATCTTGCCTTGGAGCCCGATGCAGATCCGCTTGGCCGACGACGCGGCGCGCTGCTCGGGGCTGAAGAGGAAACGCGGGTGGAACACCTTGCAGTCGGAACACATGAGGTGGGTGCCGAGCCATTTCTTGGCAGCGGAAAAGTGGCCGTCCTGGTGGGTGAGGGCGCAGTTGCCGCAGAACTTGTCCTTTCGGAGGAGCTGGGCGACGGTGCGCTGGGCTTCCTCGCTGAGGTTCCAGTAGTCCCATCGCGGGATGAGATAGTGCTGTCGGTCCGGGTACGTACGAAAGACTCTGTCGTTGGCTAGTCGCTTGAAACGGCGGCTGACCTGGTGAACGATGTGGAGGTCGCCGTCGTCGAGATAGCCCAGGATCTCGAGGAGGACCTCCTCGGACATATTCTGGATGCCGACGCCGTGAGTCTCTTCGTAGCTGGCTGGACTACTACCGGGAGTGAGCTCGTACTCTGACGAGGATCGGATGTTCCCGCTGGTCTCTGATGATTGCGAGGATGATTGAATGAGTTGGGGCTGCCGCCTGCTTCGAGATGTCCCGGCTCGCCGCCGTGGACGCTGCTGTGGCCGTCCAAGGGCGAGGCCTGGGATGGCATGGCTGGAGATTGGGTCTCCGGCGGTGTCCAATAAATGGAGAGGCTCTGCGGACTCTCGAGAGTCGAGGAGGAGTCGTCAGACATGATGAACGATGCGTGTTGCATGGATGAAGATGATGTTCTAACGATGCGGTTTGGGTTGTTGTGAGATGGAATTGGGATAGGCAGACGAGAAGAATCTATGATGCCTACGATGTCTGGGGAAACATCTTTATACCATGTGGTTCGAGGTTTTCCTCATTTGCAAAACGAGGTGCCTGTTTTCCCTTGTCCTTCCTACGGATTTACATCTGTTAGGCTTGAGTTTTTGGACACTAGCCATTGGATTTTGCATGTGTTAACGGGCCTCACAAGCATCCGTCTTTCGACTCGCGACGCGACGACGCTAGCCCCGGACTTTTACATGGGCTGAGGCCCTTGAAGATGCGGATATGGGCAATGGCTAGCTCATCTCTAGTCTCTTATTCGTCTATCCCTTCACGAACGCCGCCGTGGGCGAGTGTGGAACCTCTCTCATGGGCGTCCTCCAGACGTGGGACGATAACAGCACTCTAACAGATTATAACAGACGTGACGGTTTTGCTTAACTGAGCTCTACGTTTGTGAATTGGGACTCAATCCCCCACTGGAGCTATGGAACAGAGGCCGTGTATGGCAACAGCCGGGGGTCGGTCACCCCTGCCCCAGTTTGAGGGAGCCAGTTCTTAGAAGAGCGGCTCATGTCTTTAGTCCTTGCCCGACATCGATAGTTTACATGTGCACAGTAGCATTGAGGCTCATCTGAAGCAGGCCCACATTCAAGGTCAGGAATAGGATACGGAGGGCAAGTAAGTATGCAAAGCGTTGGGCAATCGTAGCATCCAAGAGTACATATAGTATCTTGAAAACCGCGAACAGAGTTCATCCATCGATTAGAGTACCCTAAAATCTACTACCATCATCCAACTACTGCCCAAGCAATGAATTCAAGAAGTTGACGTAGTTCCCCCATGATGATTCATCGTACACCGTAAGACGTGATGTATGTCGGGCTTGTGGGTCTGGATACTGGATCAATGGATCTATGTATGGATGTTTTCAGATGCTGAACTGGATTAGCCTTTCCTCCACGCGCCTCAAACCTAAAAGTCTTGACTGGAGATGAGCGTGGTTGGACCCTGGAAAAAGAGGCTCCGCTCTTCTCGTTGGAAGAAGGGTTCTATCAGTAGGTAAGCAAGAAAAGTTACTATTTGTGGATGTCAGTATTCTTCTATTTCCTCAGAATTAAGGCTGGAATTGACTAATAGAAACAGAAAAGATCAAGGAAACAAGATTCTCCCAAACCCCAGATCGCTCGTATGGACTGGACTGGATGACATTCTAAGTGCAGGGCAGATGTACACACCGGAAAGCGAGCCAACTACGTCCTCCCACATGTGCCAAATATCGATACAGGGACGTCTCACCGCTTCGGAATCTTGAAGAGAAGAAACGACTGCAAAAGTATATAATTAGAATGGCAGTTTGCCTCACCTCTCGCCTCTCGCCTCTCGACACCTCGTCCCCCGGTTCTCCTGTCAAAGGTCCCCTGAACATCGCGAGTTCTTACCTTCCTTCCCTGGGCCGCCTTGCAGGTAATGCTGATCTCTTGATATATGTATATTGGCAGCAATTCACGTGCAAGCGGCTCAGCGACTCAGGAGAAGCGAAGCAGCAATCGCGTACTCTGCTCGTCCAGCGTGCATCTATCTGCACGGGCTAAAAGGTGTGGAGTCACGAGTGGCTGGGGTGCGAAGGAAAAAGGGAGACGAATAAGACTGCGTATACAAGTGTACATGTGCATGTCCCCCCCTCGAATCCGCCCCCTTCCAATCAATAGATTATATGAACAAAAATTAACCTACCCAAAGGAAAGGCCTCGGCGAGTTCCGGGACCCGATATGGAGCGAGCGCGACGGGCTAGCGTGCTGCGGCGGACGCAAATGGATATCTAGCCGTGTTGAATACGCAGGGCCCTTGAGCAGTCTCGAGGTGCGTCAATCCTTTTCCTTGATGAATGCCGGTAACCGGGGGCGGGGCTGCATACGAGTTCGTGCATATATCATCGAGAAGCCAAAAGGTGAGGATATCCAACGTTTGCTCAGACCTTCATCTAGGCAGCTGCGCGCTTGGCTTTTGTCGAGTGCATTACCGAGGGCTGTCGTGGTCGACGAGAACAGGTCATCGTCATCGAGAAACAAAGCATACATCACGATGCCGCCATTCCAATTTCCATTGTCTTATTATGATGAGGTCTGAAGACCGAAATTGTCATATATATTCTTCTTATTCCTGCCATATCCTCTTCCTTGGAAGAATGTATGGCGGGGCAAGGCTTGGGCGATGGAGTGAGGAGTCGGACCCGCCGGCATGCCGCTTATGATTAGATGGAGGCAGCCAGAGGTGTTGTGCCACATGGATAGATGGAATGTGAATATGTGCAATATCAGCATAAGATGCCCCGTACTCGAGTCTTCTGACCTTGCTTCAACAACACTGAAAGCAAATAGCAAAGCCACATTCATCAGCCTTTGATACATGTACGGAGCCAATAGTAGTGGGAGGATGGCGACGATGGAAACATTCGGAGACGAGCAAAATAGACGAGCAGCAAAAGGACGAGATCTGAGATCTGTCAAGTTAAGTGGAGAATCAGCGCGGGTGGAGGCCAAAGGAGGAACGAGACCCTACGCCGTACAAGTCCATTTTACCGGTATATTTTACTCACCCTAAGCGAGGAGGAATAATAAGAAGCAGGACGCCTACCGGAGAATAGATGGGTTTTCCTCGCGGCGGACACCCAAGCCAGCGTGAACATGACCATTCCAGGCACCCGCTGCCTTGAAGTGGCAATCTAGCTCCCCTTCACGTCTTCCATGCGCCGTTACGCAAAGGAATTGGCCGCGGAGGAAGTCCGTTACTGCATGTCACAGCGCAGAGTCAGATGGCGAATTCCAATATCGCGACGCGAGAGATGCAAAGGCAAGTTGGCCGCATGTACATGTAGGAATGAGTGCATACGTGGAGATTTACGCAGGACCCCACGGATGCATTTGGATCTATGGATACTGCAAAAGCATTAAGAAATGCATTCCTGGGTGTTAATGGTCTTTATTTTTTTATTTTTTTCCCTGTCCTTTTGAGGTGCAAGCGGCACGTCCCCTACCACATGCCAGATGCGGACGGGACCAGAACTGTACATCAAGGTGGTACATTTCACAAGCGCACCAAGAACACCTGGGGCGAAACCCCTTCGGCGTGGGCGCTGTTTTACCGGTGCAGCAGTACACTATGCTGTTCCTTCAGCCCCGGATCCCGCAGTCTAATGCTCATGCCGTCCATGTTTGTGCCGCCACCCTTTTGCTCTTGTCTTTCCCTCCATATATGTACCTACCACTCCCAACGATCGATGATGAATCAGGCTCATTGAATAAAACGTGAGTAAAACAAGAAAGTATAAGAAAAATCGGAGAAAAGTCCCCGATCCGATCCTGATTGATATGGAGAAGACTTCAGACGACAAAAGCAAGCAACCAAAATCTGGTGGCGCGCTATTGTCCGGCACATTCCGATGCGACGTTGCTCCACTATAGACGACGTTTTGCTCGCTTGGCGATTCGATTGGCCTCTGAACTTGCTCCGTCTTGCTTCATCTGGGCCTCCGATAGTGAGGCCAATGTCGGGTAATCATCGCGTTCCCCGCTTCCTCCTAAACAAACCGGGATATACCATCGAATGCTTGCTCGCCCAACAGGTGCGCGATGTCCTAAAGGAAACCCAGTCAGATGGGCTGTGGGCCACGGCGGGTTGAGATGAACGATGCTCAGTCGCTACAGGTAGTAATGCAACCTTTCTTTTTCCCTCTTCGCACTTCCAATCGGTGTAAGGAAGTAAAGCAAAGGGGAAGGGTGGTGTGCCACTCGTCTCCTCTTCCATCTTCCATCTCCCTCTCGCATGGGGCCAAAAGTTTCCGCCCTCCCACATTTTGCGTGTGCCTTGTCGCCAGGTACCTGCATCCCGTCTCGCAGGTTCGGCATCCCTCTTCACTATTTGTTGTTCTTTTCACTACCCCGTCAACCTCACCTCAGCCCTACTTACGACAAGACATCGTGGCTTGCATCCCCTCCCCTTTCTCCCTCCCGCCTTGCCCCCTCCCTTTCCCCCTTTCGCATGTAACCTGGCCACCTGATCGGTCCACCTTCATCTCTTGTTTCTTTGACCTGCATCGACCAAACGTGTGTCCCTCCACCAACCTTGGCCCCTGATCGTGGGTGTCAGGACAGTCTATTCTTGGAATAATGTTAAATCCACCTTCCTAATCCGGACTGCCCTTCTAATTGCTTGGGATGGCGTCGAAAGTGATTGATGGTGGGGAATCGATCCAGGCACGGCTGGGTTAGAATCCTTCACTTTGTCAAACCCCTCCTCTATCCTACCCCTCGTTGCACCAAATTCCTGCTTTTCCGCTTGGGGAGAGGAGAAACGCCCGTGCGAACTGAACTCCTCTCCATGATTCCGTGAGCTAGGCAACATCTTGAAGGGTTTCTCGCTGCAAAAGCTCTCCACATTGTAAACCTCTGACTAGAAGTAAACCAGTGCGACTCTGGTGAAGAGAGCCAGTGGTGCAGTGACCGGGTGGCGGTTCCGTCCCTCGAAAGCCGTCTCTCCGATCTGTGGATCTCGTAGTTTTTTCGCCACATTTCAAACCACCGCAGAATACATGTACCAAGCTTTCATTCCCATCCTCGCGCAGTGTGGGCGAACACTGATGTTGACTGCACACCACCTCGCGATGGATGACGAGGCAAGACTTTTCATCCCAAGTTCGCCGCCGTCGCTAAAAAGAAGAATGTCCAGCTCCGACGGTGAGAGAGTTCAATCGCCCTCACTACTCTCCTACCGCACCTCCTTATGTTATTGATTAACCCATAAGTGCTTCCCTAACCCTCCTACCCCTATTAGCAAGCCCTCGCCGAGCGCCCATGTACAGGGACTGCGAAATCTAGGGTGGTGCAATATGGATAAAAGTGCGGCTTACACCCAGACGTCATCTCCATCCAGGCCAGCATTGCTCGCTACCATTGGTCAATCGGCATCGCCTGTCGGGTGATCGACCGCTTGGACTTCTAGAACATCGCGCCTCCTTCTCCCCCTCCCACGCTCGCCGCTCCTCGCTCGCTGCCACCGCACCCTACATGTAGCTGCATCCGATTCGCCCCTCGCTCTCTACTCTCTGGCCTCGACATCTGGATAGGAAATCGCACCCCGCTCAACGGAACGGCCAGTGCGTGCCCTGAACGAAATCCAACTGCATAGGCCATAGATCGGGCAGATCACCACTCAGTCACGAGATAGTCGGGCAAAGGATGCTTCATTGCCATCTACTCCCTGGAAGCACAGCATACCTGCACGTCGTCTACCGTAATATCGCAAGGTCACGTCCTCCGCCCAACGACGACTGAACCGACAGAGCTCAGCACCACGTGTGATTAGTCGACCCTCTCGCGGACGCACCACCCTCCCACTCTCCCAATCGCACGCCTTCTCTCCACATATTGGGTTACTTCCCGTGTCCTACGTGCGGCACACCCCCGGGACAGCCAGGGAACTCGCTCCATCTCTCGCACACCTCGCCCCCTTCCCACCTACACCCCAGCCTCGACGAGTGATAGACAGAACGAGATCTTGCTGGCATCTCCGGCCTTGCTTGTCCGTGGCCCCTTCCTGCTTGATAGTCTGCGCCTTGGTCACCGTTGATACTTGGTACCTCGCGCATGTGGGCCTGCGGAACTGTGGTCTTGGTCTGCACGTAGTTACACACGTGTTTCCCGAATAAGTGTTCCCCCACTACTACCACCACCACCACCACCCTATACCGTTCTTTGATATAGATTATCACGTATAGGGGCATTCTTTTTCGTGGGATTTCCATTTTGGGGCTTCATTATCTCTCCTCCACCGGCGGACTCCACCCACTCTCGAACTTCATATCGAGCGAAGAGGGGGAGGGGAGCTTTGTCCACTGGTGGTGTGTAGCAATAGAGAGAGTGAGTGAGTGAGAGAGAGGGGGCGCGGAGTATATTCATCTCATTTTTGAGCTTGATGAAAAGAAAATACACTTGATCCAGGTTCTGTTCTAAGAATAGCTTGACAAGACAGAGGAAAAGAGGAGAAAGAAGAGAAAGAAGAAAGACTGGGATAGGAAGATATCCTGTACCGGGATTGTCTTGACCGGCTCGGCCTCGTCAAAGTTGACGAAGAACACCTATAAAGAGACGTGATCTCTCCATCAATCTTATCCCAACTCTCCTCATCCTCATCCTCATCCTCACCCTCATCACCAACACCAATCCAGCCCAATCTTCCATTCACATCCACTTCATACTCCCCTTCTCTCCATCTCCTCAGCTCTTCTTTCACCCCACCCATTCCTTCACAATGCATTACACTTCTGCTCTTGCCCTCTTCCTCGGCGTCGCCGCCGCCGCTCCCAGCCCCCAGCTGAACGCGCCCCAAGTCTCCGAGGGCCCCTCCAGCATCAAGATCAACGGCATCTCCTGCTCGGCACCGGCTGCCCCGCCGGCACCGCCGACGTCCAGGTCGATGCCACCGGCGAGCTCTTCGAGGCCACCTTTTCCGCCTACGAGGTCCTCACCGGCCCTGGCACCAAGGCCTCGGACTGGCGCAAGAACTGCAAGCTCACCATGAACCTCGAGTTTGAGCGCGGCTTCCAGTAAGGACCCGAGACGATTTCCTTTTCCGTTTCCTTTCCCTTCTTGCCTCCCCCTCCTCCCTAACACAAAAGGAAAAGGTACCCCTCAACTAACGCAATTCTCCAGATTCTCCATCATGGCCACCGACATGATTGGCTACGCCGAGATCCCCGAAGGCGCCCACGGCAGCTGCAAAAACACCTTCTCCTTCACCGGCCAGACCTCGTCCGGCGGCATCGACAAGGTCGACTTCGACCTCGGCCTCGACGGCCACTACAGCGGCGACTTCGACCTCCACGCCGATCCCGGCATCTTCTCGTGGTCCCCCTGCGACGGCAGCACCGCCATCCTCAACATGAACACCCAGTGCGCCATCAGCCCCACTACCGAGAGCGCCCTCATTGCTGTATGTCCCTTCCAGAAGCCCGGTCGCGCCGGCGGCGATTGCCGGGCTTGGCTCCAGAAAGTGAAGGCCAGTTGGAAAGCTAAAAAAGGAAAACAGGTCGACCACCTCTCCGGCAAGCTCACCGTCCAGTTCCGCCTCGCCTGGAGGCCGTGCCCCAAATAGATGCCGACGCGCGGCGGCGGGCTGCTAGCACGTATACGAAGCACCCGTAAGAATCTGCAGAGTTCATGAGAGCTTCTTTCGACAATACGGCTCCCGCGGTCCTCCTCTCTTTTGCCTTGTCCTTCTTCTTCTCCTTCTTCTTCTTCTTCTTTTGTTTTTCAAAGAATCGGCATCATCAACCTGGAGTAAGAGAGGTGGAATGTGGAAGATTTTGGGATGACGGCTTCGGCTTCCCATTCAAACTATCGCATCGCTTCCTTGTACATACTTTTTTTTCGGGCATCGCTCTTTGCTCACTCGCTTGCAAAGGTGTAAGCCCGCTTCAGATATTCCTTCTTCTTACTTGTATATACTTTATCCTAGCTTTGGTCCCTCAGCCAGGTATTTGGCCTAAGTTTCTCCCTTTTCCGTGACCGCCTTGAAGTCCTAGAATATTCTCTCTTTGCATTTGTGTCGCGATAGGACCGACGAGTGATATCTGGATGAATAGTGAAGATGGGATCTAGATTCGTATGACCGAGCATCAATGCGTGTCTTCGTCACTTACGAGCCGCTCAGACCTTCAAATCACAACCTAAAATGATTAGTGCATAATGAGAGTAATCTCTAAGCCTGCTCAATCTTGGGCAAATTGGGACCTGCTGACAAACAAACGAAGGATGGAGGTGATTATGTGCTCGGCGTTAACAGCGTGAAGGATTCACTGATTGATTTCCTCGCCAAACTCGCGCCAGCAAGGGGCGGGGTTCGTCACCGAGGGAGCCAAGGACGTGAGCCCGGGTCGCACGGCGCAACGAGGTACGAAGCCAATGATGCTGGCCAGACTTTCCATCAGCAACAGGGGACCCTGCCCCAAAGCCAAGGTTGAGCGAGCCTATTTATGCATGAGGCGGGGCGACGAGCGAAAAGCAACGTCAAATGAAACGGCTCCAAAGGCGCCCATGGAGGCTACACGCGCCTGAAGGGTTACAGCTACTCGCAGAGGAGCAAGGGATCACCTTGGTCGCAATAGCGGAAACGCACGAGGGGCATCCGTGAGCTCGGACATGTGGTCCGCAAAAAAGAAAAGGAACACTAATAAAGGAAGAGAGAAAATAGAAACCATCCACCCCAAAAGCAATTATGAACCTTTCGGCTCGACTGTTAGACTATGCATAGTTTACTTGACTGGGCCGTTGATGCCATTCTTGAGGATGAAACCGAGCCAGCTTTACCGCATGACGTCGCGCGGTGCCTCGCTCTCGTCAGCCACATCCTAGTTAGGAAAGGAGACGAGGCTCACGAATTGAGTGCATGCTGGAGTTGATGGGGGCTATAGCGCCCCGAATTTAAGATCCTGGGGTTTGCTCTTGGCCGATGCAGGTCAGCTAGTTTTCGAGCCTCCCCAGACGATCTAGACCCAAGACCCTTTGGTTCTTGGATGGCGAAAATGGCTGGGAGGGTGTGGGTGAGGAACCGGTTTCCCCTTTTTCTTTCTTTTTCTTTTTCTTTTTCTTTCTCCTAGTTCCCTTCCTCTTCCCTCCCTCCTTCACGCTCTTACAAATTCGGGATCAGAGGCGGAGAACCTTGTTCTCGAAGGTATTTGCAAGTTCTTTACCGTGGGTGGAGGACTGCTACAAAAAGAAGTCTTGGTAACTCGGCTATATGGAATTTGAAACGCGGCGAGATGGGATGGAAGGGCGACGCGCGAAACAAAATGCGGGAGAGTCGGGACTCAGGGATCAAGGAGCAACTCGGGTGTTTCAGCTTCGGCCCTAACAAAATCCAGGCACCGCGGGGCCGTAATACAAATCGTGCGGGATGGGGGAGACTGGAGAACGACAGCGCTTCCTGCACCTCCTGCATGCCTTAATACCGGCAGCGCTTGCCTACTTGCAGAGGCCAGTCAGTACCTATTTAAAATGGCATTGAAAAGGGAGATCGGCCTCGGCGCTGACGGATGGCGTCGCGACTGATGGAGGCGAAAGCTTGGTGATTGCCGTGGAAGCTGTTGTACGAGGTAGCTGCCCAGCAGACGAATTTGGCCCTGGCCATGATTTGGAGGCGAGTACGGCATTCCATCAGCCCGAAAATCCTATCAATATGACATGGGGCATCACATATCTTGCGTCGAGGTTTTCGAGTTGGTAATACATATTGCCCCAAGGGCGTGCTTCGAAAAAGTCTGGAGGAGGCAACGCATTTCTCCGACAGAGGCGACCTTCCCAAACGGGAGCTTTAGCGAGAATATCTCTGCTACATGGAAACGATGAGTGCTTTGCCTCATGTCCGAGCTCGTGGCGAACTTGTGTGGGTGGTGCTGCCAGCAAGATTCATCAAATACCAGTCACCGGTCAACCCAGCAAGAACTGCGTGTTAATGGCCAGCGGTGTCCTTTGGTTGGGAGGGCGGTGCATTCGATCACTCCCAAAAATGGAGGGCTGCTGTTCGAAAGTGATACGCGCCAGGGAGCGAGGGCCATACTGCAACCGTCTGACTTTGCCCCTCTTTGCCCCTTTCCCATCTTCTGAAGCGGCGCTGGCAATTTGCCATTCTCCCAGTCTGTTGGGCCAGACATCATATTCTTCTCCGAACCACCAAGCCAAGAGAGCCCACAAATAGACTGGCGGTGACATTCTACCAAGTACGTTGAGACCAAATGCATGACCCTTGATGTGTGTGAGGACCAAAGGTGCCACTCTGCCACTCCATCCGCAGATGAGCCTTTTGGAGAGATCGACCATAGCGACCCCTTGCTCGGCTCAAATCACATGCAAGAGATGGTGTGTGGCGAGAGTTGGGTATCCGACGGGGATTGATGGATTGGTGATGGGTTGACGGCACCATGAATAGGGAGGGGAATCGACATCACCAGCCTTCATTTGAAGGCTCAACTGCGCTCGTCTCCACCTCAGTGCCAGTCAAGCCAGTCAAGCCAGTAGTGGCTCCTGGCCTTGCCGTCTTCAGGCTTGCTGGCTTGGTCGCTCCCGCTCCTCCTGAGGAATCAGGGTTCGTCGGCTCAGTTCCAGCCCCGAGCTCCACAACCCCACCATACCAACGCCAAGCCGTGGAATTACTGCTTGTGCAGACCTTCAATATCCACTCCCAGCATTGGATGAGTCCACATCCGCGCCCCGTGGGTAATCGAATGCGACCGCGAAAGCGGAGCATCGCAATACTTTCCAGTGTCGTGTCGTCGTTCCTTTTCCACCCGATTAAAGATGGACAGTGTGGAGCTGTTGCTCTGGATAGCAATGGATCAATCATGGATCCATTCAAGAAGATCAATTGATCGTGATAGATAATAGAATTTGACGTATTCAATCCTGGCATCGAGGCGGGATCGTCAATAGGCGCAAGGCCTGAGCCAACCCCACTCATCCTCAATGGGGGCTGGCCCCTGGAGTCCTTGCCGCCGGCCCTCCTCTCCTCCCTTCTCTAGGCCCAATCGCCAGCTGCGAAGGGGGGAACCACCGCCATCAAACTGCTGTTCCGTTGATCCCAACTCGATTTCGGTCTATTTGATTGAATTGATCCATAGACCAATCCATTACCCGTGCGGCAACACCACTAGAGTTGGAAACGAGCAGGACGGCAAAGTAGCACACCCGCTTGGGTCTAGATGTCTGAGAGCAGTACCCCGACTTGGGTCTCCTTGCGTATCACCGAGCCCCCGCAACCCCCAAACGTTCCCAAATCCTGTGCCGCCTGGAAGACGCCTAGAAAGACGCAAAGCGACTCCTTGATCGTTTCTTCTTGTTCGTTTCACTCTCCTTGCGCCTGGCGTTCGCAATTTTCCCTAATCGTAAATCTTGGTCAAAAACTGGGACGTGGCCGTCTTTTTAACCCCCGTCGCTCAGAGTCATCTTGCCCTTTTGGCGTGCGACAAGTGTTTGTCGGGTTGGGCCTTTGGGAAACAACAACACCACCACTCCTCTCCCTCTTCCCCCAAACCATCATTGGCACCCCGATCCGCTAGTCTCGAACGGCCCAAGGCCGTCCTCGAAAAACATTCGCCCAACCTTTTTCCACCCCCTTCCGCCGCCGTGCTCTAACCTCGAACCCCGCTTTGCTTACCTCCAGATCCTCAAAACTTGGTCGTTTGCTTGTCGACAAAAGGTGATTTTCCACCTGGCAAATCTGCAGCCTCCATCCCCTCCCTCCGAGGCAAACCACGATTTTCGAACTTCCAGACGTTGGCGACCACGACTCCACCGCCTTTTATCGCTCTTGCTTCGATCGGCCGAGATATCGAACCCACTTATTCCAACGCCCGCCGCTTGCTCTGCTGTCCACAATTCAGCGGTAATATCCGCATGCGATCACCCGCGTTTGCTTCATTTCGCCCCCAGACCAACCCCCGTTTGGACGCTCTCAGGCTCGCGAGCAACAGCCCGTCTAGTGTCGAGCCTCGACAGCACACGTTCGAGCAAGAAGGTTTGTTCTTTCCAACCCACCTCCCCCACGCACCTTCCTCTTGAACTCAGACTCGATGCCGAGACGCCCCATCGCTTTCGTTGTTCGCTCCTGCCTTTATCTCTTTTCGCCACCAACATTGGTTCGACCTTGGCCGCGACTGCCCCTTTCCCCTCATCACAACTCGACTTTGATTTTTGAGCGGGTTGCGGTTTCTCTACCACTGATCGCCTGTTACTAAGACTGCGCAGACATCTAGGCTTCTTCTTCTCGGTGGTGCGAGTGTGTTGCACTGTTGCTTTCCTCCGCTCTTCGAGACGGGCGCCTCCCCCGCCACCAGAAACCAACATGGCGGCTTCCAATGGGTATGTTTTTGACTCGACAGTCTTTTCCTGCTAATTTCTGCATTCTGCAACGAAGCCGTCCCTGCCCATCTCTTTCTTTGTTCCCTGATTACCACCAGTGCCCCAAGTCATTTCCTCTCCTCATCTTGTTTAGCGACCGTGAGGTAGGTGTGGGGTCACCCTGACCGACTTGGGTTCGAGTGCCTGTCGGAATCCTTGCTGCTGCACAACTTGCCTCTCCAAACCAACCCTCGTCCACACACTTGTCTTGTGACCTTTTTTTCTCAATTTTCCTATGCGTTTTCATTTTCGTCGCTGAGAGGCGCATTTCTCTCCCCCAAATACTCTCTTGTGGCCTAGCAAGCCTGTTTTCCCATATTCCTATCGTTTTCCTCCCCGTCAATTCCAAGCCCATCTCACACGAGAGATACCCCTCATTATTGCCCCCTGAACCCCTGACCGAGGGTTATTCCTCAGCCCAGCGACGCTTCTGCCCTTCGCCGAAATGGCTAACAATAGCAGCAGCCTCTACTCGGCCAACTCTTTCATGAACCCAGGGCCTGCCCCCGCCCGCCGACCGACCGACCCCGCCTTAACCTCACGCCCGATGCGAACCTCCCGGGCAGCATGGCCAACATGGTCATTTCCCTATTCGAAGCACGGCCACTTCCACATACACGGGCTCGACCATTTCCTGCCCCTCGCCGCCCGCCAGTTGGCTAACAACATAGACGGCCTCGGCGGCGTTGCGGTGAAGAAGGAGGGCTGGGCCCAGGTGAAGGAGAGCAAGAACTTCATTCAGCCCTGGAAGGCGAAATATCTCATCCTGCGAAAAGAATCGCTCGATTTCCACAAGGCAGAGGGCGGCAAGGTTTCGTATACCTTGTACCTCAAGGATGTCGTCAATGTCGGCCGTGTCGAGGCCGCCGGTACCATTTTCGAGATCAAGCGAAACACGAACGGTAGCTCGACGAGCCCTGGCGATGACGATGGCACCGTACGAACCTTGCAGATCAAGGTCAAGGGCGATGATGATTTGTACGAATGGATCGATCTTGTCTACGGATCGTGCCCCGGTATGGGCGGTGTCAGCAACCCGACCAACTTCTCCCACGCGGTCCATGTCGGCTTCGACCCCCAGACCGGCGACTTCGTCGGCCTCCCCCGAGTGGTCTAAACTGCTAAACTCCTCTGCTATCACCAAGGAAGACTACGAGCGTAATCCCCAGGCCGTTTTCGAGGTGCTCGACTTTACTCCGACCTCACCAAGAGGCAGGAGAACCCTAACCAGTACCCTGGTCTCACATCTAGCCCCCAGAGCCAGCAGGCCAAGAACTACGGCTATAGCGCCGGTGGCGGCGCAGGTGTCGCGCCCCTCGTCAGATGCAGCAGCAGCCGCAGCAACCGCAACAGCAGCCGCAGCGCCCCGCCTACAACCCCATGTCCTCCCAGTCTGGTCCCGGTACCCCCGCCGACCTTCCCCACTGAGCAGCAGCAGCAGAGGTCTCAGATGCAAGGGATGGCTTCCAACTACGTCCCGCAAGATTCCCTGCGCGATGACCAGCGCATGAAGCAAATGGAGGCTCAGAGGCAACGCGAGATTGAGGAGCAGAACCGTCGGGACATGGAGGCTTACAACGCCTCCCTCCCCAAGACCAAGACACCCATTGCCCAGCAGGAGCTTGGCGGTTATGGTGGCTCTTCTACTCCCGATCGATACAACCCCACCCGCGCCGCTCCTACCGTCCCCGCCAAGGGGCCTCCTCAGGCTCTCCGTGCCCAGCGTCCCGCCCCCGGCGCCCAACAACTCCGGTCCCCGCCCCCCATGGGCCAGTCCAACATGAGCTCGAGCTCCCAGCAGCGCCCATCCCCGGCCAAAGCAGCCCCGCGAGGTACCAGAATGGCGGCAGCTCGGCGTCCGCTACCCGGCCCAACGGCCCATCCGGCAACCCTCCCCTTCGCGGCTACCGGCGCCTGTCAAGCCCCTCAACGTCGCCCCCAAGCCCTCGCCATCGCAGCAGCAGTCTGATGCCGTCAGGGCTGCCGAGGCTGCTCACTGCTAAGCCCTCCGCCGCCGAGCGCAAGCAAGACCGACCCATGTCGACCATGTCCGAGACCGAAGTCATGGCCAGGCTCAGGAGGTAGTGTCCAAGGACGACCCCAACCTGTCGTACTCGAAGCAGAAGAAGATTGGCCAGGGCGCATCTGGTTCCGTATACGTTGCTAAGGTGAAGGAGAGCGCCGTCTCCGGCATTGCCCGCGAAGTCTTGCGACAACAGGGACCCAGGGCCCAGGTTGCGATTAAGCAGATGGATCTCGCCCACCAGCCCCGCAAGGAGCTTATTGTGAACGAAATCATGGTGATGAAGGACAGCAGGCACAAGAACATTGTCAACTTCTTGGACGCCTTCCTCCGCAACAACAACGCCGAGCTGTGGGTAGTTATGGAGTACATGGAAGGTGGTGCCCTTACCGATGTCATTGACAATAACCCGACGATTACGGAAGAGCAGATCTCCACCATCTGCCTCGAGGTATGTTGAATATCTTTCCCCTTTTGCATCTACTTACCCCTTGGACTTTTGAGCTGATGCTAACGCGGAATGCCCTTGTAGACATGTCGTGGACTTCAGCACCTTCACTCCCAGAAGATTATTCACCGCGATATCAAGTCTGACAACGTTCTTCTCGATGCCCGTGGCAATGTAAAGATTAGTATGTGCTATATGCCTTGCCACTCCTGCTCAACGATACCCTCCTCTTCAGACCTTTAACTAACAACCGTGTGTAGCTGATTTCGGTTTCTGCGCCAAGCTGACGGACTCCAAGTCTAAGCGTGCCACTATGGTTGGCACACCTTACTGGATGGCTCCCGAGGTTGTCAAGCAGAAGGAATACGGCCCCAAGGTCGATATCTGGTCTCTCGGCATTATGGCCATCGAAATGATCGAGTCCGAGCCCCTTACCTGAACGAGGAACCTCTAAAGGCTCTCTACCTTATCGCTACCAACGGTACTCCTAGGTTGAAGAAGCCCGAGAGGATCAGCAAGGAGCTCAAGGCCTTCCTTTCGGTGTGTCTTTGCGTCGAGGTCAAGTGCCGCGCTTCCGCGGACGAGCTACTCCAGCACGATTTCCTCAAGCACGGCTGCCCCCTTGGCAGTCTTGCAGAACTCCTTGCCTTCAAGAAGCACGCTAAATAAACGACGTGCAAGCCATCAATCGACGCCCGGCCAGCCGTGTCAATTGTTCTGATCACATAAACATGCAAGATGACAACCCTTTTACACCATGGACAAAACCTGCGAGTTAGCATTTCTTACACAAACGGAACCGCATGACACCTCGCGTAAAAGCCTGCCGTGGGGCCATTTTTCTCAACCTCCCAATTTTGACGGACATAACCTGCGTTTCTTAGTGCTTCGGATCGGATGAAACCCGTAATATGTTCCAAGAGCGACCCCCGTCCACTTCAGTATTCAGTCATAACTATAGGCATTCTATTCCCAATCGCCCCCCTTTTTTTCTCTTTTTCTCCTCTTTCCGCTCGCGATCCGTTTTCCTGTCACATTGGCGTTTTTACAGGTTGGCAAGGGAGGACATTATTTTGCAGAAAGGATAGTAGGCAAAAGGTGTAGCAAGCACGATGGGGGAACAAGACGAGGGAGGGATGTGTCCCCCCGGCGCCTGGATTTGATGTTGTGCATTTTTCCACCCCAGATTATGTCGGTTGGCGGATGAAAATGAAAGCCGCTGTTCATAATGGTAGATATCCTGTCCCGCAGTGTCATTGTTTATTTGATCTAGTTTACAACTCTTCTCGTACTTTTCCCATTTCCTTCCATATTGTATTCTCGGCACGGCGAGGTGCCCGCAAGGGATGTCATTCAATAGCTACGGACGTTGCTTGAAAGGGTGAACCTTGGTGTACTGAGCTACCATTGATGCTGCATCTCAAAAAAGTCACCTTGGCACTTGCAACCAACTCTTCTGTTGTGCCAAGTATGTTACACCAATTGATGATTTCCTGAAGAGTTCGCAATTCACTTATTAGAGACCCAAACTACCCGCTGTAAATGAATAATCTCTTGCACGAAAGATTCAATATTCCAACAATACCAAACTCGCCACCCGCCACTGCATCTTGAATGGGAGCGGTTTGCTTCTCGCTTCTGTGGACCGACAATTGAAGCGGAGGCTCTGGCTAGTTCCGTTCACGTGACCTCGGCTGCGACTGCGCCGGACTTCCCACGTCCCTAGTGTCCAGGCGCACTGGCAGCACTGGCAGTTGAAGCGGGTCGCGTCCGGTACAACGCCCTGATTTTTTCACTGTAACCCGCCCCAGATGCCTGTACTTGTGCATCCAGCGTGACCATCTCATTCATTTTTTTCTTCTTCTTTGGCCCTGGCACAACACGGCCAACCCTTGGCAACAGAAACCTACTCGATACCCCGTTGCGTCTCTCTTCGTCTTTTCCGCCTCTCGCAGGAGTTCGACACTTTTCATAGTCAGCCCACCTCCGCCGCTCTAAGCTTGCCTTTGATTCGAAGCTTGGCCGATCACACGAAAGGCCCCTCCCACGACGACGAGAGCACAACGCCAATTTGGTTTGGCATCCAGAGAGGGATCGTCCTATGTAGACGGCCCCGGGGCCACTGAGCCGTGTCGCCCGACATGACGACCGCGACAATCTCCGACGCTCAGAGAGAGCTCATCAGGTGCGCTCCCTTGTCTTTTTTTTTCTTCTCCTCCTTGACTCCTTCCCGGCCGCCGATGAGCTACGCGCGGAACTCTGGCATTGCGATGGACCTCGAAAAGCTAACTAGACCCTGCTTGCCCGAACAGCTCCCTCGCCCCCGATGACATACCGATTAAGCTGCGCTGCGCGAATTGCAGCAAGCTCGCCATTAATGCCTTTCGCCTGCCTTGCTGCGAGCAGGCCATCTGCGAAACCTGTACGTGAATGGGTCAAGCTTCCACCCTTGCCGCGGCCATTCGTGGCTTAGCTGCGTGATACCTATTTCGTGACGGCAGCATGCTAACGAATCGTGTCTCTCTTTTCCGCATTGATAGGCCACTCCACCCTCCCTTCCTCGTGTCCCGTCTGCGAGCACTCTCCTCTCTCGGCCGACGATTGCAAGATACACAAATCCCTGCGCACGACGGTCCGCGTCTTCCTTCGCAGCGAGGAGAAGAAGCGCGATAACCTCAAACTCAAAGAGGCCAAGGAGCTGGTGAAGGATCAGCCTCCCGCTCCTGCCGAAAAGGCGCCTGAAGAGAAGGAGGAGGCTCCCGGGAGGACGTGCAGGCGGCGCCCATTCTACCAGAGGTTGCTGCTGCACCTGATCAGGCCAAGGGCCAAAATGGCGGCGGCGCGCCTGGTGAGGATGGCACGAACCCGTCCGCCGATGAGGTATGTTACGCACAACCCCTCCGAGTTCAGAGAAACTATTCGCGTACCTTTGGAGCGCCTGCTAACTCGATACGTTTGATAGACTGCCGGCGCCCGTGCCAATGATGGCGAGAACCCTACCGAGACTGCCGTAGTGATCCGTGAAGCCTCCGAATCAAAAGACCTCGTTCACAACAACCCATCTGAACACAACGGCCAAGACCACGAGGGTGAAGGCGAAGGGCAAGACGGTGAACAAGACGAAGGCGGCGACGGCCCACAAGCTCAAGCTCAGGGCGGGTACGGGAATCAGGGCTACGATGCCGCAAATGGAGGCGGCTTTGCAAACATGGCGTTCGCTGGGGGCGACTTCAATCAGATGCAAATGATGATGGCCATGCAGAATGGCTCGTTTGGTGGATTTCCGATGATGGGTACGTTACGGCGCCTTCCCCTTTTCTTCTAGTCACCCGTTCCGGGTGCCCCTCGTCTTGCATTGATGCTAACCTCGTCGTGTCGGATGCTAGGAATGAACATGGATCCTCTGGCGATGCAAAACATGTACATGAACATGAACGGTGGCTACAATCAAGGCATGGGCATGAACGGCATGAACGGCATGAACATGGGCATGGCAGGAGGCTATGGAGGTAATGAGAACTGGAACGAACAGCAGTCGTGGAATTTCGGCCAGGATAGTTACAATCATGCAAACTCTCATGGCATGGGCCCGGGTGACTATGGCAACTATAACTCTGGATTTCAGCAGCAGCAGAACCAGCAGGCAGGTTTCAATCAAGGTAGCTTTGGTGGCCATCAATTCAATGACTACCGGAGAGGCAACTACGGGTACCGCGGAAGAGGCCGTGGTCGTGGTGGCTTCTATGACGGCGGCTACGGTCGTGGCCGCTACCAGGGGTACGTTGGCGGCAACCAAGGCTACGGCCAGCAGTTCCCCCACCAGCAGCAGCCGAACCAACCCTTCGCGGTAGGCGCCCCTGGTTTTAGTCAAGATGGTAATCAAGACGGCGCGGCGGCCGCGCCCGCGGTCGGCGACGACGGGTCGCAGGCCAACGTCGACGAGTACGGTCGTGAGGTGCGCTCCAAGGAAGGCAGTACAGATGGCCACGAGGCTTCCGCCTCGCAGGTTGTCAAGAACGACGCCGGCCAGACGGCGGCGGCGGATGGTGCGCAAGTAGGCAATGGCGGCGAGCATCAAGATCCCGCGCAGAGTGACCGTGCCGTATCCGCAGACGCGTTCTCGCAAGCTGGTCGGGGTTTTACCAAGGTGATGTCGATCGCCAAGCCCGACGTGCCCCTCAACGCACCCACCGGGCCCAAGGCCATGCGTCAGGGTCTCCCTAATACTAGTGTCCCCCACCTGCGTGCGCGGGGCCTGCTCGTCGACGACGATAAGGCGCCGTCGCAGCAGCAGCAGCAGCATGGCCAGCCTAATGGCGGTGGCAGTGGTAATCGCCCGGCCGGCGCTAGTGACGTGGAGAATCGCCCCAGGTCTAGGAGCCCCTCCGTGGCCCAATCTGAGCACGAGCACTACCACGATCGTAGCCGGGATCGCGAGCGTGACCGCGGACGTGACCGTGACCGGGAAAAGGCGCGTGGCCGAGACCGTGATCGGGAGAAGGAGTATGAGAAGAAACGGCCGGGCGCTGCGGACGGGGGTGAACGTGCAAGGGATCGATCCAAGTCGACGATTCCAAGTAGAAGCCGCACGAGGAGCGAGAGCCGGAGGCGCCGTCGTAAGGGCTCTCGTCGGCACAGACGAGATCGTTCCGAGTCCGTAGTCACGGAAAACCAACCTGATGATGAACAGCATCGTCGGAGTAAGCACCGGAGCCGCAAGCATGGGGCGGATGCCGCGGAGGAAGAGGGCGCCAGTGGATCCAAGTCGCGGGCCAGGACCGACGACGGGAAAGGCCTGCATGAGCGATCGAGATCCGGGTCGCCTGACGATGCGAAACAGCGACATAAGAGCAGTAGGCGGGACCGTGAGCCGGAGAAGCGGCGTGACAAGGAGAAGCATAGGGACGATGAGAAGCGCAAGAGCAGGCACCATCGCGAGGAGCGAGATAAGGACCGCGATCGCGATCGTGACCGGGACCGGGACAGGGATAGGGATCGAGACAGAGAGAGGGACCGTGATCGTGGCCGCGACCGTGATCGAGACCGCGACCGAGACCGCGACAAAGACAAGGACCGCGACAAGGACCGCGATCGGGATAGGGATCGGAAAGACCGCCGGGACCGGGAGAAGCGACGCGAAGAGCGGCGGGAAGAACGCCACCGAAGCAGCCGGAAACATACGCCCGACGCGAGCGGCGGCCCTCCACCGGCCCCGAGCACGACAGGATGGACGAAGCGCCGCTCGAGCGGCGCGAGTCGCACGTGTCGGTCTCGTCGGGCAAAGGCGGGGAGGAGGAGGAGGAGGCAAGGACCCGCACACGCTCGAGCGGGAGGCTAGGGACCGTGAACGGCTGCTCAAGGAGGCGCAGAGGATGGCGTCGCTCGCGGGGTCGAAGCGCAGCCGGGGCGACGGCGGGGCGGGCGGCAGCGGCGGAGACGAGGAGGAGTGGAAGAGGCGGAGGAAAGGGCGGAGGGCGGAGGTGGTCTCGGGGGATGATCCCGAAGCGAGGATGAGGAGGCTGGAGGCGGAGAGGGAGGGGGAGGTGGGGTTAGGTGTTGTGCGCTACTACCTACCTCTCTTCTTCTCGTTTCTGGGGGCTCTCCTGCTTCTATCGCCGAATTGGCCTTTATGGAGATGAGAGGGCGGCTGTCGGGAGAGCCCCCTCCCCCAAAGCAACGACTCCCCACCCTCCTCCATCCGACAGCGACGCTCTTGCGAAAGGCGCTCCTGCTCTTGTTTTACTCTCCCCCTCTCCTTTCTCCCACCCATATCCAACACCATCCACATACCTTGTCATATTCATGAGGGAGTGAATCGCCTCATTATCTTCTCTCTCCCCACTCCCACCTTTTATCCCAACGAGGGAAACAGAAAAAGAAACAGATAGAAAGAAGCGAGATAAGGGCGCCCCTAACTCGATGGGCCAGAAGCATAGTCGACTGTTTCCATCCGCTAAACGACCAAAAAGAAGCATGAATAGAGGAGACGGGGTCAAGGGAGGGTATTTGGAGTTTTTGTTTTGCCCTTGGATCCGTTGAAAAAACATGTTTTTTTCGTCTTGGTCCGTCTAACTTGTCAATAGAAGGAATCGGCCGAAAGAAGAGGCTAGGAATATAAAGAGAACTAGGAGGTCTCGCACCAAAGATGCCTTTTTTGTCCTGGACGGTAGTAAAAACTTGGGTTTCCCCATGATCCCAGATCATCTATGTCTTTATAGAAGGTACACTCTAGGCATTAATCAACGCTGAATTTGTCCATATCCTCGTCTCCCCGACCTTTGATCGAGGTCAACGACCATGTCGTGCATATAGCCATGACTTTCTCACATACTTTGGTGGCCCGGGGCGCTTCGTCGCTACTGGGAGGATATGAAATATCTTGTGACGGTATTGTTTATTTAGATACATTTCAAGAAAGACGTGTGGATTACCCTAACCCTCCATAATGATGGCAAAGGCCAACGTATCTCGGACATCCTCCCAAGCATTTCGCAGGCGCAGCAAAACCCCAGCCCAAAGACGGGAAGGAGACGCTGCCTGCGTCCACTCCCAGGCATCGACCGAAAGGAGCAAAAGGAACTCAGAGGAGACAGGTAGACAAAAGGAATAAGAGACAACAAAGCAAAAAGACTAAACGCCGCCCTGCAAAAGGATACAAGGGCATATACAAACTCGTCAACATGGGTCGCTGTGACGAAAAGGGAAACAGAAACAGAAAGAAGAAACCGGTGGAACGCCCGGCCACCAGGTTCGACTACCCTCCCGGGGCCTCTGATCTCGGGCGTCCCAGGTGTTCCAACCAACCCGAGATGCACACTAAGGCTCATGCACTAGCTCTTCGCTATCGACCTCCCCCGGCTCCCCAACTCGGTCAGAGGTTCTTCATCACTTAACAAGCACAGCCCTCCTTGGCGCCAGCATCCCTGGGTCCGGTGAGGTTGACCCGTTGCTCATCCCCGCCCCGAGCGGCGGAGCTGGCACCGGGCACCCTAGAGCTCTTGAGGCTAGTCTCGGGGATCGCGTTGGCGATGGCGGTGAAGACGTCCTCTACGTTGTGGCCGGTCTTGGCACTGGTCTCAAAGAAGAGGAGGCTCTCCTCGTCAGCGTAGGCCTTGGCCTCCTCGGTGGAGACCTTGCGGACGTTGTCGTCGGCATCGCCCTCGTCGTCGGCAAGATCGAGCTTGTTACCTACAAGGGCGATGACAATACCGGGAGAAGCCTGGCGCTGAAGCTCGGCAACCCAGTGCTTGGCCTTGATGAGGGAGGCGGGCTTAGTGAGATCGTAAACGACGAGGGCGGCCTGGGCGTTGCGGTAGTACATGGGGGCGAGAGAGGCAAAGCGCTCCTGGCCAGCAGTGTCCCATATCTCGAACTTGATCGTCCTCGAGGGAAGGTTGCACTTTTGTGTGAGGAAGGCAGCTAAGGAAACAAGAAGAAAGAGACGTTAGTCTAAGGATGCATTAAATTGTGTGCATATATGCATGTGCGTGGGGCGTGGGTGCGTATCGGCGGGGGATTGAGCGATGCGTGCTTTGCAAAGATGAAGGAAAACGTGAACGGGGGAGGTACATACCGCCGATAGTGGGCTCTTTGTTCTCTTGGAAGTCGTTGTTCACAAAGCGGAGGACGAGGGAGGACTACAACGTTGAAAATTAGCAAACTTGCGCATGAACCTCAAGGGGCAACGACAAGAAAGAAAGGGTCCGTCTTGTGTGCTGCCCGGGGCGTGGCGATCTAACCTTTCCGACAGCGGCCTCGCCCAGGAGCACCAGCTTTACGCTGCTGCTAGGCTTGGGAGCATTGGGGTCCGCCATGGTATCTCGGGGTTCGCGATCGGGGTCGGGTCGTTGGGTGGGAGAGTTGAAAGCTTGGTAAAGTCACGGTCAACGTCCAGACGGGCGGGAAGCACAAGAATGCGGAACAGCCGGGGGCAGGGCCGTAGATGGAGCGAGAAGAGAGGTTGTCGTGGAGGCTTTGGGGGAGTGGTTCGCGGGCGTGAGAAGTCGGTGACGTGATGCGTAAATCGAGGATGAATTCGGTTGCCTATTTATTTTTGAAGGGTGGCGGTGGTTGGGCAGGATGGGGGACTAGAGAATGGTGGGTTTTGGGGGAGGAAGGGATGGAGGGAACAATGAAGGCCGAGGCGGCGAGTGGCGGGAGCTTTCTTGATGCGGGTCTCGTCTCGCAGGTCTCTGGGTCTTGGTCTTGGTCTGGTGTGGTTTGGTCTGGGCCCCGTTGAGCACATAGGCGGGCGGGAATGATGACGAAGCTTGGGGGAAGGCGCCAGCGACCAGGGTGTGAACCAACTTGGGATCCGACACAGCCAGTATTAATTGTTTGATCAATGCGAATTAAATGCTCTTTGAACTGTTAATCGTTCAGCGTGGTCAACTATTACCAGAAAGCCTATCGAGGTGGCTGTCTTAGGGGCCTGTAGCGCTCTAAGAGTGCAGTTTGTTCCATAACGCACTAGAGCAGGCCACTAGAAAAAGTAAAACGGTGGCCTGGGCTCTTTCAAGTTAGCACTCCCAGCACGTCGTCATCACCGCGCCGACCAAACATCCCCCACATCAGTGACTCGGGTCACCAAGACAAGAGCGACACAAAAGAGTGCCTGTACCGCCATGCGGGGACTCGGTTAATAGTTTACCCGTATACCGCCTCGCGCTCAGTCCGGCAGAAAAAGTTCAAGCGCAGGACCGACAAGGGAAAAAAGACAGGCACGTCCCCCGCCAATGCCTGAAGGAAGCGTACATCTGAAGGCTAAAAAAAAAAATTGAAGCTCAGTAGCGGTGCAGAGAGTAAACCATCTACAGACTCGGTATTTGGAGCAGACATCGCGATAATTCACACATTCCAATGCACCCCGACAGACAGTCTCGGCTGCCTGGGTTAGCAGTCGAGCCCGCCGACACTGCTCCTGCCACCAAATTTCCCAAGAAGGCGCTTTTCGAGGACGACGACTCCGACTCGGACGATGGCGGGGCAGCTGTCAAGGCCAACGGCGACTTCAAGGTGAACGAGGATTTCGCCAAGAGGTTTGAGCACAACAAGAAGCGAGAAGAGAAGCATAGGCGTAAGTTGATTCTGTTTTCTTTCCGCCTTCTACGGGCTTCCTTTTTTTCTCCCTTTCCTCTCCCAGTTGCTCTGTTCTCTTTCGTCTACCTCTTGGAATCCGCAACGGGGCTTTGCCTCGTCTGCTGTCGTTCCCACTTCCTCACCTACCGCAAACTCGTGAATATATGGCAAACCAGCGAAACTATGGCTAGAAAATTAACCTTGGAATAAATAGTCGAGGAAAAGTTCAAAAGGGAAGGCCGCGATGCCTCTGGTTCCGAGTCCGAGTCCACCGACGAGAGCGAGGACGAAGATGCGTTTCTTGCCACCGAAGACCTCGACGCTCGAATCTCCGAGACCCTAAACGCTCTGCGGTCCAAGGACCCCGCATCTACGACAAGGCAGCCAAGTTCTTCCCCGAAGGTGACACGGCCGAGCAGGACGGTGGCGAGAAGAAGAAGAAGGAGAAGCCCATTTTCCTGAAGGACTACCACCGTGAGAGGTATATGGCCGGAGCCACCGGCGCATCCGACTCGGAGCCCGAAGACGAAGATGCTGAGAGGCCCAAGACGTACGTCGAGGAGCAGGCGGATCTAAAAAGTCCATCCTCGCCGAGATCAACGCCGCGGCCACCAACGGAGACGCGTCAGGCGATGAGGAGGACGGCTTCCTCAAGACCAAGTCGAAATCCAAGTCCAAGTCAGACGATGTCTCGGATGAGGAGGGGGCGACGAAACAAGGCGACAAGAAGAAGCAGAAGCAGAAGAAGAAGAGCAAGTCGGCCAGCGCAGCCGTCATCACCGAGGCCGACATCCAAGCCGCCGAAAGGGACCCAGAGCTGTACCTATCCAACTTCATGGCGGCGCGCGCCTGGGTGGGCCCCGACGGTTCCAACTGGAAGGCGTTCGAGTCGGACGAGAACGGGGACTCGGACCTGGAGAAGGCGGACGAGATCGAAGCCGCGTACAACATGCGGTTCGAGGACCCCACCAAGTCCAACGAGGTGCTGCGCTCGTACGCCCGAGATGTGGCCGCCGAGAAGTCGGTGCGCCGCGAGAAGATGAGCGCCCGCCAGCGCCAGAGGGAGACGGAGCGCGAGCGCAAGGAGGAGGAGAAGCGGGAGCGCAAGGAGGAAAAGGCCCGCCTGCGCAGGCTCAAGATGGACGAGGCGCAGGCGAAGCTCGAGAGGATCAAGGAGGCCGCGGGCGTCGGTGGCCAGGACCTCAGCGACGACCAGCTCCTCCAGATCCTCAACGACGCGTGGGACGACGACCGGTGGGAGGACGAGATGAAGAAGAGGTTTGGCGAGAGTTACTATGAAAAGGACGACGTGAGCCTCAGCTCCGGCTCCGAGGCCGAGTCGGGCGACGACGGCGAGCAGAAGAAGAAGAAGAAGAAGAAGAAGCCCAAGAAGCCCACGTGGGACGACGATATCGATATTACCGACTTTGTCAAGGACTACCAGGAAGACGACGCCGCTCCCGCCTTTAGCCTCAGCGACGTCGAGGAGCAGCAAGACGACGACGATGAGGAAATGGCCGACGCAGGCTCGGACGAGGACGAGGACGACGTCGAGGAGAACGACGACGACGACACCCCGCCCTCCAAAAGCGCAAAACCTCTAAAGACCACAAAAGGACCGCGTCGCCGCCAAACGCGCCGCCAAGCAAGAGCGCACCCGCCTCGAAGCCCTCGTCTCCGCCAAGCTCGACATCGAGGACCCCGACCACCTCGCCGCCCGCTCCGCCCGCTCCGCTTCCGGCAGCAGCAGCAAAGCAGCCCCCAGTTCCGCTGGCGCGAAACCTCCCCGCGCCTTCGGCATGACGGCCCGCGACATCCTCCTCGCCCCCTCAGACAAGGCCCTCAACCAATTCGCCGGCATCAAAAAGTACGCCAGCTTCCGCGACCCCGAGCAGAAGCGCAAGGAGAAGAAGTCCCTCAGCAAAAAGGCCCGCCTTAAGAAGTGGCGCCGCGACGTGTTTGGCCGCGAGTACGAGGAGACGGGGCCGAGCTTCGGCTTCGAGGCCCTCGAGAACGTCGAGGCTGACGCGGAGGAGATTAGGGTGCCGAGGAAGAGGAATGACGGGGCGGCGGCGGCGGCGGCGGACCGTGATGGCGACGACGATGCGGACAAGGAGAAGAAGAAGAAGAAGCGCAAGAGGAGTCACAAGAAGTCGGGGGAGATGCGTAGTGTAGGGAACGATATGATCTCAACGGAGTCCCTTTTGGTTTTTTTCCTCTTCTCGCTCATCGTCCTGCATTCTTCCTCCCTTTCCAATCCCTCAAAAACGGCCGTCGAGTTTAGACAAGATACCACCAGCCAAGCTATCCAAGTTTCCTAAAAGCAAGAAAAAAATTAGATTTATGTCACGTTTCTGTCTCATCTTTGCAACGCTTCACTGAAAACCTGGTCCATTAATGCCGGACTCTCTCTCCTTCCACCAACATCTCGCACCAGAACCAAGAAATCACCGCCGTTGCAAGAAAGGGCTGTTTTTTAAACATCAAGTTTGAGTATTCTTTCCTAGCTGAGTAGATTTATATATATATAAGTGTACACTTCATGGCAGCAAATGGTATCGACAAATTTACACGCGTGTGAGGCACCGTCCCGTCCCGAGAAAATGCTTGTCCCCCGCCCATCCATCGCCGATCCGAGAAACCATGGAACGATGAAAACTATTAAAAAGAAAAGAAGAGAAAAAAATAAAAAGATAAACCAGCAAGACATTCGAGCAAGACATTCGTATGTGCTTTATTGCGCCCATGGGAAAAACACTCGTACATGTAGAAAAGCGTACGCCCGCTCCGTTGTGATCAAAAGGACAAAAGAAGAAAAGAGCATCTGTTTTTTCCGGGTTTATGATGGGTTTTCGTTTTCCATTGTTGCGCATGCACAACCATTCGTTGCCGCAATCGCAACCCCAAGCCAAGGGGGTCCCAGGCAGAGAGCAAACATCCTTTTTCGAGTCTGCTCTCTCGTTTTTGGCTCACTTTACTGGCCGTGTCGAAGCCCACTCATCCCCGTAGGGCTCGGCGCAGACATGCCACCCCGCCACCAAACATGCTCGTCAACGTATCGAGGTTGCTCACGGCCATGCCGAGGTCGTGTCCGAGCTCGGGAGGCTCCATATTAAACGGCATAAACCACGCCGAAGACGCTTCTTGCCCGAACCCAGCCATTGTTTCGATTCCCTGCCGGGCCGCAGCGGCGCCGCCGAGTCCGCCATTCAGGTTCAGCCTGCCCGGGATGCGGCGGCGGGCGGGTGACCTCGGGTAGTCCACGCGCATGCCGAGCCAGTCGCTCCCAGTCTACTCCATCCAGCATCGAGGCGCCGCCGTTGCCCAGGCTAGGTTCCATCGAGTACGCGCCAAACACCATTTGTCGGTCGAGGGGCTGGATCATACTGTTGACCGCCTGTTGCGAAAGACCCATAGAGAGCAGGTCGGGAGCGTAAAATGGCGCGGTGTTGTGGGATCCGGGATGCCCGTATCCGCTCATCGCAGGGCTGACAGGAGAAAGGGCATGGTAGCCCGAGGCTTGGGAAGGCGGGATGTTGAGGGGTTGAATCCGGCAGGGCCGCTTGTCTGTCCGCCGAGAGCTCCAGAGAAGCTGCGCTGGTGCTGCAGGCGGGCACCAAGAGGATCGGAAGCCGCCGCACGGTTCTGGAGCTCATTCATAAAGGCCTCGGCGTGCTGCTGTTGCTGCTGCTGTTGCTGTTGCTCGGTCCGTGGGCCGCTCACAGAGCCCTTCTTCGCCAGCGCCTTCTTCTTCGCGGGGCCACCCTTTCCGCCGTTCGAGCCCGCTTCCGAGCCCTGGGCAGGAGAGAGCTTGGTGAAGAACTCTTCGACTGTGTGGAGTTCGGGCTTCTGTTCCAGGACGGCTTCCTCGCCCTTGTCTCGCTTCTTGTACGAAGCGGGATCGACAAAGTCGCACTGCGACACGCCGTGCGGATATCGGTCAAACCAGTCGCCGTATTGGAAGATGGGAGATGCCGTCGAGTTGTCGCTCGTGTTGCTGCCTTGGCGGGCCGCGTCCGCATACGTCCTGTACTGCTCACGAAGGTTCTCCGACATCCAGTGGAACATGCCCCAGTACCTCTTCATCTTGGAAAGGAATTTCACATTGGTGGCCAGGTTCCTCTTGGAGGTGGCCTCCATCCCGGGGTTCCCGGAGAAGATGCCGAGAATGTGGATCGTGCTGGACGAAAAGGCACAGTAACCTACAAAGGTGCCGTGACAAAGTACGACTCCGCGTCCTTTAGCAACTCAGAGATGCGGTTAGCGGCGGCAAAGGTTTTTGTTCCAGCCTTGGTGACGAAAGCCTTGGGTACCTCGGCCTTGCCGGTAGCCGGGGTGATGCCACGGCCACACGGTTCATGAAGAGGATATTCTGTTGGATGGCGATGTGGAGGAAAAGGAACTGGTTGGCCATGTTTTCGGTGCTGTGGAGCTGCAGGTTGTCGGGCGAGTACTTGAGCGACTCGGGCAGGATTTCGAGCATGTCGTCCGCCTGTTGCGTGAGCTGGGCATACTCTGAATCGGGGTTCCAGAAGGAGCGGGGATCCTGGTCCTTTCCTCCTTGGTTGAGATAGTTGATGATCCTACCCCACAGGGCGATGGTACGGACCATGTAGGCGGCCACGCCGAGATTCTTCTTGGGGTCCCCCAACGTATCTTCGGTGCCACCCATTGGGTGCACGACCTCGCCGGAGAGGGTTTCGGTCGCAGCAGGCATATCAAGCTGGAAGTACTGCTCTTTGACGGGGAGGGGGATTTGGAGCGTCTCTTCCCTAACAAACATGGGTCGATCCGTTCCTGACGAGTTGAGCCGGTCCATGAGGAAACACGCCCACATGGTTCGACGTCGGATCTCGCGGTCGACAAAGCTGAGCTCCGACTGGCCACCGAAACGCAGAGGGTCGTGCTCGAGGTCCTTGTGAAGCTGGAGGGCAAAGGCCATTCTGATCGCCTGGCCGCCCAGGGCCCAGCTGCGACCACCGTGACAGGTGCCGAACTCGTGGAGGCCGAGGATCATGAGGCAGGTGAGGATGGTGATGTTGGGCCACTCGTAGCGCTCGACGCAGATGTCTCTCGCGCGAGAGGCCCACTCCTCGCCTCGAAGGAAGTTGGGTGTGGTGTTGAGCTTAGGATGGGTAGAGAAACGGGCGGAGATGGCACACACGGAAAGGACGAGGACGGGGGAAGGGTGCCGGCTCTACAAGGGAATCCGGAGTTAGCTACCCCATTCGATTTCGAAGTCTTCCAAATTCGGCACTACAACATACCTTAGCTTTCTCATATAACTCGGTTTATGGAGGATATGATAGGCCTGACCATATATGTTTTCGAAAAATACCTCGGCGAGATGCTCTTGGATGTCCTTGGGGGAGCGCCTCTACTCCCTCCACATAGAGCTTGTTCTCTTCGGTCTCTTGCATTTGCAAGGGGGTGGGCTTGGCGGACCCGGTAGAGCCATCTGCCTTGGGCTTGTTGGCGTTCCGGGACCACTTATCAAGATCAGGGCCGAACGCTTCATCGGCACCGCGCTTCTTCGCGGATGGGTTCTTGGCAGCGGGTAAGGATCCGGGAATGGCGGGCTTTACTATCGCGCGAGTGACGGCAGAGGAGACGGTTTCTTGTTCGGGTTTGGGGACGATGCGGATGATCCTCTCCTCCATGCGCTTGAGCCTCTTATCAAGCATCGCCATGTAATCCGTCCTGGGGGCGGCCTTGCGGGTGGTGACCTTGTAGACACAGGGTATCCGCGAGCGGAGGCAGTGCTTACACGCAGGCTTCTCACCAGAGCACCGAATCTTCTTCCTGCGGCAGGCGATGCAGGCAAGAGGGAGCCTCTTGCGCTCCTTTCCAGCCTTGGTCTTGAGTTCGCTCCAAGCGGGGACGGTATCACCCTTGTCGTCCTTGGACCTGGAAGCGGCATCGGCGAGCTCGTGTCTTCCGGTGATGGGAAGACCAAACTCGTCAGCAACCGACTCTTCGAGGGAGTGCGCCCCTGGAGAGCCTCGATCATGCATGTTGTCGTCCTCGTCGTCTTCTAGGTTCACGCTAGATCGGCCAGCGGCAGAGTCAGCGGCAGCAGCGGAGAAGGACATGCCAGAGGGGCGGGATCGTGGTCGTTCTCGAGGTGTTTGGAATCCGGGGGAGAACTGATCGGAGCCGTGGTCCTCGAAGCTGGCGTCCTCCAAGGATACCATGCCGGTGGTGTCTTGGAGGTCATAGTGGGCGAAGTTGAAGTCACCAAACTGCGGGGCATCCATCATGTGGTGAGTAGGCGAGGTCGCGTCCAGGGAGTCGTTGGCGGCGTCCAGGGAAAAGGGATTTTCGGACATGGCGTTGGCGGTGGAAGGGGAGAGGAGGGAGTTAGTAGAATCGTGCATAGCAGAATCCAGAGCTGAGGGGTCCAGCGGGGATTTCATGTCGCGAGCAAGCGACCAAGTGGTGGATAGACTGCTGACACGTCAAGAGCTTTTTCCTTTCACTTACATCGGCCAACGACGAGAATCGCCGGAGCCGAATGGGCCAAGTGAAAGAGCCAGCAGTCGACCTTCGAAGCGGCGAAGGGTATCGAACGGATAGGGCGTCTGCTCGATTCCGGTTGGAATATGAGGCCAGCCTTGTGAGATGGCACCAAGCAGTCGTTGATCTGTTTGCGTATGGGCGTGGACAGGGGGAAAGGTGCGTGTGCGTGTGCGTGTGTGAGAGTAGAGAGAAGTCTTCCAGGCAGGTGGGAAAGGGGGGAAAATTATTACGAAGCAGAGAGAAAACTAAGAAAGGGTTGGCGAGGGTCCCCGCACTCGCCGGTTGAGGTTTGGACTTGGATGTGGAGGTGGAGATTGTGGAGACTTGATCCACGTTGGAGCGCTGTCGTCTCGTTAGGAGTCAAGTTGATGGCGGAGCAGCGATTGTGGATTCGACCACCATCAGAAAAGAGGCTGCCGGCTCGGCCTGGGTTCCAAAAGTGCTGGTTTCCCCAAGGCGTAGGGACAGAGGTTGGTCAAGAAGCCCGCTGGGGTATAGTATCGAGCTCCTCGGAGCAGAGAGGGAAGCAAGTGCGCGAGAGAGACGCAGACGATTCGCGATGGGGCTTCTGTTGCGTTTGCGTGTGCTGGAAAAAGGTTGAGTTGAAGGGAAGAGAAGGGAAAATCGAGGGGGAAGAAGTTGCGACGTCTTTGCGAGGACGCCAGAACAGAAAGTTACGCAACCGGTCGGTCGGTGGGATATGGGGACCCCAGGAAAGTGTGGTTGTAAAAGAAAAAGAGGGCCAAGCTCCCCATGTACATGGACGACACCACTCACGGTTTACATGGATGGATGGACATGTACAAGTATCCGCAGAGTAATATCATACATAATATACTTGGCCATCACTGATGTTCGCCCAGGTATGCAAGGTATGCAGGCAGTACTTCGCAACTTCGTAATGTTGGGGCAATGGAGCAACAGAGCAACAGAGCAGCGGCGAACAAAGAAGTGGAGTCCTCCTTCTCCAGACTTGCCTCGAGAAATCCCCGTTCGCCAAGCCCGCATTTCTTTTGTGCACTAAGCAACACTGTGCACAAGCAGTCCTGGTCCGTCCAAGAAGGGAGCAAGTACAGTGAGTTCCGCTTCCCAGTACTCTTTAGTACCGGCCCCACTCCACCATCTGCTGCGAATGCAGCGAAGAATTGGCCCCGGATTCTTTCACTAGCCGTACCCTCCACGTACCCATGCAGTTGACGGAAGGTACGTGACAGTGGGGAGTGATTGGAGGGTACCCGAGTACCTTCCGAGAACAGTTCCGTGTGAGGAGCAGCGACAGGGAGTCAACGTAGTGAAGTCCAGTGCTCAATTGCTCCTGTCTGTGCGGACTCACCCAACCAGAAGGAAAGAACGGAAATCAACCAAGAGAAGAAGACACAGAGACGCAAGGGCTCTCGTGCACGCGCTCCTCCTCCCACTCGACGATCAATTCGACAACAAAGAGTCAGAGGGAGAGGGAGTGAGGGCGACCGAGACAGAGAGAGAGACAAAGGGACGCAGCAAAAGAGGAGACAGGGCGGGGGCCACGAATGGGGAATGGGGGATGGGAGTCTGGGGGATTAAGATTTTGAAGGATCAATAGGTCAACAGCGGGCGACTATGCGCCCCTCCAACAACAAAAGTCACAGGTCTTGACATGGAGGATAAACGGTTAACAAGCAGACGAGCCCATGCTCGCCCGGTCAAACCATATTGGCTTCATTGGCTTCCTAGCGAGGGGCTTGCAATTATGAGCTTCGCCATTGGCTGCTAGGCGGGTCTGAGGTGGGCAAAAATCATGAACTATACTGGATCAATTCCAGAGCCAGATATTATGGGAAACGAACAATAATCAATCAATCTTCCGCTCAGTCGACAGGCGGAGGCACTCACCCCTCCCGTCAACTGGCAATGCGGAAGAGGGGTATATTCACCATGAATCTATCATTGCTGTCTAATCCGTACTCAATCCATACTCAATCGAAACTCCCCTGCCCCTTTCCATAGTATCGCTAATAAATATGCTTGTCAATTATTAGTTGGCCCTGCATCGGCTCCAGAAAATACTCTTCGCCAAACTGGAGTCGAGAAAACGTCGATCGATGTCTTGTTGTGGATAGGCAAGCTGGAGGAGCTAACTAGAGCTTGAGCTTTTATTCTTCCACTCTCAGCATGGTTCCAAACGATAGACTCGTTTAATTACACCCCAACACGCAAAAACCCCCAATCCATTCTTCACAGAAAAGGGAATCTCATATTTGCTTTTTCTTCTTCCGTCGCCCAAGAGGCAATGCGGAAGAGAGCTCCAGCTCCAGAGGGCGGGCAATCAATTGATTCTGCATCGGCTTTGCGGGGGCGGGGAGCCAGCACCACATCAAAACAGGAGTTGGGATCACGACGACAACAGCATAAACGCCACCCGCATCCCTCTCGTCCTTCTCAGGGATACGCTAGTGGTTGAGAGAGAGGCGAGACAGACAGGTAGTTGTTCCTTCCATGGAGCTCTCATTGTAACCCACGGAAACGCCTGGCGAGGCACGTCTCTGACGAAAAGAGCCCAATGGAACCAATCTTATAGGTTGGCGACAGCCTCGGTCTTTGCGGTTAGTGCTTAGTCCTGACTGACTCCGCAAGTGGATGGTGGGGAGATGAGACTCAAATGGTGTCCCCACAAATTCCAACAAACTCCGTATTGGGCCGCGCTTCCTCTCTGATGGTGTCCTCCCAACCTCCAATCCCCTCATAGCTCCATCCAGCAAGAGAGAAGGGAAAGAAGGAAACCCCCTCTCTTTTGTTGGTTAGGGCCAGGCGGCGTGCGTCCTTGTTCCAGGATCGCTCAGAAGGCGACTAACACAAGTCTTGGCAGGTTGCAGTAGCACCGGTGGGGTGGATGCGCTCCTCCCCGGCATACCCAACCATTGCCTGTAAGCAAGCAAGGGATGGTGGCCAGAATCATGTCGGCCACCGAACTAGAATCGTGAACTTGCGGATCGGATGCGAGCAGGGAAAGAGAAATGATTGTATTTTTAGCTCGGGCTTCCGACCACGCGCACTCTCGCTCACTTGTACACACGGGCAAGCCTTGGTTGCTTGGCTTCTCTTGGTCGTAGTATTCTAGGCTTGATGTTGCCTGCTTTCCTCGTGCTGGTCAGCAAAGCGCGAAGGTCACTGGAGATGATTGATGAAGATCCCTCTCCGGAAGGATCCTGGGCTGGTGTTGATGCGAATTTCCCAGGCCCATGATACCTCGACGGTCGTGGACGTTTCTGGACAATTTTGCAGGCGGTTGCTAGGCCCATGCCCGACGGGCACTCCGAGGGAGAGAAGAAAATACTCTCCCAAGGTGGTCACGCACATCCAGCCGCAGGAGAGCTTCACCTCTTGCGAAGACAAGACAGCCCACAACGCCGTGGGCGAATTACCTCGTGCTCCTTCGATTTTTTGCCTTCGAGTCAGGAAAGGAGGCACTAGATAAACCCAGGTCTAGTGTCATAATATTCTAGGGTGTGTGGGCTCAGGCTGCCTACTTGCCAACTTGCCTGCGCTTTCACACTGGGAGCACTTGATGACAATGCGCTGTGCTGAGAGCTGTGTTGCAAGCCCGCGCGCCCAGACTCCGAAAAAAGCTCCCACTTGGTGTGTCTTGGCAGGTGGGTCTGCCTGCGAAAGCGTGGAGCGTGGAGTCGTGGTGGACTCGGGGGTTCGGCGTGTGGTGCAATGAGAAGCCACGGTTTAGCCGGCAGTCCCCGGGCTTGGGAAAAGACCAGGGTTGGAATATTCCCACATTGGCCACGCCCCTCCACAAAGAGAAGAAAAAACAAATTCCAACGCCCCCCTGCGAGCCAGCCTGCTTTGACGTCTCTACCCGGGCTATTAACCCATATTGTTCTTTTCGACAGCATTTTGACGAGAAGGAATCGGTTGCATCTAGGGATTGGTGGGTGTGCGCGTGCAAAGGACGTGATTGTGATTTGGCTGCAAGTGTGTGCGTCCTTTGAACACCCTAGTGCGTGCGATCATCCAGAATCATGATCCCGCAGATAATACTAGATGCGTCTGTGTACTGTGCTTGCAGTCCTCTTTATCAAGCTCGTCATATCTGACAGGAGCTGTCAAGCTTGGCTTTTCTCGGGGCAACGATTCACACAAAGGCTCACACATGGACAAATCTCAGGGCCTAGCAAGGCGAGCCCACCCTTTCGGAGCTCGGAGAGTTGGCGAACATGACATCAACATAAAGAAAGAGAGAGAAAGAAAACAAAATAATAAGGATTTTCTAGTGCCCGCTTCTCCCGACTAATCTCCAACCAATTCGATGCATCGAGATTTCGTCGAATGGGGAAAACTCGGCCCTGATGTCTTGATTGACTTTAGGTGGATTACTTTACCACTGCAAAAGAGACGCAGTCACCCAATCTTCTATCCCTCTTCTCGAAGGCGATCCCTTCAGACAGAGAACCATGGAACGGAGAGCGGTTCTTTGATAACGTTTATTTCTCCCTCCCCATCATACCCGCCCACACCAAACGTATAAATGCGATTGCATAGAGCCAGGACCAATCACGGCCGGGGCCAACAGACGCTGGCGGAGATTTTCGTCAAAGGCCCGACTGGCTTCGTCAGAGGGTTGGCTCTGGCGACGACGCTCAAACGAACCTTGGAGATATTGCCTTTCAGCCATATTATCGTCTCTCTGTATCCATACATGCCAAATTCATGCCCCTTCTGCCTCTACTCCTCAAGTTTTACTATTTGGGCTAGCGCCCCTCTCCAGAGACTCTGACTTGGACCAGAATTTCGATCCACATCGAAAAAGAAACTCCACGAAGAACCCCCTAGGTCGGAGGGGGTGAGTAGGCGAAACAAGCTGCGGTTTTAGTTTTTCAGTTTTTCGGGGCTCTTTCCTTGGTCCCCTAAA